GGAAGGTGAAAAAAGGCTTCACAGAGCAGGCCTGGCAACTGGCAGCTGCCCAGCAGCAGCTGGCTCACCTGAGGGCTCAAGTTACCAACGCTGCAGTTAGGAAGAGGAAGACTGTTCAGATCGATCCCAACACGAAGTTTGCGAACATCAGGGATATCCATCGGGCTCAAATCGAAGCGGGTGAAAAGGAGGTTATTACGGCTGAATCCAGCGACTCTGAATGCCCTAGTGAGGCTGGCAGTTGTATTGTAGTGGGTGTGGTTGAGGATCAATAGTTAATAGTAATGAGGAGGTTGGGTTGTGATCCCATCGTTTTTGTGGGTGCCAGAAACAGGGGGGTGCCAGGAAGTGGGGGGTTTGACTTAACCAACTCGGCCACCCTTCCGTGTGGATCGTCTTGCTCGGAGTGAGCTGCTCCACTGAGCCCGGCGGACGTTGTGTGACGGCAGTAGCGAGAAAGGGCTATATCAAGGATCCAATTTTCGCCAAATCCCGTGAGGGCGACGACGACGAACTCGGAGGACTCTCATGACAGTTGACGCTGCGAAACTTTTTGCCCGTTATTATTTTGTGACACGTCAAGTTTGGCGGCCCTCCCACCGGCGGAAACTTTGTCGAAAGGGCATACTCCGAATTAGACTTTCCGTCCTGCATGCCGAAAGTCTGACTTTGAGTCTACTGGCCAAAAGCCATTTTCTCCTCCTTATCCGAACATGGAGACAGTCAGTTGCGGGCGGGCAGTGTAGCGTTCAGTCTGTCAACCGACGTATGGCGTGCGATCCGCTTCATGCTGTTGAGAAACATGTCTAGGATTTGCCTGGCCGTGCTGAGACTAGGTTCCTTCCAGAACTGCAAGGGGACGTCCCGAGACACGTCGTGGAATTCAGGCGGTGAAGCTTGATAAAGGTGCTACTAGGTGCCAGGTAGTCGTGTCAGGCTCGCGTCATTGGTTCACAGTTGCATGTCTCAGAAAGTCAAGTTCGTGAGATCCTCATCTCTATTGCCAGTAGCCAAATGGTCTACCTGTCTACAAATCATGAGCTATCTCCAAGCCCACATCATTCACCATGCCCAAAGATGGAAACCTCTGAGGCCTGTCTCCCCCGGCTATTCGCCTCTGCCACCCTCAACCGCGCAAGAGATGGTCGGCTAGAAAACCAGGAAAGAAAAGATGTTGAAGTTCTTTTGTTTCCCCGTTAACGCCGTTGTAGATGCTTTGTTCCCCTTTCGAACAATCCGAAGGGTATCTTTCTCATAATGCATTGCTCTTTTTGTGACTTTGGAAAAAAGAAAACGAAAAAAATCGCTTCAGGATTTGTTCCTGTGTAACCCGCTTTGTGTCTTTGTTGAAAGACGCCACCGCTCCCTTGTTCCGATTGTTTTTAACACCGTTTGACATAAAATGAAAAAACGATCCTACCAAAAGACCACGCCCTCGTGTCTTGAGGTTGTTATTGCTGCCTTTACCCGAAAAGGCTGGTAACCGGGATTCGTTGAGAACCGTACGCCATGTTTGAGTGCCTGTCCGCATGAATATCAAAATTATTATAAACGTCTAGGTCGTTGCAATGCAGGAAGCTTGTTGAAGAAATCCTGCTCGGTCCAGTACTATTTGACTTAGAACTTGAGAGTCTTAGGCTGCTCCCAGGTGAAGGTCTGGTTGGTACCGAAGTGACCGTTCTTGGCGGTCTGGAGGTAGATGGGGCGGTCCAGGCTGAGCTCGCGGACAATGACACCGGGGCGGAGGTCGAAGTTGTCGCGGATGATCTTGACGAGCTCATCGGAGGTCTTGTCGGAGGTGCCGTAGGTGTCGACGTAGATGGAAAGGGGCTCAGCGACACCAATGGCGTAGGAAAGCTGGACGAGGGCACGGCGGGCAAGGCCGGCGTTGACCAGGGACTTGGCGATCCAGCGACCGACGTAGGCAGCGGAACGATCGACCTTGGAGAAATCCTTGCCGGAGAAGGCACCACCACCGTGGGCACCCCAGCCACCGTAGGTGTCGACAATGATCTTGCGACCGGTCAGACCGGCGTCACCCTGGGGGCCACCGATGATGAAGAGGCCTGAGGGTTGGATCTGATGGATGTTAGTCAGGTAGCCAGAAAGTAGTGCAATGTGGTTGGACTCACGTGGTAGACGGTCTTGTCGTCAAGGTACTTCTCGGGGATGACCTTCTTGATGATCTTCTCCTTGATCTCCTTGCGGAGCTGCTCGGTGGTGATGTCCTCAGCGTGCTGGGCAGAGACGACAATGGTGTCGACGCGCAGGGGAACAACGGCACCGTTGTCGTGCTTGTACTCGATGGTGACCTGGGTCTTGGTGTCGGGGCGGAGCCAGGGGAGGGTGCCGTCACGGCGGGCAGCAGACATGGCAGCGTTGAGCTTGTGGGCGAAGAGAAGGGTGAGGGGGAAGAGCTCAGGGGTCTCGTCGGTGGCGTATCCGAACATGATACCCTGGTCACCGGCACCGAGCTGCTCGAGGGCCTTCTCGTAGTGGAGACCCTGGGCGATATCGGGGGACTGCTGCTCAATGGCGACGAGCAGGTTAAGGGTCTTGTAGTCGAAGCCCTTGGCGGAGTCATCGTAGCCGATGTCCTTGACGGCGTCACGGACAACCTTCTGGTAGTCGAGCTTGGCCTTGGTGGTGATCTCACCGAAGACCATGATCATACCGGTCTTGGTGGCGGTCTCGCAAGCGACCTTGGAGAGGGGGTCCTCTCTCAGGCAGGCGTCGAGGATGGCATCGGAGACCTGATCGGCGATCTTGTCGGGGTGACCCTCACCGACAGACTCGGACTGTCTCGGGAGTTAGCATGGGTATTCGGCCTGAGGGGCTTGTCGGCAATTAGCGACCAAAAGGGTTTGCTTACGGTGAAGAGGAAGTTGCCCTCGTTGAAGTGCTTGCGGCTGGCAATGCCGTTGCCGTTGACACCGTTGGTAGCAGACATCTTGGATAGATATGTGTGGGAAGTGTGTATGTGAAAAGATGTGAAGAAGAGAAAAAAAAGTTTTGAGGAGCTCGGTGCGGTGAAAAAATACCGACGCGGGGTTCCGAGGGGCTATGAAGACAGCAACGGGTAAAAGCTACTTCTGGATTCAATGGGTCAGCGGTTTGTCCTCTTTTCTCTGGGTCTGCATGGAGGGGAAGGGAAGCTCAACGCAAAGTCAATTGCATACCTTTTGAGATGGAGAAGGGACACGGAGGAAGGTGAGGCTTGTGGATGTAGAAGGAGGAAAGAAGTGCGAGAGGAGGAAGAGGAAGATGTGGCCATTCGGGTTTTAAAAGAAACACAAGACGAGCGCGCGACCTGGGGATGGGGACTCTGGGACCCGACTTGGGACTTGGGATGGTGGCCGGTTGGGAAGAAATTCTCGCTCCTCACTTGCTCCTCTTGCTCCTGCTTGCTGCTCCTCTGTATCTGGATGTACCTTTTGCTCCGTACCGTACCTTGCCATAAGCTCAAGCGGATTTGAGGCACTATTCGTGGGAGACATTGGCCGAGGGCCGGACGGCAGGGAAGGTACCCACACGAGCATAGTAAATTACTGTGGTGGGAAAGTATATTCACCGGTCGACCCCTCCATCCCTATGTACCAGCCCTGTCGAGGGGGAGGGTCCAAAATTCTCCAGATTGCGCCATCCTCACGACTTCTCTCCCTTGACCGCCTTCACCTTTCGCAGCATATCTGTGACCTGTGTCAGTCAGGCACGCTCCCATTAGCAGAAAAGGCACCGTACGTGCCGTACCAAAACACTCTTCAGGCCACATTACAGCACTTCCGTGTACCGCTACGGCCACCTCTTGGTCGGTGAGTTGCGGTTCAACAAGATAGCGGGCATCCCACGGAACCGTGGATTCTGGAAGGGAGTAAAAGCTCGGATTTACACAGTCGCCAGGATGCGCACCTCAACGAGAGCAGCGGTGATCGTTCCCCGAGGGAGCTCGGGCTTCCTTCTGTTTCGTCCTTCCCATTTTTTCCCTAGTCCTTTTCTTCCCTCTTGGCCAAGGCCAGCACAAGCCCGATGGTGTTAAGAACCTTATCCTCGCCTCACAAACTAAGGTATTAAGGTAACTTCTATTGTGTGTACCTTAGGTAAGCAAAGTACGGGACATAAAAAGCTGGATGGCATCGCGCAATTGCTGTAGTCAAGCACGGGAGCTGAAACTCTCAACGGGAACTTTGCTGCTGACCTGAGATTGTCTCCTTTGAGACTCTTCTAGTTCTGTCTCTCCTACCAATGCATTGTTAAGTTAATGACATTCCACGAGGCGTCCCTTTCTTCCTGGATAAGACACGCGAGTTGTTCGAGACTGGGCAATATGGCCCCCTGTTCAAAATTCGGAATGTCAACGGCACGCGCACACTTCTCGGCGACATTCCCATCCTCCATTCTTCCCATGGATATCTGAATGTGTCCTTCACAGCAGTGACTCCCTCGGCGTATCCCTCCTGCGAGGACTCGCATTCCGAACATGACTGCGAAGCCACCCCTCCAATACCTCTGGAGACAAGTGAGAAACCCCCGCCGAAACAGGCTAATCCCAACTAGGAGCTACGCTGTATAACATCTCTAACGGGCCTGGTGAGAATATGCCCCTCCCGCGCTCTACACGTGCGAGCGGCATTGGCCCGTAATTCCGCAGCAAGCCGCCCGTCATTGTTCTCACTGTTGGAGCAAATTGCTCCATGGGAAGGTGGAAGGGGAGGGGGGGCCATCTCATTCGAGCTGGCATCCTGTTGTCTCTTATCGCAAGCTATCGCCGCCGCGAAGCAAATTTTTTTATTTTTTTTTTCTTCTCGTCGCTTGCCATCCTCCATTCAGCCCCCGGCACCGGCGCTGATATCACAGTGCAACCTTGTCGCATCCAATTTTTCTTCACCGCGTCACGTTGCTCAGCGCATCCAGTGCCAGAGTGACATCACTCTCACCCAAAGAGTCAAAGTGTAGCCTCTCTGATATCTTACTAATAAGGTACCTGTCGGTACGGACACTCTTTTTGTCTGGATCCTAAAGTGGCGCGCAAAGACAGGCGCTGCTGATCAACCGCGACCCTTGACGCGCGCCCGTTCCTGCATGGCGGGGTAAATTTCCATAGGCAAACGTCCATTCCTCTGCCCAAAAAGTCTGCGACAAGTGACTCTGCCGATCCAAGGCCACCACCACCACCATCTACCACCTACCACCTACCCGAACCGCTGACGCTCCCGCCGCTACTACTCTGCCACACGATACCCAGACTCAGGCACTCGATCAGGAGGAAACACACACATACCTACACAGCCTCTTGCTTAGCTCTGCCCTTACATATCTGCCCGCAAGTCTCAACCCACGAAACGAGCCGCCCATCGTATTCTCCCTCCCCCACGCCATCATGTCCAAGTACGGCGTCATGGTCATGGGCCCGGCCGGAGCCGGCAAGGTCAGCACTCCAAAACCCAAAACCCTTCTTCCGCTCCGTTACCCGGTCTCCGCGCGGCATCCAGGACCGCCGTCCCATCTCTTCGTCCCCGTTACGCCGGCCGGAGCGCCGGCTTACACCCCCTCAAAGATGCCATCCGAAAAGCTAACATCCCCTCCGCCTCCGGCAGTCCACCTTCTGCGCCTCCCTCATCACCCATCTGAACCTCAACCGCCGCTCCGCCTTCTACGTCAACCTCGACCCGGCCGCCGAGTCCTTCGAGCACGCGCCCGACCTCGACATCAAAGACCTCATCTCCCTCCACGACGCCATGGAAGAGGTCGGCCTCGGCCCCAACGGCGGCCTCATCTACTGCTTCGAGTTCCTCATGGAGAACCTCGACTTCCTCACAGAGGCCCTCGACAACCTCACAGAGGAGTACCTCATCATCTTTGACATGCCGGGCCAGATCGAGCTCTACACCCACATCCCCATCCTGCCCGCCCTCGCCCGCTTCCTCTCCCAGCCGGGCAGCCTCGACATCCGCCTCTGCGCCGCCTACCTCCTCGAAGCCACCTTCGTCGTCGACCGCGCCAAATTCTTCGCCGGCACCCTGTCGGCCATGTCCGCCATGATCATGCTCGAGATCCCCCACATCAACGTCCTCTCCAAAATGGACCTCGTCAAGGACCAGGTCCGTAAAAAGGACCTCAAGCGCTTCCTTACCCCCGACACGGGCCTCCTCGACGACGACCCCATCTCCATCGCCGCCGCGGGCGGCGAGCCCGACGACGGCCGCGGCGAGGTGCACGACCGCGACCTCGTCATGCGCGGTCGGAGCTTCCAGAGGCTCAACCGCGCCGTCGCGGGCCTGATTGAGAGCTTCAGTATGGTCAACTACCTCAAGCTGGATAACACGGACGAGGACAGCGTCGGCGCGATCCTGAGCTACGTGGATGATATCATCCAGTACCACGAGGCGCAGGAGCCAAAGGAGCTCAAGGACGAGGAGTTTGACGAACCGCAAGACGATTAAAGCTCGAAAATGCGTTGACATGGAATGCCAGAAGGGGCGGTTTTCCCCCTGTTCAGTGCTCGTGAATGCACGGATCTCACTTGGCTGTGGGTTGTGTCGGGCGCGCTCAACATGGATGGCATATTAACGAAAAAAACAATAGGGTAGGGAGATATAGAAGGTTGCATAGCGTTGGCGTTGGTATTTATTTTAATCCATGGACTCATTCATAATCGTCCGACAACATCATTTGACATCGTTGTTCTGTCTACCACTGTACCGTATACCATTTGCCTGCCTGATCAAGAGCCGCGACAGAGCGCTTTGTCTTCAGTCTTCAAATATACGGTGCTTGTCCAGTCTCTTCAATCCCTCCCATGGCACTATAGTCGTTCTCCTGGCCTCGAGCCTTCTTGATAAACGGTACGAATGTAGCATCGAGTCCTGTTGCGTATGCCTCGTAAAATTGTATCCCCTTCTCCAAAAAAGCAATCCACGTCTTCCTTCCCCGGGGTATATTCCACCATTCGATTCCCAGCGACCCTTTCCCCAGACTTGCTCAGCCAAGTGTCTTCTCATCGTGTTTACGCCGGGAACCTTGGCCCCGAGTATATCCAGTAGGTAAGGAAGCTTGTTGACGTTCCAGATATCTGTCGACTCTTCGAAAAGAGTTCCCCATGAGACCTGTCCCTTTCTCATCGGTACTTGTTGCCTTGCACCTTGGTTTCCTCCTCATATCTCCTATACTCGCTCACCCACACATCCTTCGCAGCAGCCGCAAACCCGACAACTTTCCCGCCCACAACAACAGCGTCTCTCGCCGTCTCGAACACGCCCCTCTGCCACACGGCCGCAACAACGACAACAACACCACCCCAGAACGCGAGCCGCAGTACCAGCGCCGTCCAAAACGCAACGACACGCCGAATCCAGTTGAGCACAATCACCGTGGCAGCCAGCAGCGCGAGCAGCACCGCAAAGGACACGAGCTCGGGCGACGAGTGTAGGAAATCGAGCGTCGCGTCGACGGCAGGCGCGAGGTACGGGTACAGCTCGTCAAAGGCGCGAGAGGCGGCGGCCAAGGCGTGGCCTTTTAGCTGCTGGACGGGCGAGGACGGGTGGAGGGCATTTTTGTGGATAAAGTCGGCGGCGTCGGGGGGGAGGAGAGAGCGGAGGAGGAAGTTTGTGATCGATGGTTCGGCCATATTGGGTGGTTGTTGTTTCTCGGTGAGTTCTGTTGGAGACTTTCGCGGGGCTCTTTCGGGATTTGGTGTACTCTGAGGGAATGGAGCAGTCGTAGATGTTTGTCTCGATACGTATTGTTTCTTCCCTGCTACGTCTTTCTGCGGCTTCTCGCTTGCTGCTTGTGCAGCTATTCGTCTTTCGCTTCCGGTCGCGTGCGCGTGCGTACTTTTCGTTGTAGATGAGCGTGGGTCTTTTGATGCCCGACACTGGGATATACCCGAAAGAAAGGCAGGAAAAAAAATTCTCTGGGTGAGTTTGTTGTTCTTCTTCTTCTTTGCGCTCAAAACCTAACCGACAATCATAATAACACAAACAAAAACGGTTGCGGTGAGGATGTGGCAGAGGGTCCTGTGCGGGTGGAGGAAGGAATGGAAATAGGCCAGGAAGGAAGGTGGAGTTGGACCCTTGGAACCTTGAGCGCAAGCAGAGCAAGCACGAGGCACAAGGCACAAGCACAAGCACAAGCAAATGCGGTGTGCACTCGAGGTGTATTTGTTGTTGGTGCTGCTGATTTCCAAGTGGGGAAGATGGAGGGACCACGCTAATTCGCGACGTTCGTTGTTCTCCAAGCATGTGGGAAGGGCAAAGCACCCAAGTGGGTGACCAAATCAATTTCCGCTCGACACTTGCGACAAGTAGTTCCACTGCTATTATCACGAGTGTTAAGATTCATTAACTTGAGTATATTCCTCTATGTATATACTTAAAAGGATTTTAATATAGAAAAGTAGTAGTTATAATGTGAGTAGGGAAAGGGGTACTTGTTAAGATGAAGAGCAGGAAATCGATTTTGTCACCCACTTGGCACCGACACAATGACATCGAGACTGGGACACCAGCCACTGGTATCTTTTTAGACAAGGCTTAGAAATTCTTAGTATTCTTCTGAATCCACAAGTTAATAATGGAGCATCTATATGAACGGCAACGTACTTCGAGAGATAATGAAGAAACAGAAGAAACCAATCATGACAGGAAAGTACGAGGTCCAAGTACGAGGTCCCGAGTCCCTCCGCCTCGAGCTCCAATCCTGGGTAACACACCAGCCTCGACTCTGGGACAACGTTCCTGGTCAGTCAGAAGTCTAGACTATCCCATATGTACGAAAATGGTGAGTGTTTAGAGCAATTCCTGCATGACAATGCTACTGTTCGTGTTAAGGAAAGAACAATATTCAGAAGGCGTGGCGATGAAGGATATTGCATAGTATTCTTGAACTAGGCTAAAGACTCGAATGGTAATCAGAAACCGTCCAGCTCTCTCTTCACATAATACATGTTCCCAGCACTGGTATTCTCAACAAAACGCTTAAGACGTCGAGTCTTCTTTGGACAAAGGAAAGGTGAGCAGCTCTTGAGCAAATGAATAGACGAGATACAAGAAGAGAAAAGTAACAGCTGGTACGTAGCTGTAAAAACGTACAAGAAGGGTATCGAAGTCGAAATAGGAAATGAATCGTCAACCGATGTGGGTTGCGTGGAAAATAACAAGCTTCTTCCGCCTAGCTCCGTTTCCCCCCTCAATCGCAGCCTCCCACTTTTCATTTGACATTATCAGTTATTCGTTTTTGGGCACCAATGCTGGTATCCTTGAGCTGTTGCCGTCACTGCGCCATGCAGCATAGCCCCTACCACTGTTGAGACTCTCACGGATTCAACAGATCATCGCAGTGAAAAGAACAATGGAACCATTATGAAGTTTCGCCCATACCCTCCAAGATTCGGCGAGCCGCATCAATGCGTCTTCTATACATCCGACTCTCCGAAGACGCCTTACCAGCCTCGCTCATGGCGAGCACACACCTGCCGAGGCTGGCAACGAAGCGTTCGACAAGGATCTGGTCCTCCTTGGCCAGTGCTTCCATGGGTGCGCGCTGATCAGGTGTATGCATACTCTCTTTGTCACAAATGCTAGCGGTTTCGCTCATGAGAGCGTCAGAAATCGTCTTCAGCTCCAGCTCGGGAGAACCCTGGGGCGTAAGGACACCAACGCTAACGCGCGCCTTGCCCACCAACGGGAAGCTTCGGTTGGTACCCGTTGAGTCGAAGGACGCAGTCGACGGACGGTGACCCATCGTTGCTTGAGTGCTCATCGGTCGACGGTAGACCGTGGAGCCAGCCCGCGCGCGTGTTCTCAGTTCCTCCAAAACGTCCTCGCCGCCCATGGTGCTACCGATCGTTGACCGCTTGGCAGTAGGAGGGCTCTCAGTGTGCTCACTGATCGGGCTGACGCTTGGCGGGGTGAGAATACCATGTCTCAAGTCATCGTTCACGTCGTTTGTGCTGATTCTGCTGCCTCTCCCCGAGCGAGCCGTAGCAAAAGACTCGATCGTTGAAGTAGTGTCGCCGCTGCCTCTTCGATGGTGCGATCTCGGTCGAATCGACTCATCCGATGTCATCGGTCCACGAGTTGTCTCGACGGAGCTTTCGGAACTGACGCTGCCCCGACGCTGTTGGCTCAGGTTGCCTAGTGCGCTGTGGAGGAAGAAGTGTTCGTAATCGAAAGCGTCTTCTCGATCTTCGTGGGACATGAAAGTCTGGACTGTATCGTGGTAAAGGGAGTCACCACTCTCGCTGTCGTATCCATCTTCCTCCTGGACCTGCACGCTGTCTTCAAAACCATCTTCAGTATGCATGTCAGAGATGTCATCGTCATCGTCAACTGCGTCATCCTGGCCCTTGTTTGCCTCCATAGCGTCAAGGGCCTTTTGTCTCTCTTCTTGTCGGATGGCTTCTTGGGCTGCATCGTACTCGTCTACAATGGACTCGTTGTCTTCCATGATCGAAGGCTCCTGGAGTTCGACTAGTACGTCTGATGGGAATCCCCGCTCTTGGACCAGCCCGTCGACACTGACTGCGTCGGCGTTCCATGGGTTCTTGTCCGACGTAGCAGTCAAGGGTGGCGATTGCTCCTCTTGCGATTTGGCGTACCACTGATCGACCTGCGCATGAGTAAAGGGGCTTGGCGTTCGTAAGCTTTGGAGACTGCGCCGTCGCATTGTGTCCGCGCGCGCCTGCTCTCTCAAGGACGAGATCTTGCCTTTCAGGTCTTGTACCTGACCCTTTAAGTCGCGCATCTGCGCTACCGACGCCGAACGCACCAATGGCCGATCGCGGCTCGAGGAGCTGAGTGCCGGGCTCAGCAAGCTTTCACGCTTAGTGCTATCGCTTCCTGAGTGGAACTCTTGCGCGACTTCATCCTCGCCAAGAGGTTCGAGACCTATCTCCTGTGCTGCCTTGTATCGAGATTGGGCTTCCCCTCCAGAGTTTAGGCGCTCCAACGTAGCATCATGGACGTTCTTACGTATAGAATACGGTTGTCGATAGCCTCCAGCCGCTCCCATGGCGCTGGCGGACCTTCTTGGGATAGTGCCGTTGTTAGCTGCGTCGTAATTGAGAGACGTATCACTCAACATCCTTGCGTGCCCGTGAATAGAGGTTGGCGAAGCTGCGGATGAGGCAGGGCGCAAAATCGTGGGAGACGGGGTCGAGTTATTCCCGTCAAACGAAGACATTGAAGGAGTTGAGATACTCAAAGAGCTTCGCGCTCTCGATAAGTTGCCTTCCATGGTCTGGAGATGTCAGCCTGCCTTCTTTACTGTCTCAGCGGGGTCAGAACTTACCGTCAGCCTCCGCTTGGCATTCGCCAGAATCTGCTCTGCTCGTCGGCTGATGAGTGCGGTCGAGTACCTATTGGGGTCGTCGAGGGATTCCCTGGGTGGTTGATGTATGGCATGTGCTTGATGCACAGATGCATCTTCCGCATATGATTCTGCCACACTCTCTTCATCATCGCCCTGGAAGTTGCTGTCGTCGACGCTTACGGTATCGTCGAAGTCTGCGAACATGGCATTTTGGTCTTGAGTGGTGGTGATGGTGCTTGTGGACTCTACGGAAGACCGGCGCGAACGCGTCGCTTGAGCCGCCCGCTTCTTCAAGCTCTCGAGCATCTTAGTGGGTGACTGTGGCTGTCGTGAATCGTCGCCGCTTCGATTGTTGGGTCTGGACCAGATCACCGAAGTCGGGCGTGATCTTCTACCAGGTGTGCTCTCGGCCTCAGTGACCTCACCAATATCGGACAGCATAGTTCCATTGCCGTAGATTATTGGTGTCGTAGGAGTGATGGGCCCGGCGATGTAGGCGCTTGGAGGGAATTGGAACTGCATGTTCATATCGACAGCATGCGAATTCTTCCACATTGTTAACGGAGAATGGGACCGGTCGGGAGAGGGCGAGCGATCGTAATCGGGTAGAATCATGTCGGGATTCGTCAATGTAGGAGAAGCAGGCCGCGGGGGGTACGATGAGGTGGAGCTCGAGTGAGCATGGCCCGCGTGGGCATTTAAAGTCTGAGTTGCCATTGTTTTTGATGGCAGAATCGGTTGCAAACGACTCAGGTTGCGTTTGTGCAGCCTCCTGCGCGTTGTATGATTTAAGCTGCAAGACGTTGATTGTCGTTGCAGCGGCCGTGGAGTCTAGCGACACAAAGCGAGTCGGTTCCCAACGGGGCTAGCTGCAATTAACCGGTAAACCTTCAGAGGCGCAAGAGAACCTCAATGGACAGCCACTCTTTGTAAACAATAAGCAACAGTCAGGACGAAGGCATCTGGGCAAAGTTTCGGGCAAAGTCAAAAACGCTGCCCACGCTGCTTGGCCCGTGGCCCGTCCGGTCGTGATTCGGATGGATTAAGAGTTGGTTTCCAGGGTCGAGCTGGTTGTCTGGTTCACGATCAGATCAGATGAAGCTAGACGAGCTACAAGCAAGTCGCGGAAGTTTTGGCGGGGTTCGAGGCAAAAGTGCAGGTTTGTCGAGAAACGCCGGAGAAGTCGTCAAGAGTCGATTTGCTTGGGGCACCGCCGTAGATATGCGAGATTGCGTGGTGGCTTTTGCGGGCGCTGAGTGTAGAAAGCGTAGCAGCAAGTGGGAGTCCGTTTGCGGGAATAGAGACGTCGTTCGTCGCATGCAAGCGCATAGGTAGCAAACAAGCCGCCGTGTTCGGGGTAGGTGGCCGGAACGAGGAAGTCGAAATGCCGGTCTATCGTCGATCGAAGAAAGAAATCGGGATGCAAGAGCAAACGGCGTCCGTTGTAAGCGAATCCGGCTGTTCTTCCCCTTCTTTTCCTCCTCTTGCAACGTGTTGGGTGATGATGCACAGCTGTGTCGCGACAGGCCCCAAGTTTAAGGGGTTGCAGCTGGTGGTTTTGGGGCGCGAAAGCGATGGGGGGGTCCCGCAGGATGTTTGAAATTATCGAGAAAGTCGACCAATGAGACTGAGCTGATGTTTGTGAGACATGCAGCGGGTGTTCTAGTGCTTGCCCTGTCTCTCGCTGAGGTGCAGCAGGCGCAGGAGGAGCAAAGCACAAGTATTCGTACAAAACGAGTGGAAGTGTAGGTGAAAGACGGAAGATGGACCTGGTGAATGCCTCGTGGTTGCCGTTCGTTTCCCCTTCACTGATCTGCGTTGGCGGTGCAAGCAAGATAAGATGACAGGCTGCGGGAGATGAGCGGCCCAGGGATCGAGTATGCGTACATATGCGTACGGAGTACGGAGTAGAGAGCAGGTACGCAGTACAAGTCGAACAGAGCAGGATCGCAGGAGGGCTCGAGACCTGAGGCGGCAGTTGATGCGTCCAATCCAATGTAAGGTACTTGCTCAGTTGTAGCAATTGTGCTGCGTCTGTTGAAGTTTACACACAACAAGAGTACAAGTACACTCTGCCGCAGCTGAAATGTGTACCTTGGAGTACGGAGTATCGACTAAGGTCTTTTTTCTTTGGAAGTGAACGGGTGTGGGAATGACACGAGAGCGGATGGGCGAAGCCTGGGCCGAGCCGGAAGGGAAAAGTAATAATGTATTCGTACTTGTGCTGCAGTAGCCAGCTGCCGAGAACGGTCTTGGCTTGTTGATCGGCGAGCTGACTGAGTGAGGACCAAGTGCGTGGTACGGAGAGCCCGTGGGTTTGTTCGTAGTCTACAAAGTAACGATACAGAATAATTAGCATCCGTAGACGCGCAAGTGACACTGACAGGAAGAGCAATGCCCGTCAAAGGGGCTTCTCTGGGCCGTCAACTGCAGATGTCGCGTGGCATCCGATGCTCATTATGTCTGTCCATCTCTTCATACACAGTAAGGTAGTGTAAGGTACGCAGTATTAGAGCATCCTGGTCTGGCCCCGTTGCCTGATGTCTCGCTTCTGGTCAAGTCATCATCTTCTTCCCGCGTCTCTTAATTCGCGAAATAGCTAAGACAGGGAACAGGCATTCCCCATGTCCAGCAGCCCTTCCGTTCGTAAAATTTTCAAATCTCTTGCTCCGACAGAGAAGGAGACCAATGCTCGCGCAAGTTCACAACCTGGTTCGCAGTTGGTCTGCCCCCTGGACCGGCCGCTTCGACCCTAGCCCGCGGTGGCTTGCTAGAGCAGTATCGCTGCACATGGGGGGTCTCGATGGCGGCGTGGGCGGTCGTGTGCGGGTCTCGTTCCTTTCTCTTCCATTCCCAGCAGCGTTAGCAGTCGGAAACTTCCATGGGGCCTTGCTTCTTCCTTGGGGCCTGGGCTGTCCAGTCGGAAGCACCAATGCGAAGCGTCAACAGCGCTGCTTCCATGGGTTCGTATGTAATTCGTCGTTCGCACCTCGCAGTGTTCCTGGCGTTGCTGAACTGGACGCACTAAGTTACCCCCTGTTGAGTCAAGCGTGGTTCCTTTTCTGCGATTGCTTTCCTGCAGGTGCTTGCGGTGCCTGGCATGAGAGTTGAAACTGCCAGGATGATTGGACCCGAAGAATGAACTTACCCTTAAGACACTGGGGCCCCCGGTTCCTCCCAAGCATTGGCCAGCAAGTGGAAGTGGGCTTGGCATGGAAGTTGGTGCACGAGAAGCGGAGCTGCGTCAAGGAAAGAAATGGGTAGGTAGTCCCGGCCCCAGCGCCTTCTACCGTAGGTGCTTAGGTACCTTCGGTTACGATGGGAAGGTGCGAATTCCAAAGTATCCGTAAACAAATTTGGAAAAAAGGAAGCAGGTGCCAGGTACAAACAACTCTCTGCTTCCTCCTTCCTTCCAAGTCCCTTCGCAGGTCCAACGGCTTGCACAGGTACGACCGTACGGGGCAAGCACGGGCACGGGCACCTTCGAGAGAAAACCGCACTCGCACGGTGGTGGAGTCTTGGGACATTCACGCAAATCTCGGCAATTCATCAGCCTTCCGCATGCAGAACCCTGACCTGCCTGGCTACCCTCCAAGGACATCTCGACCGCCTCTCGTTCCATTTGTGGACGCACCGCGGGAATCTGCTACTGATCGAGCAGAAGGCCGTCGAATCTCCATTTAAGACGAACCCATCCCACCACGGTTAAGCTTCATCACAACCTCGCTGATGGATTTGTAGCTGTGGAGATATTGGCCTCGGACTCCTCATCTAGTGGCCTACTTTGGCAATGATCTGAAGCTTTCCTCCGATTTCAAGGGACAGTCTCACTCGACCCTGGGGCTCCTCTCAAGTTCTAGCGGCCTATTATCAAGGCATCCATGTGGACTCCCAGACCGTTGGATGCGGGCGGGCCACCAGAACGCCGTACTGAATCAGCGGTCGAACAACCGACCCAAACTTGCCAAATTCCTCGCGGTTTCTGGAATGTTGGTACTCCTTAGTCGAGCACGAATATCGGCGCGTCCATCTCATGACAATATATTACGGGGTTGCGCCTCCAGCCTTTCTTCAGCTATGCCATTCCTCGGATGCACTGTGTTGCATTTCACCCTGGGCTGAATTTGCCTGTAACGCGCCTAGGCCGATAGGAGCCAGAATGAGAGAACGACTCGGAAGATGGGATGCCAATGGCACCTCAGCACTCCCACTCCCGGTGCCACTCTGTTGCGCGCCTACGCGTCTCTCCCATCATTCTCCCGACCTCACGGCTCCCCGTCTGCAGTGACGCCATGCATCTTTAACTTGACACAGGCATCGCCCGGTATATTCTTACTACAGGTCAGATATATCGCGCTCGTCTATCCAACAAGATTTTCTCTCCTGCTTTGCATTGACTCTAGTCGCCGAACCAATCTCGACGCCAACCATCACATCGCAAATCTTGGGTGAATCCAGCGATCCGTCGTAACCTCAAACCAGCGGCATCCTTGCCACGCTCAAACTACTGGACCATGCCTTCCCATGGACGGGACGGGCATCCCGAGCGCGGGGGAACTTGCGGAAGAATCTGGCACTGGGAAGCCGCGAACATATTCTCCACACTATGCTTATAGCCTGTAACTTCAATGAGAGGAGGTTTGTGAATGTCGACGAAAGGCTTTTCCCCAATCTCATTTACGATGGCTTAAGTCAATAGCTTCGAATGCTACATCCCCTGCCCAACGCACCGGTCGACAGGGCGTTGCGCCCGGATCTCGTCGCCTATCTCGATCGGTCTTGGGGTTTTAGGGCTCTGTCCCTTTCCAATCAAAGAGATGGTATATTCCCCGAGAGCCCTACTCGGCCACCGCGCCGGCGGCAACCTCTGGTAACGACTAGGAAGTCACGAAGGTCTAGGCATTCATCGTGTGGCCTGTTGTGGCGTGCTTGAAGCTTCTGCTCCGCATATTTGTGATGCTGGAATGTCTTCAGATGATGTTCCCGAGGGCCTGGGCCCGGTCCCTTTCTATGTCTCAGACCCCGTCCAGCAATGCGTCTGATGACAGCCGCATTGTCGCGAACAGCATGAATATCCACAAGTTGGTGTCGTCATGTCTGACTTGACCATGTCATGCAAAGAAGACGCAAATCGACGACATGCCATGGCCCAACTCCCTCAATTGTGACACGGGTAAGCGCGCGTGCCTTTGTTTTTTTTCTATCTTGTAGTCTTAAAATGCCCGGATATATACCCAATAGTCTATGCTTTTTTCTGTATCTTTTCGCCAGCCCTCAATGCAAATTCCAGTGATCCTCCCGTATGGCTGACCACGTATAAACAACCCATAATGCTTTTAGTCGGCAGCCCATGTGCCTTTTGATATCCCATCTTGCCGGTGGGCAATGCGGCACGCTGATTTAGCCCTCAGTGAACGCCTCGCTTCTAGCCTGCGCAGTAGAGGCATCTTCATTGCCGTTGTCCTTGGTCGTGGGACGGTTGGCGATGAGGCGCTGGGAAAAGTCAGGCATATGCTTTCTGGTTCGCCGTGTTCATTTGGTTCACTTACCACCAAGTTTCTCAAAAGGCACGCAATAGTGACCTTGCCAACTGACGGGACGTAGATGGCCGCCTTCTCCTTGACGGTGGGAGCGTCAAAGTTGCGGTGGGAGGAGAAGTTGATGCAGACGGCACCCTCGCGAATGAGGTCGGTCGAGATCTTGTACTTCTCGCTGGGGACGCCGCCGATGATGACGTCGCTGAGGGGGAGGACCTGCTCCAGGCCCCAGCCCTCCTTGTTCTCGACCTGGTGGCGGATCTGCTTGATGCCCTTGCCGCGGGTGAAGAGCTGGACGCCGGTGATGTCGACCGAGTAGACGGTGGCGCCGTCGTTGGCGAGCAGGGCGGCCAGGGGTCGGCCGTTGACCTCGGACCTGTTGATGACGGTGATCGTCTTGCCAAAGAGGCGGTTGCCGTAGGCCAGGATGGGGTTGTAGATCTGGAGGTGCTCGAGGATCTTGACAACGGCGAGGGGCGTGCAGGGGAGGATAGACTTTCTCAGGTTCTGGGGCGGGTCCAGGAAGCGGACGTTGTGGTACATGTTGAAAATGTGCTGGTGGCAGAGGCCCTCGACGTCCTTTGCCAGGGAGACAGTCTCCTGGATGTACTTGTCCTGGAGCGGGTTGCCGGGGAAGATGGGGTAGTAGACGATGATGCCGTCGACCTTGTCGTCCTCGTTGGCCTCGGTGATCTTTTCCTCGAGCTGCTCCTTGTCGACACGGCGCAGGTCAAAGTCGAAGCCGCTGGAAAGGGGGGTGAACACCGTCTCGTCAGCTACCTTTTGCATCCAATTTTTGCTCATTTTTTTATACACGTCGTGTCATACAAAGACAACTTGTCTCTGCAGTGACAAAGGGTTTGTTTTTCGCCTACTTTTCGACGCAGGTCTTCTTAGACCACTCAGCATACTGCAATGCAGCCGGATCGTCGTTTGCCAGGAACGCCGCCAAGGTGGGCTTGGAGGCGCCGTTGCCCTGCACCTTGGCGAGGGTCTCGTGAACCTCAGCCAGGAGACGCTTGGCGATGGTGTCGGCCAGAATGACCTTGCAGGTCTTGGGCACAGCTTCGTTGGAGGCCATCTTTTATGAAAGAGAGGCAAACTCCAGTTTTGACACACACGGCTTTACAGCATTGTTAGTCGGGTCTCTCAGTCTCGGCTGATAAGAACCGTCACTCACATATGTGGTTGGAGTGAGTTGCCCGTCGGCTTCTATCCCCGAATTAGTACTTGGGAAAGCCCCACCACCTCCGACCCCGCGATGCCGCGTTGTAGAGCATATCGGGAGTGGAGGAGAGAAGACTAACTGGCAAAGACGACCAATGTATCGGCGCTTATAGGAGTGGCAGTCGATCAGGATTCGAGATCCGAGTTTTGACGCGTTACTGGGGCAGTGAAAGTGAAGAAAGGTTAATCAAGTGAAGCTGAATGGCTCCGAGTCTTTTGGAGGGGCACGCTCCGACTTCGACGTCCAAATTTTTTTTTCCCTCCGTTCGCTGGAACAGGACCCCGCGGCCCTTGCGCAGTCCCGTCTGTGTTACCCCTCCATACCCTCTTACCCAATTAGGACTAGCTCACTGCCGTTCTCTTTGGTCGCAATTCCGCTCCAGGCTGAAAGCATTGGCAGAGAGCAGAGAGCAGCGACTAAACAGCTCAAGAAAAATCCCAAGTCTAACACTTTTCCTCAAATCAAGCCATTTCATGACCAGAGACTACAAAGATCTTGATTTGGTGAACCAGCAAAGATAAGTCAATAATCAACGCTAAGCCGAAAAAGGTAAATCCACCGGAAATTGGTTCCTCCAGACCGCGATAAGGGCGATAAAAGCTATACCGCCTTCTCAATTGAGATATCCCCCACCAACGACCCAGCAAGCCTGAGTAATTATCTCACAACTCATCACCGGCTTTCGGTGGTATGAAGCCCAGTATCGGCAACTGACAAATACCCAACGGACTATTCGCCAAACCACCATTTCCCCCCAACCTAAAGCGATTACCACCTTCATGACATTGGACATCTAGACAAGTAATTTGCATGAGAGGAGCACGTCTTGCTTTCTTTCACTCTTTCGGGACGCATTTTGAGCAGGCGCGGGGTTAACTTTGGAAGCACATGAGAAGGCACGACGGAATATCTCAAGACTTCTTACTACAACACCTTTCCGATCGCATCTAGACAATACCGGCTTGGCATCTACCCATCTTCAGACTACACGGAGTGAAATTCGATACAGCAACATACATTGGGCAATCGGAACTACCATTAGACGCATTTGATTTCATCGCAACCCACGACTACCATGGCCGATTTTCGGAAACTTGCACTCGAGTTCGTGCTCAGCGACGATACTGAGAGACAAACAGCAATCACACAGGAGGCAGCTTCGGGTATGTAAATGGAGCCATTCCTGACGTTTCACCAACAATGCACATAGCTGACATGAACCCAGAGATCCAGTCAGCACCCAGACCTAGCAATCCAGTTGCAAGATGGGTAGAATCTATTCGACCCTGGATGCCAAGCGCAAATGAAGACCAGGATGACGGCGATGGTGATGTCATTGCACGGTCCAAAGGTACAGGAGTAAAGACCGTATTGGAATAAAGACGATTACTGACTATGACACCTTCTTTAGCTTTGAGTTTTCTAGCAGGGACTCTTGAGCATCTGGATCCCACATTCCTCAAAGCCGATCAAAGTAAGTAAGGCCGAAGGCCTGTGTACTCAAAGGCTCATTGCTAATACCGCATTCTCAGCCAACCTCCTGGTGGCTTTCTTTGGAAGCATGTTCAAGGTCGACCACAAGGCTGGCATTATGCCTGCTGCCAAGGCTCTTGATCGAACTGCTGGCATGAAGACTTTTCAGCCACAAAAGGGAAATGACATTATCCAGAGTGTGTGCAGCCTTGGTGATGATTTCAAGTCCCAGGTCGCAGAAACCCGTGCAACAGTATATGAACTTCTGGACCATCTTATCACCAACCCGGATGTAGCAAACGACTTGCAGTACCAACACGGCACGACCTCGGGCTTCATCACAGATCTTTTGCAACTCTGTCGCAATGAGCGAGACCCCAAGTGTCTGATGACTTGGTTCAAGATCCTGAAGGTCTTTCTTTCAGACTACTCCCCTGCACCGGAGGTTGTGGATGAGATTTTCAGTATCTTTTCAGCATACTTCCCCATATCGTTGAGGACGTCACAGCATCCTTCGGGAATCACGGCGGATGATCTAAAATTGGCCTTGAGGGCTTGCTTTTCGGCACATCATCGTGTCGCTGACAAGGCTATTCCATACCTCCTTAGCAGGCTAGACCAGCCGGATAGTGTTAGTGTCAACGTCAAGGTTTGTATTCTTCCTTGGACTATGTCAATTATACCTGTGCTGACGCTGCTGTAGGTTGACATCCTCAAGACCATGACCGCATGTCTGAGCGGCTATGAACATGTTCAGCAAGGAGTCACCCCCTTTACCAACAAGATTTGGGACAGTCTCAAGTATGAAGTCCGCAATGGGGAGATCGAGGACACCATCAACGCCACCTTGGAAGTCATCCGAACAGTCGCCAAAAGACTTACCGGCGACGAGCTCAGGGATTTTGCCCTGACTGTTCAGAGAGACTGCTTGGAGGACCTGTCAAACCCGATCTACACGGCAGCCTCAGGAAAGCTTTTGATCTCCATCCACAGCGCAAAGCCAGCTGCCTTTGCACTCATGATCTCCCCGTCTGTGACCCATATCAAGGAGAATCTCCGCCACACAAAGTCACCTGACCACACGAAGAATCTCCTGATACTGCTGAATTCTCTACTCGAGTTGCGGTTAGCCCTAATTGGAGGAGGCGTGGAGCTGAGTGTCGAGGACGCCGAGGCCTTCAAATCCACCGAGCCGCTACTTGCCCCCATCTACAAGCAGACGTACCTGCCTCTTTTCCAAAAAGCTCTACAAGATACTGCGCAACCCGAAGATATCACCATCGGTCAACAGGCAACCAAAGGCCTGGGGTTGATGGTATGTCAGAGAGCAGCTCAAACAGGACAGTCGAACCAGCCGATGCTCCCGGAAGAAACACTAAATGAAATTTGCGACAACCTAGCAACTCTTGCGCTTCAAGCCCCCGACGGACCGGCGAAGGACAAGAATCAACTCAAGTTATCCGACGAGGCTGCTATTGCTTTACAAAAGGCTGCGATGGCACACCCGCCGGCGCAACCCATGCTCATCGACACATGCTTCCGAGTCTGTGACGCGTACAGTGCTTCCCCTTCGGCCAACAACTTGGACAGCATGTACAATGTTCTCAATCACAATCTCGCCAGACTGGCCTACGTCTTTTGCTCCGAATCTCCTCGCTCTGAGAAGCTCAAACACTACACATACTTCATGCAAGCGCTTCTGGTCAACCTCTACAAGATGCAGGATGCCAAAGCTGACCCGAAAATTTGGTCGGTCATTGCTACTTACATTTTCTCGGCCATGATTCAGTTCAAGGAAGGAGCCAAAGAACTCATCAGCCCGCCCGTCAAGAACAACTTCAGCGACACGCGATTCGACGACAACTGGGTTAGCTACGTGGCAAACCATTTCCCTAATATGCCATGCCTGCCTGACGACCAGATCGTCTCGACGCCAGCGATGGACGAGGGCAAGGAAGTTGACAATCTTCAAGGCGATTTCGCCTTGATCAATCTGTACGTCACTCGACAGCTCTACAGACGGGCCACCAAGATCATCAGTTATGCCGACAATTCCGAGCTTTCACTTGCCTTGAGCGACGACTTTGGCAAGAAGGATCCGGAAGACAAGAATGAAGAGGATATCTACTTGCAACGCCTCTCGACTATTGCGACGTTCACTATCCAGCACATGAGCGAATACCAGCAGACTAACCTGCTTCTAAACGAAGAAGTCGTAACACTCTTCCGTGGAACCGACCAGTATCACCATCCCAATCCCAACGAGACCCACAGCTGGAACAACAGTGAGCTGCGAGTGGCCATGCTGAGGACCATGGGTCTTCCGCAGACTCCTTACAACATGAGAGATCCTCCCCAGTTTCCCATCAGTGGTTTCAGCCACGGCCGTACTGTCATCCTCTCCTTGGGCATTATCCAAGCTTTCCATCCAACTACAGTCGAGCGTTTGGTAAGATAAGCGTCGCATTAAGACCAGGGAAACTTTGCTAACACTCTGTTCTAGGTTGAAAGAGGAACCGCACACCAGATCTTGATTGCTGGCCTTCTAACCAGAGACCACTCAGACTCGCCAAAGTGCCGCCATGTCGTTAGGGCGATTCTGTCTGTCATCGCCAACAAATACAAGGTTGAGAACTTGAACGATATCGTCCAAATTATGGAATATCAAATGAATTTTGTTGTCAGCGAAGAGAGACTGTCTGGCCAGTTGGAGCAAATCACTGGCTACCTCGACCATGAAGAGAATGTGGTGGCGGGAAATACCCCCAACGACCTCAGAGCAGCGCTGGCAAAGCCTGTATACGCGATTGTAGTCGGCATTCTCCGACGCTACACTGGTAACGCTCTCAAGAACGTTCTCACGGCTATCACTCAAGGTCCTGGTAATAAGAAGATTGGCCACACGCTTGCTCGCAACATGGACTTAATCTTCGGTGACGTGGAATTCGCAAAGCCCGAGTTCTATGGTCAGCTTAAGAAGCTCTGGGTGCAGAGAGCTTACTACGAGTTGGTCAAGCCCATGCTGCCCAAGGCTTGGCCTGCTGGCTCGAACAGCAAGGATGATATGCTGGTAGCCGCCAACTACAGCATTGCAGTCTTGAGAGCAGTCAGGCACATCAGGTACGCACACTACGAGGACGACACGGAGGATCTCATCCGAATCATTCTCTGCGCGATCCGCAACCTGCCGGCTAGCGCAGATGTGGCAGCCGGTCTTCAGATCTTGGTGGCCGTCACAGAGAACTCGCCCAGACGCATGCAGCCATTCCTCAAGAGCGTCATCGATGCCTCCCTGTCGATCTTTAGAAAAGACACGAAGCAAGCCGGCGAAGACAACGCCTGGATGCCGGAAAACTACATGCCCTTCGACCGTTCCGGATTCCAGGAGGCGCAATGCCGGGCCCTGGTCGTCCGTCTCATCGGACAACTGCCGCCCAACTTTGAGCATCGCCATCTCCTTGACTCGGCGTCCCAGGCCAAGCGCTTGCTGGCTCAGGCCTCTGGTGACGAGTCGCGAATGGTCAGAGAGGCTGCTCTCAAGTCTCGTAAGGCTTGGGACGAGATCAACTGAAGTATGGTGAGTTTCCAGAGCTTGAAGTAGTTTCGAAAGAATGAGTTGAACACAAGGTGGTGGCTTTGCACTTTTGGCATGGGTCAGTCGAGTTTGAATTGGGTTTGGTCGAGGCAGGAAAGTGATGGTCTGTTGGTATAGGGGGGCGGCGACTCACATGTTGGAACAAGGAGTGAGAGACGAGGTATTTGGTGGACTTGCATGATGGTGAGGGTTGATGGCATGGCGAGGCGTTTGGAGGTCCAATGGATCATCAGTATTAGACGACCAGCATCCAGTTTAATGAGACAAGAATCACACAAGGCATTGCAATGATTTGACTAGAGACACTTTGGTTGCTGCGCATAGATGCTGTCCAGAGTATAAGCCGGTCGAGGAATGGAGCGAACAATGATGATTAACACCAAGGCATAGATGCGCAACTGTAGCACTCTGGAGCAATATACTAAGCAAAACCACAGACACCATGCTTTTGACGGTTCCAATTATCCGTAATTTACACAAAAAAGTTTATTGGCAAGCCCCATGCGAAAGCAAGTCCGAACCACCTCCGGTCCGGCCCTGTCTATGCCTTGCGTCTCTTGCTGCCACCCTTGGCCGCCTCCGCGCCGCTCCCCGTCGCCGTGCTCTCCGCGTACAGCGCGTCGAGGACGTCGGTTGAGTATCCCTGGGAGGCGGATGTGATACGCTTGGGGTCGAGCTTGCCGACGGCGGGGATGTTGGTGGCGAGGATCTCCTGGAAGGGGACCGCGACGAAGCGGCCTTGTGAGTCGAACCACTGGTTGAAGGGTTGTGAGAGGTTGATGACTTTCTTTTCGCCGTTCTTCGAGGTCAGGGTGATCTTCATGTTGTATGTCGGTACGTTCTTCTTTGTGGATGTCGCGATGTTGACCTGTTTCGCGGGCGTGTAAGTCAAGATTTGTCCATATCCTGGAAGCACATCCAGCTAGCTGCTGGGAGGGCACGAAAGAAAGCAAAGTGGCCTTACCTTCTCGCCTGAGGGTGATGTGCCCTCATACACGGTGCCTGCCTCCTTCAGCCAGATCCATAGCGTAAGAGCGCCGTTGAGGATGGAGTAGAGGACCACGGCGGCTGCCGTGTAGTACTTTGTGCTGTCGAAGCCGAGCTTATAATCCCAAAGAAAACATGCGCCCGCAATCAGGAATGCTGAGTAGCCGAGAGCGAGGCGGACATCGGTGAGCGCGTGGGACTGGGTGAATTTGAGAGAGTTTAGGTAGTTGGGGAGAGCATCGTCCGAGGTGTTCTTCAGGTCTGGGGGGAGGGAGCTTGTGTTAGTGTGATGCAATAGCTAGGCCTAGCGCAGGGCCATAGGAGGGTGAAGGGAAGTGCATACCGGCCAGATTATGGACCGTAATTTTTTCGGAAGACATTTTGTCTACTTCAGTTTTCGGGATTCTTCTTTCGAGTAGACTTGACAGCTATGCGTGAGGCGGGCGGGCGTGGAGTTGTGATAGTTTGGCTTGTAACCTCCAGCCTGGCTTTCGGAGCTAGGACAGCTTGGACCCTTGTGCGAAGTCCAGTCCGTGGGCAAAGGTGAAAGTGGAAGGTGGTCTTTCGGAGGCTCGGCGAAACAAGCGCCCGAGGAAGCTCCCACTCGAGTTGGACGCTCAACTCCACCAGATTACATTGATGCAGGCGGAGCTCTCAACCACCTGGCTGCATCGCAACGACGAGCGCCGTTACCGTCTCTACTACACCATTGCCCGGCTCTAATCGTCATATACAAGCCCACAATGGCCCAAGTTCCGGTACAGACGATCCATCGGGATCCCCAGCTCCTGTACGCAAATCCCGACTCGCTTATCCTCAGTTGCGACCGCGTATGCTAACCTGACAAACCCGACAGTTACTGGATCCTATTCCCGATCACGGTGGTCATGGTCTTGACCGGCATCCTGCGTCACTACGCCACGGTCCTGCTCGCCACCGCGCCCAAGAAGCTCGACAAGCCCGCACTCAAGGAGCAGCGCAGCCTGATGCACGGCGTCACGGTCCGCACCAACCACCACGTCCTGTCCAAGAAGTCCTTTGAGGCCCGCCGCGATGCGCTCGTCGCGGCGTACGAGTCCGGCGCGTACCTGAAGAACCCGGATCAGAAGGGCCAGCCGCCTGCGAATCCGCTGACAGACCCTGGCGCGATGGACGGAATGATGGGGATGATGAAGAATAACATGGCCATGATTATCCCCAACACGTTGATCATGAGCTGGATCAACGCCTTCTTCAGCGGATACGTCATTAGTATGTTTTACATGACCAACATCAGGACTTTGTGCGGCTGCTGACTTTCTTAGTGAAACTGCCCTTCCCTATTACCATCAAGTTCAAGAGCATGCTTCAGGCGGGTGTGGCGACGAAGGACATGGATCCCCGCTGGATGTCCAGTATCTCTTGGTACTTCCTCTGCATCTTTGGTCTGCAGTCTGTCTTCGTTTTCATCTTGGGAAGCGACAACGGTAAGCCTGAAACTATCTTAGCCTTACCCTTCCAGCATACTGACATCATTAAGCTGCCAGCCAGATGGCCCAGCAAATGGGGCAGATGGGAGGTGCCGCTGGTGCCCCTCAGATGTTTGGACCCGGTGTCGACCCTGACAAGCAGTTCAAGGGCGAGGCTGAGAACATTGCCGTTGTCGACCACTACTCTGTTTTGGACGATGTGGAGTCGAGACTGCTTGCGGGTATCAAGTCATAGAATTGTAGAACAATACACAAAATCCGCGCCCATCCGTACGCCTTGGGGCCCTTTCCGTATCTGAATGACGCTTGCGAGATCTCAGGAGCCATCTGAAGGCTATTCGCCGCCCTGTCCGTCCCACCAGAGGCATACGCCGAGACCCTCCATGGCCATGGTGCCCTTCACCTTGTACGGCGGCTTTGGCGGAGCAGCCTCTTCGCCCTGGCTTGGTCCTGCGGGCGTCTGGTCGTGCCACTCTTCATCGATGACCTGGAATCTGACCATTTCGTGATTATCGTAGAAGAGTCTGTCGTCCTCAATGTTCCAGATCCATAGCTGCTCTGAGTGGTTGCTAGAGTCGCGTTAGTGACGCATCAAGGTAGCAAGGCAGGTCTGGCTGCACGTACAACTCGGCACCCTCGGGAAGCTCATCAAAGGGGATGAAGATATCGTCAAAGAAGTCGGTTCTCAGGTTAATGCCGGCCGGCGTCGAACTTCTAATTCTTCCAATCATGACTTCGCCCTTGAAGGGTCTGAAGACGATGAGTCTGAATTCAACTGCCGCATTTGTTAAAGATGATTTAAAAAAAAGTTAAAAAGTTTGATGGGCTTGAGCTCGTAGAATTACCATTGACGTTGACGAGGCCGGTGCCATGGCCGATGAGGCCCTCAGAAGTCCACAAAAGATCGTAGAGGCAGATACAAAGTCCGATCTTCTGGATGACCTTGTTGGCGTACTTCGCATTGATGTTGTCCTCAATGGCGGCTTTGCTCTTCTTGCGGAAGTCTTCTGGTGCGATTTCGACCAGATCCGCAATCTTGGTCTTGATTGGGTCCTTTGTGTTAGTGACACACTCAGGTGAAATTTGTGAGTTTTCGAGTCTTACTAGGATGAACATGTTGAACGCTTTGTCTTCGAGGTGGCGGATTGAAGACCAGAAAAGTCCCGGGTAAAGATACTATTGATCCGGCAGCATCATCCGTCCCCTCAACGCCTCTGGAGGGTCGTGTTCGGGTCTTTCGAGTGGTGGTTCAGTGTATTGTGCCGGCGCTCAGTGAGATCGCAAAATCGGCAAAATCGCGGGGCGCTGTGGTCTTGGGAAGTAGATTGACTCTTACCGCCCTCTGCGTTGAGTTTAGCCTTAGCGGTTGCAGGGTGCATGTGTATCCCTGTGGCCCACCACGCTTTAGTGGCTCGAGGTCTGTCCAGGCGGCGCGCCTCTGTCGCAAGCCGCTGGAACTGTTATTGCGGGACCCGAAATGACTGCAGGGCGACTCCGAAAGCTCAAGTCCTAGGGGCTCCACGCACTCGCCTCACCTTCGCGTCAGGTCAGGGAAACTGCGTCCAGCCGTCTCTTCCATCCTCGAGCCTTTCGCTTCCCTTCCTTCATCACCTCAATCGTTACAGGTCGGCCGCCTTTCTTCTTTTCTCCAACTGGCGCTCTCTGCATAGAACACGCTACTTTCGAAAGGGCAATACTGTTTTTTGCTACGTCGATCGAATTTTGAACCATCCCTGCTACTCTTCCAAACAAAGCACAAATCGTCAAGGTCGTTGCAATCGAACACTGCGTATTCTGCACTTTTTCACGGTTCCTTTCTTCCAGAACCCCGAACGCTCTTTGACAACTCGACTGCGAAGATAGGAAGAACGCGTCGTCGTCCTCGAGCCAACATGTCGGGCTACAACTACGGTCCCCCACCACCTCCGCCTCCGGCTGCCCAGGCTAGCCATCCTGGATATGGGCACCACGGCGGCGCTTACCAACAGCATTCACGAGGCGGAGGTGCTCATGCTGCCCGTGGCGGGCGCGCTGGTTATCCATCAAATGGTCGCCCAGATTATCCCCCGGCCCATCAGCCTCAGTACGAATATCCCCGCCAGCAGCCATACCCTCAACATAGCCCAGGATATCCCGCCCAGCAGCAACAACCTGCTGGCAGCAACTACCCTCCTCAGCAGCAGTGGCATCAAGACCACGCACATGGCGCCGCCCAGCATGGCGCTCACGCTCCTACGCCTCTGTCGACGTCCAACTACCATCCAAACTACGCTCCCCAGGTCTACGCTCATCCTCAACACCCACAACATCCTCAGCCGCCATCTCACCAGCCAGCCTACGGTCCACAGCAGCCGCAACAACCACAGCAGCAACCCTACGGCCAACCGTATCCCGCTCCTGCACCATATACCGCTGGCCAGCCGTGGGCTGGACACGACCCCCATGCTCAAGGTCCCTACGGCGCTGGTCGCGGCCGTGGCGGTTACGGAAACGATCGAGGCGGGTCCCGAGGTCCTAACATGGCCACGCCTGCTCCAGTAGCCTACGGTGGTGAAGGAGTTCACCATCAAGCGAATGGTGGATATGGTCAGCCGTATGCCGATCCACGCGCGCAATCCGTCCAATACCAAGCTCCACCTCAATATCCGTACCATGCCCCTCCTCCGGCACCTCACGCAGCGATTCCTCCACAGGAGCCGTACTACAAACATGATGGACAGGCCGGTCGAGGTCGTGGTGGTCATCGTGGTGGCAACCCACGTGGTCGTGGCTCGTTTCACGGCAACGACAGGGGTCGTCATCGTCAACAGGGCAATAACAGTCACAATCACAACCATAACAACCGACAAGACGGTGGATTCCACCATAAGCATGATAAGCACGACAATGCTGCCTCGGGTAAGAAGAAGAAGCGTAAGACTAACACCCTTGGTCTTACACCTGGCCAAGACTCGGAGTCGGAAGACGATGAGATGGAAGAGGAGACGCTTCGCAAGTTGATAGGAGCAGATGCACTACAGTAAGTCGGATGGCCATGTCAGATTTTGCTCTATCTAACCGTCTCGTAGGGTGACTGATGTCGCTTCATACATTGCCGAGCGGAAGAAGCGCTTCCCTACGGCTGCGCGTGTCAAGGCTAAGAAGTCTGCCGAGACCACGCAAGGAAGTGGCAATAAGATCCATTCTAGTCTGGAGAAGGAGGAGAATCTCGCCAGCAAGCTCAGGAGACAACTGGAAAAGGTTGAATCGTCTATCAAGCGCAAGCGTGAACAGCAAGACGAGGGCGATGAGATGAGAGACAGCCCCTCCATTGACATCAAGTCTGAAGACGATGAGCCAGAAGTCGCGTCAAGTCGTGTTCAGCCGGCCCCTCCACCCCCTCCTGCAAAAAAAGCAGACATCTCAAAGCATTGCAAGTACTACTCTACGGGAGGTACTTGCGGCAAGAAGGGCAAGTGCCGCTTCGTACATGATCCTGCTGTTAGGGAGGCAGCCATGAAGGAGAGAGAGATGAACAATGGCCACCTCACCATCCAGCAGCGCTTGATCTTGAACGACAAGGACCAAGAGGACCTTACTGTTCTTCAATCAATTCAATATCTGCGGGAGAAAGGCTTGATGAAGCCTGAAGATCAGCCTAATGGTACCAACGGGCACAATGGGTCACAGACCTCCCAATCTCAGTCCCGCCAGCACCCCAGCAGTCTCCCTGCGGCACCTGCTTCTCTCCCAGCGCCGCCTATGAAGCACCACGGGCTTCCTCCCCACAAACCGCCTCCTTCTGCAGGCGGATCTACGGTTCGATACAAAGGCTGGAACTTGAGTGGATATGGGAACTCAGGTCTCAAGTCGGAAGATCTCCCATAGATGGCTACCATCAACGGCCAAAGCCGGAGGTTTACCAAAACACTCCAACTCTGCACCGCTTCTACTTGAAGTGTGCTTCGGTTCTTTCCTGAGCAGTCTGCCTGAGTATGGCGACCTCGAATCATGCAACAGGTCTCTCGCTATGGCGGAGAAGTCGTCCTGATGCAGCGATTCAAACTAGCAGCGATGTTTATGTTTTATATCTGATCGAATTTTAAGCCACATCAAAGAAGTTGGGCGTGGAAAGAGCATGATTAGGAGGATCACATCACCAATTTTATGCCAGCCCCCGTTTCCTTGATTTTCACCACACTCGGACGACTCCGGCTTTGACATCTCGGTTTCTTTGGTTGCGTCGGTTACCTTCCAGGGCTTCATCTGCAAAGTTGCGATCCCAGATCGCGTGTAAGATCGTTTTATGAATCCAAAGGGGACGAGACTGGAGACACGACGGCATGGCGCAGCTTCTACTTACCAGTCTTACGAGTTTAGAACCGTCGGAGTTTCCGGCTTTAGGAAAGGGGCTGAGTAGCTCCACGCAATGGCTTTGAGTTATTCGCTTCGTAACTTTTCAGAGGAGTTTAGGACTGGCTGCAGCCCGGTTCGTTTGTACCTGATACCTCAAGGAGGGCTTCGCATCGGGCTTATAGAACGGAAAACTGCCATGGGTTCACATTTCGGTGTCTTGGTGCAATTGAATTTTAGTCAATAAAGAATAAATCTTACGTCTTGGAAAACTCGATTGGTGGTGATTCAATGAAAGTTTTACGTGATTATGACTTGAAAGGTCTTGTCTATGGACCTGCCAAGTCTCGCATCTCGTGGGTTACAGAAAAGGACTCGGATGCCATGTTGAGGTAAACGTTTTCGGGTTTGGCCAGTCAACAACTACGGACGTAATAACATTAAGCTAGTACTCGATGGTGGCCGAGGTATCATTGAGCCGTGGCACGTATCTACCTGTTCCCTATGTGATGATTTATGAAAAGAGGCCAAAAGAGACCGGCCGTGGAGTGTAGTAATATCCCATAATGATGATAGTGACAAAACAAACTTGAAGTTCAAAATGAACGCCTTCGCTAATGTGATGCTGAGCCGCGCCTGTACCGGTGCAAATACCTCAGAAGTGCCAGATCCAAACCCCCTGTTGGTAAAAGATAATGGGAGAAATGGAGGTTGGAGATGATGGAGGAAAAGAAAACCTAGCGTCGTCGCTGCTCCTCGTAGAATCTGCGCTTGCGCTCCTCCTTTTCGGCCTTGAGACGCTTCTCGAGCCGCTCCTGTTCAATATCCTCGCGACGGGCCGCGCGCTCAGCCGCCGCTTCCTCGTCCCACACGTCATCCATGCCGGCCTCCATGTCTGAAGACCCATCAGAGTCGTAGTGGTACCGGGGGCCACGGTCGTCTTCCTCGTCTTCGTCGTACTCGATAAAGTCGTCGAATTCCTCCTCCTCTTCCTCGTCGTAACGTGAACGTTTCGCGGAGCCGCCGTACCGCGGGGCGGGTCGGGAGTTGAGGAGGGCGCCTCCTGGTGCCGGCTTCTTCTTTGCCGAGGTAGCTCCGGGTTTCGGGCGGGCGGTGCCCGTGTATCCTGTGGTGGCGACGGCGGCTTTCTTGAGCTTCTTCTGCTGCTCTTCCTCGGCGGCAGCCGCGCGTGCCTTTACGCCAGCCCTAGGGTCTCTCGCTCTGTCGGCGGTTCCGTTCCGGCTGGCACTTGACCCGATTGCACTGACCCCATTACGTGAAGGCGGAGCCGAAGACGGCCTTGAGGTACCCTGAAATTTCGACGCCGGCCTCGCTGCGCCCTTGGGGTCCTTCTTGTAATCCTTCTTCATCTCCTCTCGCTCTTTCTTGGTAAATACCTTTTCCACCGGCTTGTGCTGAATCTTGCCGACTTGGCCCAGTTTGGTCTGAGCCTGTTGAGCCCGCGCCATGATCTCGGCGAAAGATCCCTTCTTTGGCGGTGCACCTTTCGGTGCCGCGGCAGGAGCTGACGGAGAAGGTCGACTAGGCAGTGTCGATGTCACTCTGGATGTGCCCGAGCCATTCACCGGCCTGGCACCGGAAGAGCTGGATTTTGTTGACGTCGTGCCATTTCCGACAGGCCTAGGCGCAGACGTGGATCGATCGGATGGTCGTCCGGCGCTGCCTCGATAGCCAGTGGTTGTTGTCGAAGACTTCTCCGCAGGCCGTGCGGGTCTTTGAGCATCTGCAGATCTGGGGGGTGCAGACGAGCTGGCACCGTTTGTACTTGTTCGCGGAAGCTTGTTCGAGACGGTGCTGCGGAGGTCGTCGTCGGCTTTCCTTTTCGGGGGCGGAAGGGCTGGCCTCGATGGAGCTGGTGATGTGCTTTGTGACTTATCGCCACTTATTTGGGCGAGGAGATCTCCAATCTGTGAACCACCCGTCGTCAGCCCTGTCCCAGTAGTCGCTAAAACGTGTCGTCGCATCTCCAGAGCACTTACAGGCATGGTGACGGACTGCTAAAGCCAAATATCGTCAAGCAAGTGTCTATGTTGCTTGCAGCGGCCGTCAGGATGCATCAGGCGGACGCTTGAGTCATCAGTGTGGAAAGTACGAGAACTCAAGTTTCTGCGCTTCAGCGCCCCCCTCTCAAAAGACTGAACACGCGGGCGTGTCCGTCGGGTCTGGGAGACGAGAAATAGTAGAGAAAAAATGAGGAAAATTCGCGAAAAATGAGAAGGCGGTCGCGAAGCGCACAGCACAAACACCCGACGGTCGTTAAAATCGAAAGTTGGGTGTAGAGGACAAAAGGAAGTGGCGTTGGAGTCGGCAAGTTTATATATGTTGGCCTGGGGGTGGAATCACTGGTACCGTCCTTCCAGTACCGTCCACCTAGGTTCCTTGGACTGTGGTCCAATCCGTTAGCCTATCCGGAAGCTGGAGTGGCTCCGATTCCGGTGGAGTGAGATCCACTGGGCCCTTGGCGCTTTGACGCTGGGCTCTCGGTCGATTTCTGGTGGTAGAATTCAGAAGGCTGTCAGTGGTCCACGGGCCGAGCAGATGTAGGGGTGTCTTGAATGTGGCTGGTGAAGCTGAAGGCAGGATAGGTGTGGCTTGTGCGGTTTTTAGTCGGCTATCCCAGCCACCGACCGCCCTCCCCGCCCTAAGGTAGGGTCCCGCACCCTCTGGCTCACAAAACGAAAAAAAAGTTCCATTTCCGACAACCATCCGAATCTCAACAACCACGCGAAAATCTCCCAAGACTCGAAGATTCAGTCTCCGCCCAACTTCGCGGTTAAATTGATTGACCTCTCGTGTTCTTTACGACAAACAGTGAGTTTCCCCCCTTCTTCTCTACGCAAGATCTCCATCTCGTCACCAATCGTCCTTCATATTTTCGACGTCGGCGCAAAAAATCAACGATCTCTCTTTTCTAACAATCGTTCGTCGCAGAAAATCATTCAAGATGAAGCACCTCGCCGCTTTCCTCCTCCTCGGCCTCGGTGGCAACACCTCCCCCTCTGCCAAGGATGTCAAGGCCGTCCTTGAGTCCGTCGGTATTGAGGCTGATGACGAGCGCCTGAACAAGCTCATCTCCGAGCTCGAGGGCAAGGACATCAACGAGGTTCGTTACGACTTTGGTATTGCGACAGACGCAAAGGACGTAGATGCTAACAAGGTACACAGCTCATCGCTGAGGGCTCCAGCAAGCTTGCCTCCGTTCCCTCTGGTGGCGCTGGTGGTGCCGCCGCTGCTTCCGGCGGTGCTGCTGCCGGTGGTGCCGCTGAGGACGCCCCCAAGGAGGAGAAGGAGGAGGAGAAGGAGGAGTCCGACGAGGACATGGGATTCGGTCTCTTCGACTAAATACCCCTCTCACGCCCTCGCCTCATCGAAGAATATACGCAGCAATCGGCCGACGTTTTCACAAGTCATTGACATGGGGAAATCTCTCTTGGGTTGGGCTTCGGCACACGTTTGTGTAGGAACACCTGCTAGGTTCGGTCAAATAAAAAGCTCGCTGGTTCTTTGAACAATATTGCCCGAAATGATTTACTATGTGGTCCCCCTGGTTGACTAACATGTGGACGTCCACTCGAGTTTTGGATGTTTGCGCTTTCTTCATAATGTCACGGATCTCGAATTCTGCTTCATGTGGGGCAGTATGTTCGCGACATGATGCACGTTAGTCGGGCGCAACCCATTTTTTGAAACTTAGGACCGAAAGTTGTGACTGGTCTCGCTCGGTATATCTTAAGCGAGAAGATACCTTGCATAGGGATTGCATCAACTTAAAGATGAAAGGTAAGGTAGGCTGCAGGCATTAGACACCGATTGCAGCCTCAGGCAAGACTTTAGTGCTTAGTCCTAACTTCCAAGCTCCAATTCCATGTGCCCAACGAAGAATGTGCCGCCTTACGCTTTGCTGTTCAGCCCATCGTTGCTCCGACAACAATATCCCCCGGTCTTGATTTCTCATTGGCCCACCCCTGCTAGCCCCAAATACTGGGAACGTCCTCAATTGACAAGGAATCGACACATCCCTCCGACATACAAGATGCTAGTGACGCGCCGCATAAACTAATTTCTCCTCCATTTGCAATCTTTCGGATCATGGGCACATTTGACACGTAAAATAGTGTTCAATCGCCAAAATCAATCGCTTTCTTTCTGGCGGAAGGTGTTTGGCAGTCGAGACGTGGAGATTCGCGCCACTAATTCCCAGCCCCCCGTTGCGCAAAATTGGAACAACAAACTATCCCACCAGCTCGAAATGTCGACAGCCTCTCCCACGCCGCTGGGCACCGCCGGAACCGGCCTGTCACGAAAACCGTCCGTACGACAAGGCCTCAGAAGGCTGCCCTCTCGCCCACATCTCAATCGAAGCGAATCCAACCCTGTTCATGCGACCGCCGCTGTACCCGCGCTCTCAAAAAAGGCAGACTCGCAGCAGTACGCCATGCACGATAGCTCCGATGACGAGATACCCGTGCCTATGAAGCTCAGTGCCCTCACCAAGGCGCTTCTCAACGATGGAAGCGGGCCCGAACCGCAACGAGCAGCTTCCCCGCCTAGAACACGTCGCCGCGTCAGTAACCTTGCCGCGTCTACGAGCTCTGCAACGGAGGAGAGAAGGTCCCTCCGATCGGGAAGTGCCCAAGCGTACGACACAAGGTCAACAAAACCCACGTCGCCGCTACAGAGCAGAGAGAATAGCCCTGTGCGGAAAAGAGTTGTGAGACTCAGTAATACGCCCAAAAGCCTCGGCCAGATGCGTCCCGCCAAGAGGAGGTCTACCTCGCTGTCCCGATCAACGAACCAACGTCCCCAATCTAGAAGTCGGCCAGAGAGCCGAAACCAATCCTCAGATGAGAAGAATGAACCACCCCAAGATGTCAACACACCAGCCCAAGGTATTCGCGTTGTCCGGATTGCTGCTGGCTCGTCCGGCAATAGAAGTCGCCTCACCAACTCATCCAGTCATTCTAGGCGTTCAGGTTCCCACATGGAACAGGACCACCCGGAGGAGCCATTCACAGTAGCACGCCACGCCGCCGGTATTAATCCCGGCAGTGTGTCCCGACAAGCCTCCAATGCTGGAAGAACCACCAAGGCTGAGGACAATCTCGCACTGCAGGGCTCAATGCGCGTCAAGCGAGTAGGCAAGATTCCCGGAAGCTTCTTGAGCGGCCCCGCTCGACGTGGACGCAGAAGGCAGAGTGAGGAAGAGGCGGAGGCTAATGGCGATGGCGATGGCGAGGGTCTGATCTCGAGCCAATATCACGATGGACACGGCGCAGACATGGAGAATGAGATGGCATCATCCTTCTATGGCAACGGCAGACAAATGTCATCAGGCAGTCCAGTCGCATTGAGCGATCCTTCCAGAGCAACGCATCGCAGGCCTGCGTCGTATGCTGAACCACCGGCCCCTTCTTCTGCTCGCCATTCTCCCCAGGAAAGAGACGAGCCAGAAGAGATTCATTACAAGTTGCCTGCGCCGCGCCCTCAAGTTCCCTCCTCTCACGATCAGGAGAATGAACCGGTGTCTATAGTACGAAGTACGAGGCCTACCGCCATCAAGCCTGCCGAAATGGTCATGGAAAAAGTAGTCAGGCGCTCTATCAACCCCGAGGCTGCTCAACAGAGACCCGCGGCATCCCCTGAGCGCAAGCCTCTGGCCTCCCTGGCCAACAACACTCCGCGCCGAGCCGCTCCCCCGCCTCCGCCTAAGATGTCTGTTCTTGATGCTGCCACCACATCCGCAGGCGCAGCGACAACTACTCAAGGCAAGCAAAGGCGAAATATCCTTCGTGTCAACGGAAAGTCCTACACAAGACTCGACTGTCTGGGCCGAGGCGGTAGCGCTAAGGTCTACCGTGTTACTGCCGAAAACGGGGCAATGTTTGCATTGAAAAGAGTATCGCTGGAGAACGCGGACGAGTTGACCGTCCGGGGCTACAAGGGCGAAATCGACCTACTTGGCAAGCTGAGAGGCAATGAACGAGTCATCAACCTTTTCGACTATGAGATGAACAGTGAAAAGAAAATGCTCACTCTAGTAAGACACCCTCTGTTAGATCATGATGGCATTGCTAACCCGTACTCAGCTTATGGAAATGGGCGAATTGGATCTCCATACCCTTCTCAGGAGCCGCCAAAATCCCGAATCGCCTAAATTTGATTCGGTCTTGGTCCGCTTCTACTGGAAAGAAATGCTGGAGTGCCTGCAATCAGTACACCAGTCCGAAATTGTGCACTCCGATCTTAAACCAGCCAATTTCGTTCTTGTCAAGGGTCGCTTGAAACTCATCGATTTCGGTATTGCCAATGCAATTCGAACAGATGAGACTGTTAACGTTCACCGCGAAACGCAAGTGGGCACACCGAATTACATGTCGCCCGAGTCGCTCCTAGACTCCAACGCGCCTCGAGGCGGTCGAGTTCCTGGGCGACCCAAGCTGATGAAAGTCGGAAAGCCAAGCGATGTCTGGTCTCTCGGGTGCATTCTGTACCAACTGGTCTACGGAATGCCTCCCTTTGGCCATATCAGCAATCAAATGGCAAAGTGCCAAGCCATCATCAACTGGGACCACGACATCGAGTTCCCGTCCAGGGCCATGGGTGGAGTTCCAGTACCTCCTTCTCTGTTGCGAACCTTGAGGCGGTGTCTCAACCGCGATGTCGACATGCGACCTTCATGTGAAGAACTCCTTCACGAGACCGATCCTTTCCTATACCCCAATGAGATGAGCGAAAAGGCACTTCCCATTGACGAAGAGCTGCTTGGTAGAATCATCCAGAGCGTTGTCTCGAGGTGTCGAGAACGCATGCCGACAGATGCGGAGGCCATGTCTGTGTGGCCGTCGGCTTACTGGACCAGTGTCAAAAAAGCAACGAATCCGAGCAGGTGATGAAAGCGTATGAGCATTGTTGTTGGATCAGGCGTCATGGAGACATTACTTGGGTTTAATGATCATTGGAATATCCATAGCTCGGAGTTTCTTGGGCTGTTTGTTTTACTTCTTGTTCAACTGCTTCGTGCAGTCGTTTTCTTCCCCACCACTGTTTTCAATATTGATTCCCTAGGCTTCGGCCTTCCCCCATGATTGGGCACGTTTTTTCTAGAGACGCAGACATAGACAATGCGTCTTATCAATTGTACTACAGCCTTTTGGCTTCAACATTTTCAGCGACCATCAAAAGTCCCTAATCCTACATGACGTGAATGTATTTATTTGTCTATTGGTACAGCCCCAGTGGGGAACAATACAAGGACATTGAATCATACGACCCATGGCCTACTATTCCTGATTCATACTCGAACAAGCTTGCACATCCCCTAGCCCTGCCTCTTAAGCCTCAATTTCCTCAGGCGCATTGATCTTCAGCTCGCTAATCGTCAGCATCGTGTAGCGGTGCTTGCTCTTGACCGTCTTCACTTTTCGCTGCCTCCTCTTCGTCTTCTCCTTCATTCTCATCGGCTCGCTCTCCGTGCCCGTTACGACGGCACGGCACTCGTATACCCGCTCGTCGATGAAGGGTGAGCCCTTGAGGGTGTAATCTCTGCTACCGATGACCGAGGCGCGGTTGAGGCGGAGGACGTCGCCGGGCACGACGCCGGGCATCTTGAAGGGTAGGCGGACGCTGTCGCCGGGCTGGACGAGGTACGGGCGTCCGTGGATGTGGAAGGTGATGTAGTGGTTGGGCTGGGCCGCTAGGAAGGGCAGCGCCGCCTGCACGGATTCGGAGATCGGGGTCGTTGTGGACGGCGTCGACGTCTGGGCGGCGCCGGCGGCGGCCTGTTGTGCTATTGAGGAGGTTTGCGCGGCGACGGGAGGCGCATCTTGTGCGGTTGCGGCGGGCTCGATGATGGGTGCCGTGGAGTTGAAGCGGCGGGCGTGGGTCGGGAGGAGGAAGGTCGGCGGGAGGCGCGTGATGGGTGTCCTGAGCTCCAAGACGGAGCGCAGCAATGTGCGACTCATCTTTTGATGAATGGAGGTTTGGAATGATTTGTTGTCGTTGGACAGAGAGACAGTCGGACCTCGTTTGTCGGTCCAATTGCTGGTCTCTCACGTTCGTCGACTTTAGCTTTCTGCGCGACTGGGAGCCGGCCAACACGAAGCTTCAAAAAAGTTCGGATAGACCTGGAGTGCAGTTCCTCTGGCTGCTCGGAAAATATGTTGCTCCGCTGATGCAAGCAGGGATGCTGGCGGCTGGACCTCGAATTTTTGGGGTCGGACCCCACATCGCTATCGATATGGGATTTTTTTTTGGCTACCCGCCACTTCGACGGACGACGACCCTGAGGAGCTTCGCCGACATCATCAATACGGACGACCAGACTCCGTCCAGATCAGCAACCCCATCTTGTAAAGTCGAAGTCGCTACGGGCGTAAATCACTCAAGATGCCTCAGGTGAGTGGCTTTCCCGCGCGCGACCCTCTATTCTCATACAATGTACTGACAAATTCGCAAACAGAACGAGGTACGATATGCCCTCCGAAGGGCCTCTCCGTCTCCCAATCTCGGCTAGGCTAACAAAGAAATTGTAGTATATGGAGAGATGGCGCAAGCTTCATGGTCGGAGGTTAGAATCTTGAAAACGAATAGGAATGTTGACGAGTGAAGGGCTGACGTTCGACTTTTTCCGCAGACTCGATCACGAGGAGAAGGCCCGCAAGAAGGAGGCTCGTGAGGGCCACAAGGCGTCCAAGGATGCGCAGAACCTGCGCGGTCTCCGCGCCAAGCTTCACGCGAAGAAGCGCCACAACGAGAAGATCCAGATGCGCAAGCAGATTAAGGCCCACGAGGAGCGCAACGTCAAGACCAACGACGAGAAGGAGCCCTCCGAGCCCATGCCCGCCTACCTGCTCGACCGAAACAACCCGAGCAACGCCAAGGCCATTTCTTCCCAGATCAAGAATAAGCGTGCCGAAAAGGCCGCCCGTTTCCAGGTTCCCTTGCCCAAGGTCAAGGGTATCTCTGAGGAGGAGATGTTCAAGGTCATCTCGACCGGAAAGAAGACGCACCAAAAGTCCTGGAAGCGTATGATTACGAAGCCAACTTTTGTCGGACCTAACTTCACCCGGAGAGATCCCAAGCACGAACGGTATCTATTCCTACGCGTTTGGCGCCAATTTGGCAGTTTGAGGATCCTTGCTAACGAGATGCTCCAATATCAGATTCATCCGTCCTATGGGGTACGTGACCGGAAGCGCTCCGTCTTCTCCTCCGTTTTACTGACAATGATTTCTAGTCTGCGTTACAAGCACGCGCACGTGTGCCATCCGGAACTCAACGTCACCGTAAAACTGCCAATTTTGGGAGTCAAGAAGAACCCTCAGAACCCTCTTTACACGAACCTGGGTGTCCTCACGAAAGGAACTGTGCTGGAAGTAAACGTTTCTGACATGGGCCTTACGACAGCGAGCGGCAAAGTGGTTTGGGGGAGATACGCCCAGGTGACAAATTCACCGGTAAGTGAAATTCCATCGAAAAGCGCGGCTATTTTGCTGTTTTGAATGCTTCGTTTGGCTGCTTCGACGAGCGGGTCGTGGCACAGTGTCAGCTTTGTAAGACGAGAAGCTAACCGCACGGTGTTTTTCAGGAGAACGATGGCTGCGTGAACGCAGTCCTGCTCGTTTAAATGGAAACGGGAAAAAAAGTCAAGGCTATCGCGCAAGTAGTGTCACATAATGGCATCGGGACACAGCAGGGACGCCGTGCCTCTATCGAAACGTGGAGCGGAAAAGTCTAGGAGGTAGTGGTACTTGGGGCAGTCAAGTCCCAGCTGGCGTTAAGGCGTTCTGTCACCTCGTGTAAGGGGGGAATGGGTGGATGCCCGTGAGTGACAATTTGAAAAAAAATTCCAATCTAGGTAGATGAAACAAGATTCCCATTTGTACACTGGTCAAGGATAACTTGGGTGACGACGGTGACTGCAAGGTATACGCTGCTTGCATTGAGAGCCCTTTTCGACCCCGCTCCTTCATTGCCTACCCACGGCCAGCCAGCTTAATGTCTGGGTCTTGCTCTCTCCAGCTCAAGTTGGATTCGCCCTCCAAGAATTGCACCGAATCAGACGCGCTTTCCTCCCACTGATCAAATCTTGCATTCGATAGAGCCGGAATATCGAAGTTCTTCTATACACGCTCTCGTCTGTGAAGGCCCACAGTCGAGGAAACGGGTAGTGAAGGGGTGTTGTCCTCCAGAGCGCACATGAAATATGACGACGGTGGAGATATCAAACTTCACTCATTGACAGAGCCAAATCACCTACGACTATGTGAGAAGCGGGTTCCGGGGTTGAACGCCATCGCAAAACACCCACCCAGCCAAGTCCAGTTCGCCCATCACATTTGTAAGCCCGGGGCACCTTCAGTCTCCTCATTCACTCTTTTTTTACCCCAGATGTCTAGGGAAAGCACCATATAAGAAAAGCAAAACAGAGACAAAAATGAGCTGCCTGTGGCATTATGTAGGGCCACCAAATTCGATCTCGCGATCGCTTGCCGAAACCAGGCATTCAACCATCCACCACTAGGCCATATACATTTCAAGCGCTGCTCATGCCTTCCTCTTACCTTTCGTTGCCTTTAAAGGGTTCACTTGCTTCACTAGGGGAATGAGCCTAGGTGACGCCTTTTCAGTCCTGCGAGTATTCATCAGGCAGGCATCCAATGGGCCCTTTCGAGTGTGGATGTTAGTTGCACGTAATAACTCACTAAATGAATGGCAGTGATTGCTGTGGCATTTCCGTGAGCTTGAAATTACTTCACGGTTTATCTCATGCGGTGTAAACGATATTTGCGAGATTCGAGCGCCTAGTTGCTTGTGTGGATGGAAGCTCCCACGAAAAGGGGAATGCCGCCCTCGCACTTTGGTGCGGTTCAGGGCTCGGCAGCGGTATTCCACCTCTCCACCTCGTTATTTTCCAAATTCAAGCAAATTATTGTCACCAAATACTACTCGTCAAGGTTGACACACGAAATGGCTGGACGCCTTATACGATGGCACCGTCACAAGTCGGGCATCAAGTCCGTTTGCGAAAGATACAAATACAACACCCACGAAAACAGGAAAGAGATATCGATAATGTGACGGCTTGCAAGTACTGAACCACAAGTTTGTGACGCTCTATACAAAACGGTCGTTCAGAAATGAGCTGAGTGCTGAACGTATCTATATAGATGTACAGGTGTCAGGACCGCAACGTTTTCAAATCATGAGAGGATTCGGATCTTTCGAGTGTTGTTTTCACACACCCATTCTTATCCCGCAACAATGTATCTGTTAATATTTCTATCGATTTAGACTGATAGAGCAGCCTTTTACGGATGATTTGCTCTCTTAATTAGGCCAGTAGCATCATAAATAAGGGGTCTTGCTCCAGGAGGCGAGACCAATCTGTGGAGGAACACGCCCATTACAAGATGCACAATGATGAGATACTTTGAGATAATTTCCATGCTCCATCTGCAGATAATGCGCAACGCCTTATAGCGGGAGGTCCGTACTCTACTCATTCTGTGCTGGGTCCCCGCCTTTGGTAGAAGGCCCTGAGGAGCCTTGCGGCACATTGTTAGTCTCTGGTAAAGGGAGTGGTTTCCCAGCATGTCCCTCTAGCTATGTCCGCATTCTCTTACTAAAGGCGACTACCTTATCTCAGGCAAAGAGAAAGAGAGAGAAATGACAACTTGGTGGTCGCCTTTCTCGGCATAGGAGAAAAATCGCGCAGCTCGGGTGGAGAAACGTACTCGAGACTCGAGGATCAAGTTCCAGCCAAGTGTATTGTCTTGCGAGTCTTCCCCTGGGCGAATTGACTCATACATAAATCATTCAAGGGATACGAAGGTGTTTTATGCCCAAGCGATATGTCCGTTCTCTTGGGATGAAAGTCGGAGTACATTACTGGAGCCCCCTGCTTAAAGCTGACGTACGAAAAACTCTGTGTTCATCTATAACCTAGAAGTAACAAAGCTGCACACTACAAAGTAGAACCAAAACAGCTCTCAATACTCCTCCCCGCCTCTATCAAAGCATTCCTTGAAGAATACCCACCTACCGCGGTAGGACGATGACTCTTTCCAACTTTAAACCCCCGTCTTGACTGCCTTATGAAGATCGGAAAGATAATGTATATGAGATATTCTCAGCCGACAGCAGTACGACTATCTCAAGGAGGAATGGATTTCGTGTAGACTTCATCCAGGAAGCCCCATGTTGTCTTGTCGTATCCGAGCTTTTGCGCGCTGGGAAGTCGGCATCTTATAGAATCCCAAGCCGTAGACCAGCTGGTGCGTGACATCGTATCAAAAATCATAAAACAACTCCCACGATTTGGTGTATTTCAAAGGGAGAGGATCGTCAGCGTGCCAGGAGATGGCAGTGCAACGCATGGTGAGAAGGACGCTTCATAATATGACTAGACATGGCAACAAGGTTCATCTATCCTGACACTCTAACGCATAGAGAAAGCACAGTTCTCTTCAACAAAGTGCGACCCGAGTAACGAGGGCAAGCCACCCCCCCCCCGAGACTCCTACAGAAAATCGTGACAGTATACCCACGCCAGCCATTGAAGGATCGACAAGGCCCATTTTCAACTCAAAGAAACAGGGACTTGCGAATGCAAGCTATATAGTACAAACCATCAGTAGAAAGTTAGCTTCTGCATACCAAGGACCTCCAATCATCAAGACAAATATCACCGAATTCTTCTATACCAGAACTTCGGGCCTCTTGATGTACTCTACGGTAAGAGCTCTGGTTCAAAAACACAATCCAGACTCATGCTGGCCGAGTTCTCCAACCGAGACGCGTTCTCACCTTTGCGTAATGAAGTAGTTAAAAAGTGCTTCCTCCGGCACCAAAGCCGATGTTGAAAAAATTCGATCACAGGCATGTATAGTGCGTGCAGGACGCCAGTAGTTGATTCAGAATGTTGTCTCTCATTGGACTTTGATTTGTTTGGGATATATCCTTCAATACCTGTCTTCCTCTCGGCCCCTTCCCTTAGATTCGAACAAAGCAACAAAGATTGGCATGTGTGTGTAATGCGACCCGATCAGTTGAAAAAAATGAAACAATCCGTCCCGTGTTCCCCGGTTTGTGACGAACGCAAAAAAAGAAATGAAGCAAAAAGTCAAGAAGACAAAGTTCTCAAGGGAAGCAGAAGAAGCTCCCTTGATAGGCCTCAAAACGAAAAACAATTGCGAACCCTGATTCCTCACACACATCCCTTGACATCCCTTGAAGATCCCGAACTGAGAGGGAGTTTGGTTATCCGCTCTTTCCAGTTTGACCCCAAAAACGCCGAAAATCAAAACAAGTGACCACGAGTAAGAAGGGAAGAGATTTAAACTATCATTACTTTGATGATGTGGTGGTTCGAACAATACTGACGGTGAAGAAGAGCAAAAGCCACCTGAGCTTGGGAGAGAAAAAGTCGGAAATTGCTCTGGGCTGCGAAGACTTGAATAGGAGCGCCGAAACAGAGATGAAAAGGAGGGCTCGTTCAAGAGCTTTGAGTAAAGCGACCGTCGGCTTGGACGGATCCATATAATGCTGTGGCGATGCAAAGAAATTCTCCATGAATGAAATGATAAGCCCGCCTCGTGAGGCTGCGAGGGATGTGCTCGTCAACGCCAGACTCTTTGATGTTGCTGTTATTGCTGTCATGCGGAGAGAGAATCGTTTAGTGTTCTTCTCCGGTTCCATGTCGTAACTTTCGTTGCTGTGAAAGAGATACGCAATTTTCGTGTATGAATGCATTCGAGTGTTGAGAGCAAGCATGGCGGGTATAGTAGACTAGGTATTTAGCCGAGCTTTCGGAAGCCTTCGACAGTAAGCATCGGGACTTCCACATCGCTGAGGCCAAGAACACCCTCATCGCGTCTGCGGTCGACGAAGCCGTTGCATTCGGCAACGACGATGCTCCACTCGGCCAAAGCACGACCGGCGTAAACGGCGCGCTTGACGTAAATTCCCGTCGGGCGAAGGGGCTGCGTAAGAGGCTCGGGGCCGGTCCTACGGCTTCCAGATTTGGACAGATGAGGCCGTTGCTGAGCCTGGAGCACGGCATGAGCCTGGGCCATGGCCTTGGATTGCGGGGGTTGGGGCTCAGGCTCCGACGGCTGCTGCGCCTCCTCCTCGGTCTTGCTCTCGGTAGGCGATGAGGCCGTTGATGAGTCGGAAGACACGGATGAAGCAGATGACTTCTCTGCACTTTCAAAGTCGAAGGTCATCAGCTCGACGTTCGGGTTGTTCTCAAAGTCGAACTTGTTGCTGAGCCTGCGCACGAGAGAGGATGACGATACCGCAGTGACCGAAGACTTGCGCTCGAGGGTGGGGGAGGCGAGAGGACTGGCGTTCCTGGCTTCGTCGACAAGGCCCTTCTTCTTGGAGCCAGAGACACATCGTGTAGGATCGGGAAGACCAGCAGCAGGTGGAGGAGGGTTGCTGCCGCTCCTCGAACGGGAAGTGACCCAGGCCTGCGCCGGGGCGGGGAGGCGCGGGCGAGTAAGGATACGATCGCGAGGCTGGGCGACAGCAGGAGACTGCCAGGTCAGCGTGAACTTGAACACGAACTTCTGCTCCATGAAGATTGGCGAGGCGCCCGGCGAGCTTCCGTCAGACGACGTCGTGACAGCTGAGGCCGATGAAGTGGAAATTTTGGGAGGCAGAGGCGGGCCTCCTTGACGGCGTTTGGAAAGAGTGGCAGACTTGGGCGGCGTCGTTTCCTTGCGCGAGGACTCATTGTCCTCGCTATCCGAACCGTTACCACCCAAAGACAGCACCTTGCCAAGCAGAGACCAGCGCTTCTTGCTGTTGTCGGGCTTGGCAACCTCCTTGGTTTCTGTCGCCGGTGTTGATGACATGACTCCCTCGCCATTGACAATTTTGGAGAACGAGTCGAAAGGCTGGTTGAAGTAGCCTGGTTGCGGAATGTTCACTTCCGTACGGATGATCATGAACTTCTTGCCCGGCGTGGGGAGGCATGGTGATGTCGAGGGCGGAAGCCTTCCTGCGGCATCGGCGTCGTTGCGGAGGAAGAGGTAGTGGGCCCAGACGGTCTTCAGTCTCGCTGCGGCAACAAGGAAGATTTCACTGGTGAATGTTAGTAAGTCTTGTTGACTTGCGGGATATGGCATAACTCACGCGTCAACTTCGTTCGCGCTGCCGCCGTCACGACATATGCGCCAGCAGAGCAGGCGCATGTAGTAGCCGCGCACCATTGGGCACCAGTGATTGAAGTAAGTGTCGAACGTCTCCTCGGAAAGCAGCCAGTCCAGACACAAAGCCTTCTTCCGTACCGGATTTGCCGTGACTGCCTCCCAGGTCGAGAAGATGAAGGACAGGAGCCGAACTTCCGTCATAGCGTTGTCGGAAATGAGCATCTTTCTGCAGACGTTGAGCCAAAAAGACCAGTCGATACTCTTGGCGATATTCGGGTTCTCGAGATCGTCGAGCTGGTCGTACGCCACCAATGCCTCTTCCAAGAAATCACAGAGCGTGAACACGGCGCTGTGGTCGAAAGCGGATACGCGGCGGGTCGCAGCACGAGTCACAGAGAGGAAGGCTTCAGCAAAGGTTCGTCTCGCGGCAGCAATGACTGGTAACGTTTCGCCCAGAATATCCTTCAACAACACAATGAGGCGGTTCTCGGCCATGTTCTTCAATAAGTTCCCTGGAATTGTCATCGCGGTCGCAGCAGCATCAGCACCGTAAAATGAATCCGTCGGCATGGGCGGGTTGTAAATAGCGTCGACTTCGGCCTGGCGGTGGATCGTGGACTCGATACACGCAAGAATCTGCGCCTGTACCAGTATAAAACCTGGTGACCGCGCCTTCTCAAGCAGAGGGAGGCCTTCGGGCATGAACTCCTCGGATAGAATGTGGTAGTACTTGCAGAAGATGAAAAACAAGTCAGTATCACCACCACGCCATCGCGTCACCCAAGGGCTGAACCAAGGGATCCTCGCCGCCATCACGGAAAGTTTCACTCGTTCCTTGAAGCGAGCACTGATTGTCTTTTGCGATTGCCAGCCCAATACGCCCACATTAGGTGGGAATAGGGCCATGATGTCCTCGCTCTCGCCGCCATTCTTCTTGGGCAGCCCAAACTCGTCAGCCGTCCTTCGAATGAGCTCGGGTCGCAAATCCCACAATCGCACGAGGATCTCGGCCACAGACGGGCAGAAAAAGAACGCGTACGCGCACGCCTTACCGCACCAATTGACGAGACTGAGAGGTGCGTGTCGGAGCGACATCTTCTCCACCACGATTTGCATCTGCCTCATGAGGTTGCTCACAAACATGGTCCGTACATTGTGCTCGGCGGATTCGGCAAGGAAAGCTTGGCTCGATGCCTGTGATGAGTCTGCTGTGGACTGGGTGCCCGATCGCGGTCGGACGCGTTCGTTTGGTGAGCGATCCACCAACGACATGAAGTACGTCGTCGTCTGTCGCCATTCTGGTCGCATCATCAGCATGGTCAAAGCCTCCAGCAGAACCGGCCGGTCAACGCCTGGGAGCTGCTGGCCCTGACCGTCCAGCATATCCAGCAAACCAGTCCACCACTTGTTCAGCACAATCGCCCTCCGCTCGACATCTTCCAGAATGAGTCCCTTGTTGGTGATGTGATTCATATAGGTTCGCAAAAATGGCAACAAGGTTACACGCACGGAATGCATGCGCTGGGCCATGGTTTTGGTGGCGAAGCTTCCACTCTCGGTGTCGAGCGACCGGAAAACCGACCAGATGGTGTCCTTGTTGACCGACATTTCGCTCATCAGAGACTCGTCCGTTGCTGTTGTTTGGGATTCGGCGAACGAAGCTGGTTTCGACTCGGGCTTTTTGATCTTATTACTATTATTGTTGTTGTTGTTACTGCTGTTTTTGGTCTTCTTGCTGGGCTGATCGTTCTCAACAGCAGGTTTGGGCGGAGGCAGGCTCAGTGATGATGGGGGCAAAGCATTCGTATCGATCTCGTTGTTTGATCCCAGGGTGATGAGCATGCTTTTCGGTCGCTGCTTAATCTTTGTCAAGAAAGTGCTGGTTCTGTTCAGGGTGCGTGCAGGCTTTAATGATTCGGCACTCTTTGAAGCGGCAGTCTCTGTGTCGACCAGCATAGACACTGGCCTCTTGCGGGTCGAGTCCACACCCTTGATGTTCTCGTTACTTGGGGCCCTGCTTCGGGAAGGGCGAGAAGGCGGTGGAGCGGGAGGGTCTGGATTTCGCTTCGGGGACGGGGAACGGGATGTGGACATCCATGACTTCTTCGCAAAGGTAGCAAAACTCTCCGAGACCGTCCTGGGGCGTTCTGGCTCGAGAGGTCGCGTCGGCGGTGTCGGTGCTACGGGGGCGGCAGACGTCGCAGCAAGAGGTGCAGCGCTCACGTGGTCTCCGGCATGAGTGCTGGGTCTTTCGGGCATGGCGGGTCGTTCGGGCACCGGCGGCTCCTTGAACTTTGACGGCGATCTAGATGTTGGTAGCCAAGATTTACGTCGCTCCATCAATGAAGCCCTCCTCCCCCTTTTCTGCAGCTTCTCGGCATCTTTGTCCTTCTCCTTTTGCTTTCCATCTCTCGTGTTCTCCTTGTCCTCCTCTTTTGGAGGTTTTAACAACATGGCCGGGTTTGGTCGTGGCGCGGCTGCTGCGGCTGCGGCTGCGGCCGCCTGCTCTTTAGCAGCAGCTTCCTTGGACTTGCCGTCGAGGTAGAGGTTGGTGTTGAACTCGGGAAGGGTGTCAAATGAGGGAAGCTCGAATGCAGCTCGTCCCTGCACGCTCGAGCCTTTCTGCTGTGTGGGTGCTGTTGTTGATGAAGTTGTAGACGCTCCTGAGGCGTTGTTACGGTCGTCGGAGGTATGGGATCGGTGTAGGTAAGAACCATTAACTGGTTGGACAACGGCCGGAGCCATCGTCAGCGTCGGGCCTTTCATTTCATGGCAAGTCGCACCAACACAATTAGAGAGGATTCCTCTGCCAGTACACACAGGTACAGAGACAGAGACAAGCAGCAGGTGCAGGTGTCGGTGCCCGTGCCGAGCTCTGGTGGGCTGTTATTTGCGATCGCGCGGGCAACAGTGACCTAGAGCATGCAGTTGCGACTAGGAATGCAATGTACGAGGGTCGATTTGGGTTGGGTAAGGGAGGACGGCCGGAATGCTCGGTGTGTTACGGTGGCACGACGTCTGCAGTCTCCCAAGTTAAGGTATGTAGTAAGGCGGCCTTGTGAGATAAGGTGTGGTTAAGGTCAAGTTAAGGAATTCCCCCTCAATTGGACATGACAAAAAAACCTGGGGTGTGTACAGGCAAGGAAAGGTGTTTCTTTGGTTTTGGGTTTGTCGGCGATCGGTATGGTAAGGTATGCTCTGGGCCGGCAGAGGGAGGGAGAAAAAGATACAAGGCGGCAAGTGGACGGGAGGGTTCGTTCGTTGAGGGTGGGCGATCCAGGGTGTGGATAATGAGATATGAATAGTATCCGTTCGGGGTCCGTAGGAACAAACCGTTCAGGTTCTCGAGACAAGAAGGAACAATCGAGGCGGAGCCGTAAAACGAGCGAAAAAGGAACGAACGACTGGTGGTGAGGCGAGGCAACCAGCTGCTTCTCTTGCGTCCCTTCTCAGGTATAAACCTTGATCTGGGTCTGTCTGGGTCTAGGTCTTGTTGTTCGGTGGTGGTTGTGGTTGTGGTTGTGGTGGTTGAGCGGGTTTGTCTGGGTTTTTGCTTTCCTGGTTCGTTGCAAGGTCCAATCCAGCGGCAGCTTCGTCGGGGATCAACTGTCGACGCAAGGACAACGCAAAAAAGAGGAGGCTGTTGCGTATCCGTACGGAGTAGATACTGTGTGTAGTAGTGTACACGGAGAAATCCCAAGGTCGAGCGAGGGTGTCTGAGCAGCGAGCAGGACTGGGAAATCTGAAAGTTGGTGCAGCCGCAGCGGGAGGTGACGGTCGGGGTGAAGGGTTCCCTGTCCAAGACTGGAGCTGGAACGTTTCAAAGTGAGAGAGGGCGATAAATAGCGGAGCTGGGAATATTATGACGGCCTCCACCTTTTTTTCTTGTCGCCAGGGAACGCGCGCTGCTGCTCTGATGCGACAGGAGAGAAAAGACGGTAGATGCTAAGATGATGCAAATTAAACGCCTTTCCGGTCACCGGGCGAGACAAGGAAGCTTGTTGGGGGAGGAGGAGGAGGAGAAGGGGAAAGAATTGTGCAAGAGGGTCTTGGACTCGATGGATCGGCCGATATTCAATGTCTCAAGAGGCAAATGACACAAGAAAATAACGAGAGAAAGCTGACAGCCCGGTAGGCAGAGTGACAGTAGACAAGGTAGCGAGAGTGGATTGGTAAGAGTCGTGCGTTTGCCCGAGGTACGGTAGCGAAAGGGATGACGAGATGTCAGAAAGATCTTTGGAAGGAAGGATAGGCACACAAGGGAAAGAAAGCTTCAAGGTCCAAGGCAGAAAGAGCGAGCGAGAGAGAGAATTGCAGGGACGGATCGAACAATCGGGAAACGGGAACACGACGGACGGGGGAGGTACGGGGGGGTACGGGGTTAGCGGTCACAGACGGAGGAGACGTAGACGCAGAGATGCAGCAAGTAAGTACCTTCGCAAGTAACAAGTAGCGGGTAGCAGTAATAATAGAAACCAGGAGCGCACATAATACGTCAGTGGGAATCAGGTATTAGCAACTGGAGTAGTAATATTACTCCCACTATGCCACATACAACGCACCTTACGCAGTAGTCCCTGGGAAAGTGAGGTGAGGGTACGGACTAATGGTAAGGTACATCACCGTACGCAGTACGAGGCAGAAGAAGTGCCATGTACTGTACCTGCCTCGTCTTGGCTTTGGTCTTTTTCGATAAGTCTCTTGCTCTTATTCTCATTCGTCCTAGATCATGATGAAGTATGCCTGCCTCTCTGATTTAATCGGAAGAAGCAGACATAGACGAAGAATATCCCGCTAAGCCACCAGATTCTAAGGTAATACACACGAGAAGGTACGGGCGGCCCAATGTAAGATTCAATTTCTCTTAAATCCATCAAATTGGTCCGCCTCATGTACAAAGATCCTAAGAATTGAGACGGTCAGCTTTCTCGCGGCGGCGCCGCCCTCTCTACTAAGAATTGAGACGGTCAGCTTTCTCGCGGCGGCGCCGCCCTCTCTAAGGTACACACAGACGCCGCACCCTGCCTAAAGCAGCTCGGCAGCACAGCGGCACGTTAAAAAATCAGGAGAAATAAACGTTGGGTCGCCTCCCGTCCGGTCTGATGTAGGAGAATAAAACACAAAAACGGACTAATGCAATTCACTCCCTTTTTTCCCTTCCCGCGCGAAATGTTTGAACGCGTGTGAGATGTGCGGCCGTGCAATACTTCCGTCGCCAAAATACCTGACCAAAAAAAAAAAAAAAAAAAGTAAAGTGTTCGTCAATGTACCTGTACATGTGCCAACAAAAGCCCAACCTCCTCCCTTCCCGTATCTCTACGCACTACGGTACGGATAACAGGATGGATCGAAGCTAAACGGGGTGACGAGGGGAGGGGCTCCTCTCTTTTGGCGCGTTGGAACTTGGGATCATGGATTCCATGGTCCACGGATGGGTTTGACGGGGTGGATGATCGCCGCAACGCCAGCGCCAGCGGGGATTAATACGAACGAGGGTACCCGCCTTTTCCCTCCCCTTTCTACCAGTGCCGTCCCAGGAAAATCAGAGACAACTAGAAAAAGACAAGAAAACCTGCCTTGGCCCACGGCAGCTCTGCTGGCCGAGAGAGACACGAGATGCCTGCAAGGAGCGGGCGGGGGGAGGAGAAGCTGCTCGTTCATTGTGTGCCTATAATCAGTGTTCCCGCACTCGTACCAACTCGTACGGAAAACGCCCTCCCATTGTTCCGACTTTTGTTCAACAGCACATGTGTCCAGCTGTTCAAACGAGCCGCTAGTCATTGTGCACATTCCGACCAGCACGTACCTTAATCATGATACCGCATCTCCGAGTCTTTAGACCCTATCAAGTATCAGTAGGAGACGCGCTTTTACTCTCTCTCAAACGCACCCAATCCCCTTCGCGACGAATTCGAGGGACCGACCTGACCTGAGTCTGAGACCAGTGCGCGCTCAATCCTCCCACTACACCATGTCAGTCGTCTTTGAAGTTTAAGAGGGGAGAGGGGGATCTACCCGCGGGACGGATGGCTTGTCTTTCAAGCTTGTTCTACCTGTCCGCCCCCTTCAGAACTGCCCCTGGCTAAAACTAAAGCGTTCACGCTTCGGCGGCCGGTCCCATTGGCTCTCTGCTCAACTGTCTCACCGATCGAGGGGGGGTTTGTCCAGCGTTCTCTTCCGTCTCTTTTTTTTCTCTGTTCCTGCTAGCGTTCGCGAGGGCGGTACGGCGTTTTAGTGTACAAGGCACAGAGCTAGCAGCTGCTGTCCAACTCTCAACATTGGCATTGACAGTGAGAAAAAGCCCCTGAGTTAGTAATTCGTTCGGTACGCACAGAACATTCTGAACGAACGTGTCGAGCGAACGGGCGTGATGCGAGTCGCGCGTTCTGCATGATAGCCTTGATAGCTGACATCTGCAAACGCTCGACCGTCAAGTCAAACTCCCCCCGACCCTCTCCAAGTCTCTCTCAGGGCGCCAAGTTCTGACAAAGTGTTCGGGCGATTTTCGTCTGGCCTTGTCCTGGGGCCTCCTGGCTCAGCGCACAACAAGGCGAGGGAGCCAACACCTGTGGGAGATCAAACGAGTCGACCGTTGCTTGACCCGCTTCGCTTCATCGGTACTCGGCAGGGTACCGTGGACGCTGGAACAGAACACCGCAAGTATCACGACTCGCAACACTTCGGGTTGGGCGCATGGCGTGCGTGGGGGCTCTCTCTCCAGCCAAGCCAGCCCACCGTGCCATCCTGCTGTAATTCGGCCGATATTGAAGCGCTGCTGCAGCTGCATGTGCGCATCTGCAGCCAGGTGGAAGGGCCCTGCAGGCTGCAGACAGGAAGATAATGGCGGCAGTTCCAACTTCCAAGATGTATCTGTCCATGGCGGGCAACTGGCAAGTGTGAGAGTCGCCTGACAGCATGTCCGATCCGGGTTTGATCTTGTTCCCGCGCCTCCGACCAATTTACACTTTGTGCATTCCCACTAGTGAAAGCGCCTTGAGCATCGAGGGTAACGGCGGTAATGAAATTGTACGCCCCGTTCGACTCAAAGTTCCGCTTCTGGCGTTTGCCAACGCGCCACATTATTCCCATCTGGAGAGTCGTAGCTGTTTGGCGGCCCATATTCGAATAGCCAGGCGCGCGTCACCGGTACGCAGGGGCCAGCAATTCCCGGTGTTCCCATTGTCCTTTCAGCTGTGCAGGGCCGTCGCCGTTGGAATTCGCGGGAGGATATCCCGTGCTCCAAGGCACAAAAGACAAAAACTTTGTTCTCCCTCCACATATGAACGATAATCGGGAGGAATGAAAGTGTCTCGGCTCATAATGCTAAAGTGCCGTCTCGTGCCATCGTCATACGCCGGTGGCTTGCGTGCTTGCTTCGCCGGTATGCATCGATCTACACTGGATTAGAGTGCCTGGATTCGTTGTGCGACTGCCAGCAGGGCATCATCCAATGTGGTTCCGCTTGTCAGCTGTCAAGCATCGCACATCGCAATTCCTGACTTTGCTCGAATTGCCATGCCTCGTTGCTTTGCCCCCCTGTCCGGGAGTGGGAACGTTAGCTCGCCAATAACCTTCCCACCTGTATCCCAACACGGCTTATGCCATCATCGCCCAGGGAAGGGGTCCGTCTTGCTCTCCGAATCCTCCGATCTTCCTTGGTCTTCCTTTCAGGCAGGGTCCTAGGTAGATGGTTTTCTCCCTGAATAGAGGCGCCTGCCCAGTCTGCCAATCGGCCCCATCAACAATCACTGTTTGGATTCCGCTGGATGAACTAGAGTTGAATTTCCTCTGCTAGGCATCCGTCAGTAGCAGACTTGCGAGCGCGACTTCGGGGTAAAAAAGAAAGTCAGAAGAACGAAAGAAGAAGAAGAAAGGTGCGGCGACTCGAAGAGATTAAACAGCGTCCGTGAGCGAGGCTCGTGGACCCGGATGGCGCTACTTTCCAGGCAGTCATCCTCAAGCTGAGCTCCGCCTCAAAAGGAGGAAGTTAGGAACTTGCACTTAGCCTTGCGGCCAAGGCCCGAGGAGCCGTATCTCTGGATCTGTCATCAGCTTCAATATTAGCAGACAAGCGAATTAGGCATAGCGTTCCCCTGAGCAAATGTCCCCACCGGCAGACACGCTCGCCATCAGATCATGGCCGCCAGGACATGTAAGCTGAAATCTCTGCCGTCGCGACTGGTCGCATTCTCGTAGCGCAAGCCTGCAATGTGGCCGATACGCGGGCGGGCGGTATCAAATCCCTTGCTCACTGCTCGCATCGCCTTGACTTCACGTTGGCGGTGAGCCGGGCAGTCCGGGCAGCAGAAATGGGACCGGGCAGATTGATGTGGGGTCCACATTCGGCTTCATTTGAGGCTCGTCCGAACGGATTCGAGACATTTCCACTGAGAACTTGGCAATAGGTCGGCCGCTGGAAAAGACGCGTCCAATTGTGGTATTTCGGATGCGCAAAGTCCATAGTTCGGGCGAATAACATATTCAGGCATAGTTTGACGAGATGTTGCCTTTACTTCATGCACCAGAGCTATCGAATAAAGAGCGACGTAGGTGCTTGGTAATAGAAGGGCAGAGTTTGATCTTGGCACGATGAAATTTTCCTTCAGCAAGAATGGCACAGAGAGAAGCCCATTGCTGTACACACTAATGCCTGTGTCCAAAAAGGACGGATATCACGAAAGCTGGCGGGTTGGTTAGCAGGTTTTTGTCGCGCTCTGCGAGACGTTTTCCGATGTTCGAAGATTGACACATTGTGTTTAAACGCCTCACACTTGCGATGCGCCGATTGTGCACGCGCGTCTGAAATGCGACCCGAGACTGCGCTCCTCGTGGGGAAGATCAATCCGAAACGACACCAATGCGGCATGGGGGCGCGACAAATTATGGTGGGATGCTTGGTCTGATGGTTCCCGAGGTTTCGAAGCGGGAGAAACGCCCAAGTTGCGGGAGAGGATGCAGGAGCGCGCCGCAAGAGGAGATCGAGGATGTCCATCATCATTTGGAGATGACACCGCTCGTCATCTCGTTGAGGTTGGCGCTTTGCTGATATGAGAATGACGACGTTGCGAATGATGAAATCGCGTCCCACAGCCCACGTCACATCGTCGGACCAACCGTCCAGTGCAAACAACGCGGATGATTTGAGGTGAATTGCAGTCGTGGCACCGGCTTTGGAGGTCGGTTGAGGGATATTGTGGTTGTGAGGGAAGGACAAAGTCGCGGTTATGTTGGCAGGCTGAAGAAAATTTTATCATGAGGATTGAGGCAGGTGGGCACGGGATGGAGGGCACAGCAAGCTCGGGAGGTTTCTCGGCCCGACACCTAAAGCCGCCCCGCCTAAATCCATGGTCGCGTTCCAACCTGGAAGTCGCGACGTTGGCCGGTGCACCTGCCTACTGTCGGAGCTGGGATGTCCCAAGCCTCCGCCGGCTCCGTCGCCGTGTCCGATCGAGGAATGCATGAGAAAACCTGCGGGGGAAATGAGTTTGTTGACGATCGCGGGGAGACATGAGTTAGTAACTTAGCTGAGATCGTAAGATCAGTCACTTACTCTCAACGATAGCGGTGGTGTCTAGGATCAACATGACTAAGTAGCCACTTAATGTACCGACTTTCTGCCTGATCTCAACAGCCTTGCGAAAGCACAGCCTCCACAGCGAGGGTCAAGATGTAAGGCACACCGGATGGCCATGTGTTTTCTTCATTGCTAGCAGTTGCAATTATACGATATGGCCAAGTGCACGTGAAGGTCTCGTTACTTTTCGCCTTAAGTCATTCATATGGTCAGTACCCCAAGGATATCCCCTCCGTACTTCGAGAGGAAGAACTGAGGCGCAGTATCTGTTCTTTCCATATTTTGCAAGCTATGAAGGAACTCCTTGCGGGCGAGTTGTTTATATGCCCAAATTAAGGGGTCCAGTGGTTTCAAATGCACGGTGAACTATAGCCTACGGAGCTTCAGTATTTTGTTAACTCTTCAATATAACGCATGAATGAGGCTGGGGCTGAAGATTCCGGCCCGTGTGCATGCCAAAGTCAATCAGATGAAAACTTGGAGCTAGCAGAACAACACAGAGCTAACTCCTGAACAAGTCGACATCTTAGATCGCAGTTTTGAACACGAGAATCATTCCATTTCCTGTTTCTCACATTCAAGGAGTTGTCGCAGATCACTGGCATTCGGGAAATACCCAGCCGCTCGCTCTGCTGCTCGCAAAGTTCAACGTCGCACTTTTTCTTCCTGGTTGATACCAAAAGGGCCATTCAAATTCATGTTTGATTCCACAGCAATAGCTGGTCATGGAGCAACTCTCTTATGACGAATGCAAGCAGGCAAGTAGATGAAAAGCGTTTTTGCAAGCTTTGCACTATGCCAATTACCACCGTCGTTGGGGTTCAAAGAGTTTTGGCACCGGAAGGCCTCTGAACTAATCAAGTATTGGACTGGAATAGTTGTGAGTCCGGCCTCAGACCAGAAACACAGATGGCGCAGTGATTGGATAAACCCTTTTCGCCGCGAGCTGGACGGCAGCGCGAAGTCTCTTCAAGCGGGAAAATCAGTCGGTGCGGTTTCTTCTTCAATGAAATGTCACCCCTCTTCTCTGATTGGTCAGGATTGGGAGAGTTGCTTTTGGTGGGAAACCCCCAAGACTGAGGTGCCCACCCTTCCTATTCCCAGTAGCTCTCATAGAAGAAGACTTCAAGAATTCCAAAATTGACTATCTCAAAAGATCGCCAATAGAATTACCACCCAATCTATTTTTTTGAATTTCCTTCATATTTGGCTCATTTTCATAGTACTTGTAACGTCTAGTACTTCCTCCAGCAATATGCAGCATCTGAGAGTGAAAACAGACGGAAACCAGGTTGAGAAACAGAGTGAACACGGTACAAATCGAGATGTCGAGCAGCAACAATCTATCGAATACAAGCACGAACAAGATCCTTCAGTATTTAAGTCTCTCGGTATTCTGGATCGGTTCCTAGCCGTCTGGATCTTTCTCGCCATGTTGATTGGCATTCTCCTCGGAAACTTTGTACCCAATGCCGGGCCAGCACTGCAACAGGGCAAGTTTGCTGGCGTCTCTGTGCCGATAGGCAAGTTCTGAATCAATCAACTCTTCAATACGTTATGCTTATAGACTCTAGCCGTTGGCCTGCTGGTGATGATGTACCCCATATTGTGCAAGGTTCAGTATGAGAAGCTACACACCATCTTCCGTACAAGAGAAATCTGGATCCAACTCGGCTTCAGCATCATCCTCAACTGGATAGTCGCACCGCTCTTCATGGTCAGCCTTCCATGCTTCCAAAGGCAGTATCGAATACCTGCTAACACGAGTATGTGTTAGCTTGCCTTGTCATGGGCGTTCCTACCGGACAAGCAGGGTCTCAGAAACGGGTTGATTCTTGTCGGAGTCGCGAGATGTATCGCCATGGTGCTGATTTGGACAAGCCTGGTAGGAACATCGCTGGTAGTGACTTACACGCCCACGGTATGCTGACAGTGTCGATTGTAGGCAAGAGGGGATGGGAATTATTGCGCGATCCTCGTGGCAGTCAACTCTTTTCTGCAAATCGTCCTCTTCGCCCCTGTGGCCCTGCTTTATATTCGAGTAATCGGCCAAGACTACAGTATATCATCCATCTCTTACTCGACAGTTGCCTCGGCAGTTGGCATCTTTCTTGGCATTCCTCTTGGTGCGGCCATCCTCACGCGGCTGTCACTGGTCTACACCATCGGGGTCGGCACGTACAACAACAAGATCATACCTGTTCTGGCTCCCTGGTCACTCATCGGTCTTTTGTATACGATTATTGTCCTCTTCGCCTCTCAGGGCTCCCAAGTCGTCCACCAAATCGTCTCCGTGGTGCGCGTGGCGGCGCCGCTGGTGGTCTACTTCTCCGTCATTTTCTCGGCGACCCTGCTCGTCGCTCGCAGACTGGGATTTCGCTACGGCCTCGCATGCACCCAGGCCTTCACGGCAGCCAGCAACAACTTTGAGCTAGCCATCGCAATCGCGGTCGCGGCGTACGGGCCTGAGTCGGACGAAGCCCTTGCCACAACCGTCGGGCCGCTCATCGAAGTGCCGGTGCTCCTTGGACTGGTCTACTTTGTCAAGTGGTTTGCTAAGCGTTACAACTGGGAAGACTAAGCCGGAGCTTTCGCAAACGGCGCAATGAGACAAAAGCACATGTCGGTGTCATGGGGTCCAAGAGCATGCAGGAGCTAAGGTAGCACAAAAGTTTGCGGGTGATGCCGTGCCGAAGGAGCTGAACTAACGATGCTCAATGTTGAGGGGAAACGAGTGCCATCTATGATAGCTTTTCAGAAGCAAGTGAATATCACTGCTTTGATAAATCATTATCCAAGTCGACTCCCCCCGTCGGGATTTTTGGAAGTGTCTGGTCCATGGTGTTGCAAGACGTTCACTGAACTTGGAATGATAAGCTACAGATGCGGGGACCCTAGTGACTGAACCCTTGTCGGCTTTAGCGCACGTTGCGCTGCAACTGCCTGAAGTGACACCTCGGGTGCCCCAAGCTCCCTGTCACCGTCCGCTTCTTGTTCCACCTTGGACAGGATCCGTCCGGGTTCCGACCGCCAATTTGATTGTCAACACTCATCTCGATAACCTACAATCTCCCAATCCAACCCTCATCAACCGTCACTTGACAATCGATTCCAGCGATCCGCATCCGCAACGAGACTCGGGTAGGCCGAGACCCCCGTGCCGTCTTTCTCATCGTCAAGGTTTCGGTAGAGCCTGGGCAGCGGCACCCCGTATCGCGCATTGGACCCCTAAGAGACCCCCGAGAACTGTTTCCACGCCTTGCCGGAGCTTTCCCCCACGATCCCGCCATGGAGTCGCTTCCCCGCGAGCTGATAGATGCTATTCTCCGGCAGTGCGTCGCTTTATCACCGCGAAATCATATTTTGGATCTGCGTCTCGTATGTAGGGCCTTCGACCGCTTCCTCAAGCCCTTTGCGTTGAGGACAATCGCCCTCGAATTCAGCCGTCTCAGCAAAAACAGCCGGCGGCGGCAGCCGAATTTCGATTCTCTTCAGACAATTGGATACCACTGCAAGTCAATGTACATTGACTTGATGGTGTTGCGCGATGAGTGTAAGCTGGAAAGAGGTCCCGAGTTTGCGCATTATTGCTGATTCATCAACAGTGGAAGTAGAGTTCCTGTCAACCATCTTCGATCGAATACCCTCTATGAAGCACTTCGTCCAGACATTGCAACGCCAGTACTGCATGTCGCCTGCTTCCTTCACGACACTGGACTACCGTCATACCCTCGAATTAATACTGTTCAACTGCCAATTTGTTTCCTCGTTACGTCTGAACCTCCCCTTCCAGCTTGTCGGCCACCGCTGTAATGCTGCAACAATGATCCTCGCGAATACCTTCTCTGCCTTCTCCCGCCGCCCGGAGGACTCTCTTTCACTCAAAACTCTTGTGCTGGAGAACGTGTCTGACCAAGCTATTGTCGACCTATGGACCAACCCGTCCGATGTTCTTGCCATTATGCGCGCCATCCTCCAACTCGAGCACCTAGTAATATCCTTCCGTCGTCACGAAGTCGATCCTCCACGCGTGGCCTTCTACGGTACTTGCCTATGGGATCTTATCCACAACGCCGAAGTTCTACAGACCCTTTGTCTATCCGGTACCGACGACGACCGTCCACCTAGGGGCCTCAAGCAAACAAAGGCCTGGAACATGACGATAGACGAGTGGAGGGCCCGCGCGCTTCCCTCTCCACCGATCACGCTTCCATGTCTGACGGCCCTCGAACTGAAGCGTGTTGAAATTACACCAGATGTCCTTCGATGCGCCGCACGCAACTTCGGCCAGACCCTACGCGAGCTGTACCTCAATGAAGTCTACCTGAAGGCGGAACAGGGGCATAACCTCAACGAAGACTCAAAGGAAATCCTGTGGATCGGACTCCCAAACCAGAGGCCCGGTCTCCACGATGACTGGATGGCCATGATCATCCGGGAGTCGTGTCCGAAACTCCAGACGTGCCGTGCTTCATTCCTCGGCTACGACCTCTACACCCGTGACGATCTACCGCCGTCACCCGCGCCCTCATCCCCCGATTTCGACTTCATTGACCCCTGCGGGCTCGGCCGCTCCATCGCGCAGCGCTTCGTCGAAGTAGCACTGGGCTACTACCAGCCGCCGCAGTCGGACGGCTCACCCGTGTCCTACCTGCCGGCTCTGGCCTCCAACGACTACCTCCTCACTCAGATGCGGCCTAGAACGCGCGCGTTGCGGGTCACAGAGTACGACGTTAATGCCTACCAGACGGCGGTGCGGAACTCCACGAGCGGTTGGCAACGCAGCATCGACGGCGTTTTCCCCAACTGCAACAGCGGCACCCTCGAAGAACTTCACTACATTGCCGAGACTGCTTGTCAGGGCATGAATGAGATTCAGCGGCAGCGCAATGAGCATGCCGGCCAAGGAGAAGGGGGCGAAGGCGGAGGCGGTGATGGCGAGAATGGCGGTGGCGGCGGTGGTGGAGGAAACCTGGCAGAGAATCTTCTGAATCTGAACTTTGCAGAGGAGTGAGGGGGTTTCCACGAGACGCTGAAGATAGGTTGGGCTACTGAGTAGCGTTGTACGACTTTTGTCAACATCACACGGACTTTTTGGGACGTTTACAGAGACATGGAGGGATTGGTCACGGTCAAGCGTTTGAACGACACGAAATTTTGCTTCCTAATAGCTTGCGGTCCAATGTTTTCTCTGGTAGAGTGTATGCTACCATTCTTCTTCTTCATTATACCCCTCCAGCCCTGTTCTAGAAAATTTCAATTGCTTACTATGCCTAATGCTCCCTTTTTTTGAAACCCTCCTTTATATATGATGATGATATTTTGATCATGATGCTAGCGGTAGTCGATGGACTTTTTCCGTCTCTAGCTCGTAAGATAAATTCCCAAATCGAATGCAGCCACCCTCCCTTTGAAAAAAACCAGGCGAACTGGATTCTAGATTCCTTTCGTAGAATCAAGTTCCATCCAAAACTGTCATGAAATGCGCCTCACTCTCTCTTTCTCTCTACTCTCTCTAGTCTAGTGACCGTTGACGCCGTTGGAGCCGTTCTTCGGCTCGGCAACGGCCTTGTCGAGGGCCTGCAGTACATCGCGGCGCAGGTCCTCGGCGTCCTCGACACCGCAGCTGATGCGGACGAGGTCGTCAAAGACGCCGACGGCCTCGCGCTGGTCCTTGGGGATGCCGGCGTGGGTCATGCTGCTGGGCACCTCGACGAGGGACTCCACGCCGCCGAGGGACTCGGCGAGGGTGAAGATGCGGGTGAGCTGGCAGAAGCGCTCGGCGGCGGCGTGGCCGCCCTTGATGCGGAAGGAGAGCATGCCGCCGCCCATGCCGTTGCGGTGCTGCTTCTTGGCGATGGCGCGGTGCGGGTGGGAGTCGAGGCCGGGGTAGTTCACGGCGATGACGTTGTCCGAGGCCTCGAGGGCGGTGGCGACGGCGGTGGCGTTGGTGGAGGCCTCGCGGGCGCGGAGGTGGAGGGTCTTGAGGCCGCGGTGGGCGAGCCAGCAGTCAAAGGCGGAGGGGACGGCGCCGATTGCGTTTTGGAGGAAGCCGAGGCGCTGCTTGAGGTCGGGCGAGTTGAAGGCGGCGACGCCCATGACGACGTCCGAGTGGCCGTTGATGTACTTTGTGACGGAGTGGACGACGATGTCGGCGCCGAGGTCGAGGGGGTTCTGGACGTAGGGGGAGAGGAAGGTGTTGTCGACGACGACCATGATGCCGTGCTGGTGGGCCTGGGTGACGACGGCGCGGACGTCGACGAGGCGGAGGGTCGGGTTGGAGGGGCTCTCGATCCAGACGAGCTTGGTGGCCGGGGTGATGTGGGCCGAGATGTCGACCTCGATCTCGGGCGTGAAGGTGACCTTGACGCCGTGGGCCTTGGCGACCTGGGTGAAGTAGCGGTGGGTGCCGCCGTAGACGTCCGAGACGGAGATGACGTGGGAGCCGGCGGCGAGGGACTGGAGGACGACGGCGGTGGTGGCGGAGCCGGAGGAGAAGGCGAGGGCGTATTTCGCGTGCTCGAGGGCGGCGACGGCCTGCTCAAAGTTGTCGCGGTTGGGGTTGCTGGAGCGCGAGTACTCGTAGACGCCGACGGGCTTGCCGACGCTGGTCTGGGCGAAGGTCGTGGAGAGGGAGATTGGCTCGATGACGGCGCCGGTGACGGGGTCGTGGGGGGAGCCGGCGTGGACGGCGAGGGTGCCGAAGTTGTGGACGGGCGAGGGCGCCCGCGGAGGGGTCTCGATAGGGTGCTCGGCGACGGGGACGGTCATGGTTGCGAAACTTGCGATGGAGGGGTTCGTTGTTTTCGTGATAAGAAGAAGTTTGGCGGGGTAATAGATTGCGACTATCTTCTAAAGGAAGAAGAAAGGATGAAGAGTCGAGGGTATCTAGAAAATGCAGAAAGAAGGATGAAGAAAAAAAAAAAAAAGTAGGCTCGAGAGAAAAAGAATTCGGGCTACGTCTCGGGGTTTGTGCGAAATAAAGTCGACGGTAACCGAGTCGAGTCGCGGGGTCGTTTTTCTTGTAGTTTGTTACGTTATGAAGAACGAAAAAAAAGTAGCTCGAGTCTCGGTAGGATGTTTAAGGTGGAAATTGCCCCGCTACACTCCGGTGACCGAAAAAGATGACGGTGCTTTGTATCGGGGATGCCCCAAGCTCCGAATTGGCAAGTAGGAATCAATCACGCAATCGCGCGCCTGCTGACCAAGACGGTCTGGTTTTGGTGAGTCAATGGGCTGATTTTGGTGGTCGGGGGAGTGGTAGCTGAGGTGTCTAGACGGGCTGAGAGAGACGTTTTCGGTGGTTTGTTGTTTCTGATTATCGTCAACCTCTGGTCTTACTCACTTTGCGCCCTTGTCTTGGAGGGGCACGTTGAGGTACGAGGGTTTGTTTGGCGGAGACTGGCGGTCTGCGAGCAGGGAAGAACGAGCTGGTCCAATGACTCTTAATTATTCGCACGGGTTGCAGCTTTGCGTGGATGGTTGAGAATGGCGCAATCCGGAGCTATGCAAGGCACTGAGCTCTTGTAGGCAGGTGATGAGGTGCTCGAGGGATTCCCCGGGGTTTTCGATCGGAGTGATCGGAGTGATCGGGAAGGTCCAAGATACGTGTGGAGGGGCTACGCAGTAGTGTAGCTGTGTAAGGCAAAGTAAGGTAAGGTAGTGCAAGGTAGTGTAGAGCTCAGAAATGGGCAGAGGTTCATATGAAATCACATTTTATATCTCGGTTTCCCCCCTGGATGACGCCTTCGATTTCAAACATGTCAAAAGATTCCCCAAGCACACACCGCCTCGTGCTAGAAGCTGACGCGATTGAACAGGGCGCGGGCTGAAAGCCTGGGAGCGAGCTGGAGCTGGAAAATTTGATGAGCAAACGTGGTTCGATGAGCTTCCGTCATCACAAATCCCAATGATGCACAATGTAGAGTTTGCGCCCTGTCGCTGTCTGTTTTTTTTCTTCTTCCTTTTCGCCTACCAAGGTAATACCACCTGCCTCGACTGGTAGGTATGTATCCGTAAGCTGCCTTTGCTGACAACACCTTAGTAGCACGCACCATGGCATGGGCACCTTGAGGCAAGTGTCAACCGTTGCGGCACACAATTCCGTAACAGGGTCTTTTTTTCGGGGTCTTGGCTCCGCAGGTCCGCATTGCTGACATATCGAATTCTTGCATGGGATTTTTTTTCGTTGTACCTTGAAAGATAAGGCAAGGTGAGGTGGAAGACGCTGCAGACTGCATGTGGTATCATTGCGCAACAGAGATTGGCCAACACCCAGGGAGGCAGAATTTCAAGACCGAACGGGGACCTGATAGAGCAGAGCGGCCGGGAGAACTGCGGAAAGGTGGGGTACAAGAAACCCGGCTCGGTACAAGCGGCGGCCAGCTTCGGCCCTACGTAGGTATTGCGTACAGGCTTCATAATCCACCTTCTTTCTCGCTTTCTTTCCATTCTCCTGACTAATGCAACCGCTTACAATATCCTATCTCGACCCCAACAACCACCTCAGAAAGTGAAGCTCAAGGTTTTCTCTGGCGGACAACCATACACCACCTCAACCTACCTTACCTTACTGTAGTATGTGCTGTACGGGTAGGTAAGGTACTAGATATAGATAGTGCGGTAGCTCACCACACCATCACCACCACTCCAGCTCCCAGACAGCCGCCTCTTCACCCCAACTCCCTGCCTCGCACTCACCTTTTTACTACACCGCACACACATCAAGCTTTCACGTCTAGAAAAACTGTCAACACACTCACCAGTCCCTGCCACACACCAAAACAATGCAAGTGTCGTAAACGCGTTAACACGGGCTAGCGGCCGAACCTATCCCATCCCCCTCTTTCCGTTTGACAGGCTTGGGGTTATTGTCCTTCTCAAATCTTCTGACTGGGAAAAGTGACAAATACCCGGCGGGCGCGGGTGCACAGGGGTGAAGGGAGGAGGGAATCGCCTAAGCTTATCCATGCCATTGGGACAGCTCAAGGGAAATGGTTTCCATCTACGGTTTTGGGGAGGGAAAGGGGGGGCTTGTGAGCGTTTTCACATGTTACATCTGGGTCGCAGCGAAAGAATAAAAAAACGAAACTTCAATGCCCCCTCTTCGACAACACATTGTCAACAAGACAGAGCCACGAGACCACGGGCACAGCTCGACCCAATTCGGAAGGTCTTTCGCGTATAGGTCTCTCAGTTGTTTCTTCCCCGTCTGCCAGACTGTCAGTCTATTGCGACCATGTTCCCTGGTCTTTCATCCAGCATAGCCAATTCTGCGGGAGTAATTGCGAATAGGTAGGTAAAGGTGAGTGCGTAGGGCCCGTAGAGGTCACACTAAGGTGTGTGTTCGCCCCTCTAGGTCCCATTCTTTCGTACAAATTGATTTGCCTGGGTTCACACACAGCCTACCTTACTTTTGTAGAGCTGGTAGGTGGGTGCCTTTTGCCCGACTAGGCTCTCTCAAACACCACCACTAACCTACCTTACCTTACGCCGTACGGATACCTTCCATTACCAACGTACCTAGCCACACAAGGGTAAGTTACGACAGTTGGCCTCTTTACGAGCGACTCGCGTTAGAGAAAAGACTCTCCTTCATCCTATCGTCTGTGTCGCCCTCGGACTGCGCAAGGATAGCCGGCCAGCCCTACGCCCACGAAGAAAATAAGTCTGTCACTAAAACGTTGTCTCAAAACCTTGTTCGAAGCTCTGCAACCACAGCACAGGCGCTGACGGCGATCACGGCCCTTTTCTCCTTTGGGAAGTGTTGCTTTTTTTGGTACTGGGTCCACCCTGCTCTCTGGCTTGGGCGTCCTTGCATGTCAAGGTCAAAAGTCAACTCTTTCTCAAAACTGTCAGGCCGCAGAACGAACATGTCTTAAGTGACTGCATAGCATGGAGTACAATCATACAGAACCGGCCGCCCGCGCCCTTCCGCCTATCGCCGATCATTGCGGAATTGCCGTGCCGTCTTGGCGGACCCAGCTCTCTCGATGGACCATATTCTCAGACGGCGGTACTGCATCCATCTGTTCTCTGTATGTCAAAGGCGCAGACGCCATAAGTGAAGGGCCAGAGTTTGGAAGCAACTCGAAACGACTTGTTATACGAAACGCTAAGTCCGAATAACCGATTGCCCCTTTCAAGCGAAAGGTCCGCGGCGTTGCTATGCGCAGTCATCCAAATAATACTCATATCGACGCCCTTTCACATACCTTGTATGCACTATCGGCGATGCCAGTGTCATCTTGACTACCGACTTTAGGTATGAGAAGGTATGTACGGCGCGTCCATAAAGGCTTTTCAACTCTGAGACAAAATTCCAAGGCTCAGCTTTGCGTTGCCTCTACCTCTCTGCTAGCCTTCACGTCTTGCTTCAACGAAATAATCGTCAGTGACACATCGAGAGCCGCTGGTAGAGATAGCTGCAAAATGTTCCGTTGAATACGATTCGATACTGGTAATTGAACAATGAGTGATATTCTCCCGCAGAGGCACCCATCTCACGAGTGACATGGGACTTGCTTAGGAGGATCGCCCCAATAGGTGCGATATTATCGACCGAATGGCGCGTCGTCCAAGTATCGTGCTTCATTTCTCCGGGATTGACTATTCAGCTTGGCTAGCATCGACTGTGGGGTATATTCCGTCAGCCGCAAGCTATTATGGAGTAATAGGCTTTAGATGAAGTCCGATTTGAAAAGCCGTATAATTGCCTACCTTATTAAATGACACCCTTTGTATGGGCCCGAAGAGGCTGGTGTCGCGAGTGAACTGGTGGGTGAAGTGGCTGAGGTATAGTCCGTAAACACCCACGACTCGTTGCTCTACCGACTAATCGAGATCGATAATCGACTGAACTTACAGTTACACATCTGTACGCTACAGCTCACATGTCGAAGAATGCCAAGAGCGTATAAGGTTGGTAGTTGCTCAGAGGCTTCTGTCAGGAGCCGTCAATCAGCTACACTCTGCAGCCCTTCCTTCGAATTGGTGTATTACCACGTTTCCAATTCGTGAACTAGCGGGCGAACCTGCAGATGCGACTTGTGAGTTTGCTGCTTTCAGCGCCAGTTGACTCGGTTGGATGTTACGAAGGGCTGCTCTCGGCTCAATGCGTGGCTACATCTGGCCGAGGCCCTTGCTTCTTTTCCGGCGCATTCGACTAAAGCACTTAGCAAACGGTTGAAGCCTGCAACCTGTAAGCCTCGTGAGAATCAATTTTGACGTTAATTACCTTGAAGCAAGTGCATTTCAACTGATGTTTTGCTCACTTCGATCGAGTGTTCTCCGGGGTGAGACAGACTTGAAGCGGCAATGGCACTAGGCCCGAAAAGAGCACCAACTCCCAAACCCTTTCAACCCTGCATAATAGCCGTTGCATTGCTAATTGCGAACCAATTGCCCATGCTCGTGTCAGTCAACGACGGGCTGAGCTGGCCGCATCATCGTTGTTGGCTCTTCGGCCTGTAATCCGTCTCCGATGAATCAATGCCATCCGCGGCCCTGGACGCTGTCGACCCCTCCAACCTAGAATTGCATCATTCTTGTCAAGCGTCTTGTTAACGTTCCATCCGGTGGTCGGAACAGCGGACAAGCCGCGGGGGGGAAGTCGGTAGCGTCCCCGCCAGTCCGGGGTTCTCCCAAGCAATGTCTGTGGGCGAACCCATGTGCGACATCAACCATGAAAGGCTTGGCTTTTCTTCATCTTTGGTAAGAGGGTTCTTCTAGAAACCCTCTTTACCTCCTGTCCGGCGGCCGGCGGTTATTGTTGCTGCATGCTCCGTATGTTTGCGTATCAAGCCTTGCCTCACGTGCCAGCTGCCGGTCGCATCACCCAAACTGCTCTTGGTTCCCTCCTCACGCAACTCCATGCAAGACCCCAGGATTGTTTCAATCGACATGCCTTACATGTGCGGCTTAATCGACGGCGAGGAAAAGAGGTGTCCAAGCCTCCTCCAGATCTACGTCAGCCCCCTTTCCTTCCCGTCACACCCCTCGGATGGCCTGGACTCCGACCCAATGGCAAGTATAGGGTTCCTGCGCGCACACCACGCCCGCGAGCTTTCTGAGCCCTTTGATTCGACCATGGTCGCCGCCATTCAACCTTGGAGGACATCACATCCCGTCCTATGCTAGGTTTCCACACACTTGTAGATCGCAGATCATATTGGTTGGCGATTATCGACGGAACGTTTTGCCCAATTAAACATGGATTTGACAAGTTCAACGGGCGCCACACCTTGAAAACAAGAGCTCGTGGCGATGCAACAACTGTATACGGGAACCAGCGCGTCGACAATGTTCATCTGCCGACCTATCCTTTGCAAAACTTGATAGCCAGTTGACGCGTCGCTGCGGTTGCATGTCTCGTAAGCCGTGCGTAATGCTTAAGCTGTTAAAGAGAACCAGATGAGGCTGCAAAGGTCCAACGGACGGGGTTCGGCGGGTTTTCCACAAAGATGGATAACGCGGAGTCGGGTTCATGAATTTCGTTCGTCTGACGTTTGGCCTATATGCCGGGCTTCACCGTCGGGCAATCTCTGTGTGTTCTGCAATCCGCCCGGACATGCACGCTCGTCATCCCTTGCCCCCGACTCATGTTGGAGGAAACTTCAGATTTTGAATTTTTCCTCTCCCGCCGGCAAAGATGCCGGAGGAAAAGGGGAGTCGGAGGTAGAAAGTGTTTTAAAAAGGTTACCAGGCGATGTTGGTGCTGGCACTGAGAGCAGGGCTGAGGGATGATTTGACATCTCACCCTACCCTACCATTAGTCTCCCGGCAACCCGAGGCGACAACGAGAACGACAAGAAGTGAGGGTTTCTGCTTGACAGAGACAACTGGCGTAAGCTCGCAGACGCTCTCCTCCGATCCGCCCGCTCACCCGCCCGCTCCGTGTGGGAGGTTGTCTCGTCGTGGGGTCATGCCGACCAATCTCGCAGCTTCTCGGCCGTGTCGTCTCTACTCCATCAAGAAGCGAAACGCGCAAGCGGGGACACCGCGGACTGTTAGTCCTCCACTGTCCGCTGCATGGTAAGGGACTTTCTTGTAGGGAAAAGAACGCACGGCGCAGTTCTTGCTCTGTCAGTGGGAAACGGTACCCGTTGTGGTCGTTGCGGTGGGCACGCAGGGTGGTAGGCGTTGCAAAAGCCATGGGGTATTTGGCTGTGACGTTTAGACTCTGAAGCCTGCCCTGCTCGGTCTTGCTGCCTTGCTATTGCTGCTGCTGCCCAGCTGGTCGGTGTGTTGGCCACAGCGGACGGGGACCGGGTCCGATGAAGTTGACGTGTCGGGTTCGTACTCCGTACCTCGTACCTTATTCAAAGTGTAGTCTTTAGTGGGCGTAGCCACGGGACTGGCTGTGAGTGCTGAGCGTGAGCGAGCGCACATGTCAGGCAGTTCGAGGTAGATGACAGGATGGACTCAACTGGGCGGTTGATAACCCAATGTGTTTTATGGGATACTCTCGGCGCTGAATTCGTAGGGACTATTATCCGTAGCAAGAATTCCCCATGATGAGCCGCCTTATGGAAGTCTTGGGGCTGCAGGGGTTAGGAAAGTTGTGCATTAGCCCTGGTGGCTACATTCTGTACTCAGTAGGTTGGTAGCATATCCGTATGCTCTCCGTAGACTGTAGCTAAGCATGTTGGCCAGGCATTCGCCAGTCGATCCTGTAATTCCGTTTTCCTTGTTGATGTCCTCGGCTCCGCGGATTTTGGTCTAATTGTCGGACTGTGTATCCTTACGGATTGTGGTAGTGTTGTGTGTAAAAGCAAAGTGTGGATCTTGTCAGCGTGGACCATGGCGTGGCGGAGCATGACGGTGACAGACGTAAAGTCCCATGCATAGCTGGAGTTTTACCCGGTAGGAAGTAAGGTACTTGCCAATTGTGCGGCGGCAAGGAGAGACGGACTTGTACCTGCCTACCCATCCGGCAACAAGGTTAAGAGGTACCTCTGGTATTACTGTGGGGTCTGAGTTGACAATTCGCCGCAACTCGATTCGGTCAGTGTGGAGGGCAGGCTGCACAGCCCGCAGCCCGAAGCCCACGGCCCACGGCCGCAAATGTCAGTGACTCCTGCACCTGCTCCTTGCTCCCCATCCGGGCCATTCCCCCCCCCTCCCCCTTGCGCCTCCTTCTCCTTCCATTCTGCCCTACGACAGCACAGCAATCAGCGGGCAACCACAACATAACCGTTCAACGCTAAAGAGGAAGGGGGGAAAACGTCTTTTCATTCTTCAGACAAGAAAGAAAGAATCAAAACTTGTGACTTTGACACCGTTCCCTCGACCCCTGGCCTCCCCCGACGCCGATATTGACACACCTCGTCACCTTTGACTGCACCAACCTGGATGTTACAACCCGCCCGGCGTTCAACTCGACTTCTCCCAACCTTACCTTGATTGCTCTTCCTTGCTTCGACTCAAACCCTACCTTCTAGGTAGCCTCCTTCTATTATTCGCCTCAACTGCTTAAACCTCACAAAAGGCACTTGCACACAGCACTGCCGGTACTTTGGTCCAAGCTTCGGGTCTGGTCCGTCCGCTGGTCTTCTCATAACAAGTTGCTCTCTTGCTCTTGCGATACGGATTCCCTTTCTGGTCTTATTGTTTTGTTGATTTTTGATTATCCGTACGGAGTTGACGGCTCCATAAAGAGAAAGGACCAGCACTTGGGCCCACAACAGCGCAAACGCAACACGCACATCCCCGGGCCCCCGGTCCCTCGAACCCCGAATCGTCAATCTCCACAACTACAACTTAGCCAGTCTACCCCGAAACTTCGACACCATCATTCACTTCATTTCTTTTCTTCCCACCTTTCCAAACTGCCTCATTCAACTGCCCTTGGCGTCTGTCAACACCTGAAAGACAACCCCGCCCCCAGCTTTCTTCAACACCTGCATCACGTCAACAAGATTGCATCTCTGTCATGCTCCTCGGCCTGCCATATTTGAGCCCCCACGAAACACAGACGTCGACGTCAACATTGACCCCCCCGTTGACGACACGTGAAGACCAACCCACGCTCACCTTATAGAGTGGGACCCCGCCGACCTGATCACTGCTTTGGCACCCGATCATCAATATCCTCACCTGCCGCCAACATGCCTCCGAGGAGATCACACAAAAAGTCGAGAGCCGGCTGCAAGCGTTGCAAGTCGCGCAAGATCAAGGTACTGTCGCCCCTTTACAGACTTGGCTTCCGGTCGCCTTTACCAAGTATGCCTCTGTTCGCTGACATTGGCACTCTAATAGTGCGATGAAGTTCACCCGAGGTGCGGCAACTGCCTCAAGCACGGCGTGCCGTGCGACTTCGAGAACCCCGATATGTTCGACGAACTCCTCACCGCCCTCACACCCTCGAATACCCAATCGTCACAGTCTCCCATTGACAGAGCGTCATCCACAGCACCATCCCCATCAGCACACCGGGCAAAGACGCCCTCTTTTTCTGGCTCACCACCTGCCATGAACTGCTCACCGCTCTACACCACTCCTTCTACTGCTGCCGTATCTGCTACAACGACACCCAATAATCGACTTCTCGAGTTACGGTTGATGCACCAATTCACTTCCATGACCTCCCGTACGCTAGTGGTGAACACGCCCGCCACGCAGGATATCTGGACAAACACGGTTCCGAGGCTGGCCTTCGGCGGTGCCACCTACCTGGCGGATGCTATGCTTGCCGTGGCTGCATTACACCTGCGCTCCTTCAATCCGGACGACAGGGCACTCATCAGAGCATCTCATTCGTACATGGCATCTTCGCTAGCGGCATATTGCACAACTTTGCAAAACGGCATTACTGAGGCCAACGCCGAGTCTCTCTTCCTCACAGCAGCTCTGATTGCTTTCCAGTCAACAGCTACACGAATCTTTATCCGCGACGAAGCCGACCCGAGCGACCCTTCAAGCGCCTATTCTCTACCACTTTCTTGGTTCCACGCTTTCCAGGGTGTCAAAACGGTCGTGGCAACATCCTGGCCTTGGATTCGTAATAGCGGCGTTGTCATTCCCATCATCGACTCTCAACCCGTCCTCCAGCTGGATCTCGATGCGACCTCGCCCACCTCTTTCTTTGGAAAGTTGCTCGACAACTTGGACGAGGAGCTTCAAACCGAAGACACTCTTATGGCTATGTCAACTAGGCAATCGTACCAGCATGCTATCGCCGTTCTCAACTGGGCACACAAATTGCCTCATCGCGGCGCCGCCCTCGCTTTTCCCGCCACCGTGTCAAAGCGCTTTATTGAATTGCTAGAAGAGCGTCGACCTCGCGCCCTGACGATTCTTGCTTGCTTCTTCGCGCTGCTGAAAGGATTCGAGTCAGCAGTTTGGTGGCTAGATGGTGTTGCTCGGAGAGAAGTCATGGGTATTGTCTCCCAGTTTGAAGCCACAAGTCCCTGGTGGGAGCACCTTGAGTGGCCCGTGCGGATTGCTCTCTACAAGAACACCATCATTCCACCAGAAGTCTGGGGTTCAGACTGGGTTACCGAGGAAAGCAAGGCGGAAAAGGGCCACAACATGACTGCCGAGTCCTTTGTGAACCACATCGAAATCCTGACTGGTGTTTTTCAAAAAGCACAGCAGATCCCGGTGACAGGCATCACGATCCCGGCGAACGCGGTGTAAGCGCAACAGCTGGCTATTACGCAGACACACTCGACGTATGGGATTACGCAAACTCCAGATTGGCGAATGCTTAGATCGGCCGATCTTGACGGCATGAGAATTTCACATAAGAATGGAATGGTAGGAGTCACGGATATTAGGAGTTTCATGTGGCAAGGCTGCGGCTGGGTAACCTCTGGACAGAAGGCATTACGCATGGACGGGTCACTTTTGTTTCGACCTTACCTCTCTCCTTGCGGCCCACACGCCGTTCAGAGGAAAGGGCGAGACGGGGATTTATCATCATTATAACACATATGGGTAAGGAAATTATGAGGGACTATGGTTGAGCATTTTCGCGGAAATGGATGGTTACGGTGTTTCTCGGGTATCATATAACGGCTGATAGCGGGGTTCTACAGCCAGGACAGCTCAGGCAGAGCATATTTTTGACACATTTCCAGCATATGAATTTGATGACATCACGGATTGGACTTTTTTCTTGAAAAACGAAAACAAGGCCGGACAAGTTTTCCCTGTGACGAGGGACCATCCCTGAAAAGAGACGAACAGACGTTGGAATGTCCCGGCCATGTGCTTGCCTAGCCAGACATGCCATCTGCTCGCATATAAGATTTGACAGCTGCTTACCGGTAGTTAGAGGGCGTTGTTTGCTCAGTTCGGACGAGTTCTCCCGATACGTCCTCTTTTTGGCGATGCCGAGGGGCGGCCAAGCCAACGTTCATGCGCGCCATGTGATTGACGTCTGCCGGCCGGCCGGTCCTGTGCCGCACCTTTCCAAGGTTGTCTCTCTTTTGCCGCAAGCTCTTCCAGTAGAGTGTTGTTGAGGCAGGTCTTACCGCTGATATTGAGGCTTACTGAACCAAGATCCGTCTTTTCCTTTTCTTAGGGGCTGTTCCATCTTAGCTTTTTGGTTACGGTAGATCTGGGCCGATCTGCGTTTCTTGCCCCCTCTAGGCTTCTTAGCTTTTTGGTTACGGTAGATCTGGGCCGATCTGCGTTTCTTGCCCCCTCTAGGCTTCTCTCGACCGTTGTGCCCTGTCTGTCGGGCGTATGTTGCCGAGGTTCCCTAGCTAGGATTCTAGTAGAAGCGAGGTCTAGACTCTCGCTTGGAGTTGAGATGAGGGCTTTTTGGTGTACACCACTCTGGGAAGGAGTGAAGCAGAAGCATGTGGGAGCCGAATGAAGGGAAAGTTGGGAGGGAAAGTTGATGGAGGTTGACAGGTGCTTTACATATGACAGGCACCGGTTGAAAATTAGTCTTCTAACCAACTTGAATCCTGGGTAAGTGTATATAAATAGTATACTTTCCGTTTTTGGACAAAGAAGGGGATCATCGGGGAAGCCTCCCCGCTTCGATACGCTCGACCGGGAAGGAAGAGCGGGAGAATGGGGGCTTCAAGGACGTTGACTTGTTGTCGGGGCCGCGGAGCGCCGCAGGAGAGGCGGAGAACGGGGATAGTAGGGGAATGGAGGCAAGAGTCAAAACACAGGAGGTTTCTCTCCGCGTGAAACTACCGTTGGGAAGTGGAGATGACGACGCCTCCGGCATTGCTTGACTCGGAGGACCGGAGGACGGGGTTTGCGGTGCGGCGAATAAAGGATATGTGGGGGTTACCCCCGGAGGCGGTTGGATAGTTGCTTGCGGCTGTAGTAGGTCGCGAGCGGCCAAGCAGTTCAAGCGGGCAACGGGGGCCATCGGGTTATCGGAGTCGGTGGTCAATTTGGGCTCCGTGGTCCTTCGGCATAGAGTGGGATGGAGCCATATGACCTGCGGGAAGGAACGCAGATCTGTCGTGGCTGGGCTTGACTTGCGGCGCATAGCGATGGTCGTGGGGTATGTTTCGGGAATGAAGGAGGTTTCTATGCCGAGCTCGTTCTGTTGGAGAGTAGTTTACGTATTCAAGAAATGTTGACTCCCGTCCCTGCGACTTGATACTCCCGGCAGGCGTGTGTAGATTTCAAGTGCCGGATGATATTTCGGTCTTGTTACGACGGGCACAGGAAGGTTAACTTTGACAGTGGGCTGTGAGTAGAACCCAGAACCCCGGGGTTGGGTTTGTATCAAATAGCGATGTTCGCTCGGCAGTGGTTCCAACGTTTGTTCGGTCTTGTTACGACGGGCACAGGAAGGTTAACTTTGACAGTGGGCTGTGAGTAGAACCCAGAACCCCGGGGTTGGGTTTGTATCAAATAGCGATGTTCGCTCGGCAGTGGTTCCAACGTTTGTTGTCTTGGTTTTAGAGTTTACACAAGCTTGGAACGTCAGTGGACGACTCGTACTTTGGATTTCCGGGGGTTAGGGACAACCTCATGTAAGAGAATTGATGAGTGGCCAAACAAGTTCAGTCATTGTTAGGTACTTTGGTAAAGTAGTTCCGTTTTGAGTGTCCTGTTCGTGAATCTGCATGGCCACGTGTATTTGGAAAACCGTGATCAAGAGACATTCATCATCCTTGAGACGTCAGTGAAGAGGGCGGCTCGGGCTTTTGGATCCGGCAGGAGGGATGACCGTGGTGTCAGGATTCGATGAACGGATTCGCCATGGGGCTGGGCAACGTCCGATTTGAGTGTTCTGTTCGTAAAACTCGAGTACTACCACGTGGATTGAGCTGGAACAATGAGAGAGCAGGTTCTGGGATTATCAGTGGACGACTCGTATTCTGTGTTCAGGTAAGGATATAATATCGCGAGAGTTGAAAATCAGTTAGCTAGATGTAAGCGTTTTAGTTCGAGTGTCCTGTTCTTGGTCTTGAAAGACCGCGTGCGCGAAAACCTTGGTCAAAAGGCTTTGATAGTTCAGCAGCATTCCTGACAGCTTGCGAAGTTATTCGCTAACGCTGTAAAAGCTTACAGTCAACGTCAGGTTTATCAACAGCGAGCTTGCTGAGATCAAGCCAAGTCTGGGTTATCGGTTTCTCTTGAGGGGCTTCCCAAATCTTAGCCTTAATCCTTCCCAGTAACCCGAGATCCCGCCGGCAGTGAGTGTCTCAATCGAGTATGCCAAGGCAGAGTTGTCCCTCGCTCATTTCACGCCTCAGCATCCCGACTCTCCTTTCTCATACTGAGAAGGCGGGATCCGGAGGCTGGTCGTATTGGGAAGGTCGCCTATTTGTTTACCCGGCCCCTTTCCCCCAGAGCCACCGTGTGGACGAGATGCTACTCGGAAGAATCCAATGTCCATAGAGAACTGCCTTGACAGTTGTCAATTCACTAGGCTAGGTTCGTCTATTGATCTAGTGGCCTTGACAACAACTACCACGGCATCGAGAAGCTTCCATAGAACCAGTTGTCACAAGCAAACCGGTTTCACTGCCGACATCATCCCGCATCTTCGATGAACTGCAGGTTGAGAAAGAGAAAGACATCATCTAGTGGGGTAACAATCGTGGGGTAAAGACGAAAGAAAACTTTAACAAAGTGACAGCCAGCCAGCCGCCCCAGGATCATGAAGTTTCCACGAATCTATTCTCGAAAAGAGCCGGAATCCGGGGCTAGTGGTTTTGTACTGGGGCAATTTGACGATGCATCATTGGCGCGCATCTCATCGCTGGAGCCCCACGGGCCACTGCTAATCTGTTTTTTTGCGGCTGGCTGCACGTAGCTGACCTGCCGATAGACATCACGATCCACGGCAAATATTCGAAAAGAGGCAGCGAGGTCACAGTCACACAGTGACACATGGTGCGGGATGGGCTGCAGCGACGAAGCGAGCCGAGTTCCGTTTCCCGGGGTAATGTAGTAGTAGAAATTGCTGCCCTCGTGACGAAGTTGCACCACCCCAGCTTGGTCAAAGAAGAAGTAAGCGCCGACGGCTGTCATCTCAACTCGGATGGTATTCCGATCAACACATCACACTCTAACTTTCGCTATTGGATATCTGAATATTCATAGGGTGCGTCGAATGTTGGTCTGAAGTGATGGTAAGGATGAATATTTGATCATATTCCGATTGATTGCGTTTCGACAATCAATGAATTCTGAGGCAGATAATTGCCCTTCTCCGCGTTCTCGATAAGCCCGGAGAATTTGATAAGTCGGACATGAGGATGGACATTCGCTAAAGCTGCGCTCGGGGATAAGTTGCAGGTGTTCGGATCATGGCTCCGGACCAAGCTTATTTCAACATCCCCCCTGTCAAAATGTCAGCACGAAAAACCAAAATAAAGAAGGCTCTTCCGTTCTAGCCGGAAAGCAGCGATAGCCGCCATCGATTCTAGTGTAAACCTTGGGAAAAGGGTACCACGTGTGAGGCAAAGCTCGCGCCAACGGCTTCCGAACACACAATGTTTCGTTCTCTTCCTTTTCTCTCTTCCTCTTTCAAAGGGCGATCTCGGAAACTGAAACAGACCAGGGATGAACCTGTTCAACCTGTCATCTCGGGTACGCAAGCCACTCCTCCGACCAGCTCGGGCCTTCTCTTATGACCCGCACTTTTGGCTGACGACTTTCCGGAGTGGTAGACGGCACTTATATTGAAAAGAGCGGGCTTATTGACGCCGAAGAGGGCGGCTGGATCACCTGAGTGCCCGCTACGCCAGAGAGTTGAGGGGCGCAGCTCGCTTGCTGCCCTCCCAGAGTCCCAGACTCCCAGCAACAAACGAAAGGGGGGGCCAAACCTCGCAAAAGGTTCGCCAAGTTGAGCCAAGTTGACAGAATGGGCAAAAAAGGGTGGGGAAAATAGGCCATGATTGGAGGAGTCGCCAATTCTTCCCTGACCAAGGAGTCGCGCGATGAAACGTCAAGCTCTCCACAGCCAACTGGGAAGGACGAGTAAATCGAGTAAAGTCTAGTCGAAAGCCGGGCTGGGCTGCTTCTTGTTGGCTGTGGCTGGCCGGGCTGGCAGTTGGCTTTGGCAGTGTTTGGTAAGCAAACAGAAGCGGTTCGTCCCTTCTCTGCCGTAGCCGAATACTGTAGTGTAGTACAGAGGATGGGCTGGGCAATATGGATGAAGCAGACGCATGCCTGTCGGCTCCTCTTCGTCTTGTTAGTCTGACGGGTGTTGTGACCGGGGGAGGCTATACCAGGGTTACATTTCGTCTGGTGTCGTCTGCTGATTGCTGGTGAGTATTTGCTTCCGGTGACTATTGAAGCGGGGATTTTCCAAGAGATGGGTTCGTAGGATCCCGTCAATTAGACGAAGGGACGGGACGGGTCTGTCTAGCTGATGCTCCGGAAAGGGGACACCAAGAAGAGAGAGGTGGAGGAAGGAGTATATACCACGCTTGGGAGCAGGAATTTCACGAAGAAGGAGAGAAAGAGAGGGAAGCTTCACTCGTTCTTTGTCAGTCTTCTTCTTTACGCTGAGAGGGGCCTTTGCTGTCTCCCTTTCTTTCCACTCTCTTTGATCAGAGAGTTCCGATAATAGCCCCATCGTCATCGTCGATCGATCGTCGTCGCCCAAAATGCTTGCCTCCCTCGCCTCCGTCTTCCTCCTCGCCCTCTCCACGGCCAACGCCGCCTTGGCCTCCTCGCCTCCGTCTTCCTCCTCGCCCTCTCCACGGCCAACGCCGCCTTGACCTACAAGGGTGTCGACTGGTCCTCGACGACCATCGAGGAGAAGGCCGGCATCAAGTACAAGAGCAGTGCCGGCACCTCCCAAGCTCTCGAGACCATCTTCAAGAACGCCGGCGTCAACTCGGTCCGCCAGCGCGTCTGGGTGAACCCGTCCAACGGCGACTACAACCTCGACTACAACCTCGCCCTCGCCAAGCGCGCAAAGGCCGCCGGCCTCTCCGTCTACCTCACCCTGCACTTCAGCGACACCTGGGCCGACCCGACCAAGCAGGCCATCCCGTCCGGATGGCCCTCTGATATCGAGAACCTCAGCTGGAGGCTCTACAACTACACCATGGACGTCAGCAACGCCTTCCAAAAGGCCGGCGTCCCGCCCGCCATCATCTCCATCGGAAACGAGATCCGCGCGGGCCTGCTCTTCAACACGGGCAAGACGTCCAACTGGTACAACGTCGCCAAGCTCCTCAACTCGGCCGCCTACGGCATCAAGGACTCGACCCTGAGCCCCAAGCCCAAGATCATGATCCACCTCGACAACGGCTGGGACTCGAACCTCCAGGCCAACTGGTACACCAGCCTCTTTGCCCAGAACGTGCTCAAGACCACCGACTTTGACATGATGGGCGTCTCCTACTACCCCTTTTACGGATCCGGCGCCACCCTTGCCGCGCTCAAGTCGAGCTTGTCCAACTTGGCCTCCAAATGGGGCAAGGAGATTGTCGTCGCCGAGACCAACTGGCCCACGAGCTGCCCCAGCCCCGCCTACGCCTTCCCGAGCGATCTCAAGAGCATCCCCTTCTCCGCTGCTGGCCAGACCACCTTCCTGAAGAAGGTTGCCGAGGTTGTTGCCGGTGTCAGCAACGGAAAAGGCCTCTACTACTGGGAGCCCGCATGGTGAGATTCCCTTCTTTCACGTTTACTTATCATGACATTTACTAATAAATTACAGGATGAACAACCAGGCCCTCGGCTCTAGTTGCCCTTCCAACACCCTGTTCGCGTATCCCGGTACCGCCCTGTCTAGCTTGGATACCTTCAAGAGTATCTAAGAGGGCGTCTTTCCATGTTGATGACGGGATACCCAGGAATAGTGTGGGAGGAAGATTGTTTATGTTGACATCAGCTCGTCTCATAGTCGTCGGAGAGCCTTTTCTTCGAGATGGAGACTGCGTAAATATCGTTTACTTTCATGACGTACATATATTTAGCGTTGTTCGTACATATTTGAGCCAGATGAAGCATAAACCCTGGCGGTATATAAGCAACCTTTATCAGTTCAATCATGATGGCCGACTCCATCTCGCTCAATCTGAATCAATACGCAGACCCCTTTGAACGGTTCGTTAAGGTCAGCTATGTTATGAATCAAGACTGCATGGAGTTATATCATGCCGCTTCTTAAGTCACCTGCAAATGGCAAGGGGTATCTGGGTACCATTGATGACCATTTAAAGGCATTGTCTGCTCTTAGAATTCTCGCACGGTACTTTTGCATCTGAAGAACGTGGCAGAAGATCAGTCTCATAAATATATATTCTTATCTCAAAAAACATGGTTTAGAGCTGCGACATTGGCAGGTGGATCCGGCTGCTCCGGGTAATCGATCCTATGTATGTCTTGCAGACTTAGTCTCCCATTTTGCACATATTGATAATGCAGGCGGCTTGAAAGGTCTCAGCCGATTGACGATTCCCGCAATGGCATAGAACTCCCTTGGGAGATGGATATATGAGAATCAAATAGACAAGATCCTGCTACGACAATTACACCCGCCATTAAATTCTGATTTCAATTCACAACAGGAAGCAAAAGAGTTCACCCCGCCGGTACCGATTTGGGGGCTACATCTCTTGGTGCTCGTGCTGGGATCCGAACTCGCTAAGCCTGTCGTCGAGTAAGGCTGGTTGGCGTGAATAATTTGGTGACCGTTGAACCACTCCACCACCCACGCCACAGTTTGACCTGACCCCCGACCTAGAGGGCGCCTGCTGTGCTGGTGCCGGGAATGGAAATGACGGGACCTATATGGGTATTTTCTCTGGTGTGTATTCAGGCCGGGTGGGGAGTTGAAGTGATCGGATGAAAGGTGGGAGGTGGCTGGAATCAGGGTAGCGGGTAGGCACGCTTTCATGGGAAGGAAGGTATGGCCAACGCCATATACCTTTCATTGGCGTCACCTTCCCGGCTAAATTTCTCTAGACGAAGCGAAGAGGTTCTCATTATTCACCTATTCATGGACACATAATAGTACATCAAGCTAGCGATCCTCATATCCGAAAACAAAATATGTGATGACCAGGCTTCTGTCGACTCCGGTAGATGAATACATGCTGCTCCTGACGATCATGAAATGGGGATCAACTCAGTCAAGACTACCGTCTAAAAGGGAGTGTGAGCCCGGGTACATAGTAGCGGCCTGACCACGTCATGAAGTCGATGACACGTTCGGGACTCGTGGCGAACTCTTGCCTCGTACCAGCTTTTAAGCTACCTTTCCTTAGGAGCTCTAGGCCATGAGTCTTCCTATTTCCATGTCGTTAGCCCCAACAAACTCCAGATATTCACCCTCTGCCCGGGAAGTTCCATCAACGGCTACTCCCGAGAACTGAAGCTCGATCACCGATCCTCCGGACCTTATCCTCCTCGCCAAAGGACTTGTGCAAGTTCAGTTCACCTCCGAAATCCTTCATCACAGAACTCGGGCAAACATCGCAAAACAGCACATCTTCAAGGGAGCATAGCGGTCATCTGATACCCAACGCTGTAGAATTTGAACCCTGGAATGGGAGCCTGGGCCCGAGCCTGGATCTTTGCTTCGACCTTGGCAGTAACCTAAGACATTCCCAGGCCTGGACCGCGAAAAAAGCTGTCTAGACGGACCCAGGGAACCGGTCAGTCCTAAAGCTAGGTATATGAGAAAGTTTCACATTTTACTCCCTTTGATCCAACTGCCTTTGTGTCAAGGTTAAATCGCCGACCCCTTCCTCCAGATAGTACATAATACTGAGGTCTAGTCTGAATAGGAAGCAAGAAACTTGGACCGGCACCTCGAGCTGGTCTAGTGTCGGCCCTGGGACCCATACGGCCGGTGACCCCTCTCTGGTGAAAAAGACTGGAGTATAGGAAGAAGGAAACATACGGCATGAAAGAAAAGACAGGGATGCAACCAAGAGACAAGAGTAAATTCCAACAATCAATCAAGCAAAACATGCCACTTCTGAATTACCGCTCACTTTTCACTGCTATTCACTACCCATCTAGCCCATTCTCCTTCCTCCACTCTCTAATCTGAACGAGTAGCTTTTCCCGACGAGCAAGGCCTTGGGGACCCCAAACGCCTTCCTTGGTGGGATAGAACTCGTCAAAGCGAGGCTTACCATCGTCGGCAACCTCGACGAACGGCAGCTTACTGCGCATGAAGATGTAGACATCCGGACCGCCCAGCAGCACAGGCGAGTCGAGGGTGCCGACGCGGAGGAATTTCATCAGGGGACCTGTGCCGTCGTAGTTGCTCCAGACGGGCGTGAGACATATGGGACAGCGAGCAATGTGCTGAGGGGCGCCCGAGTCGGCGGGGACGGGGAGGATCACGGGTGCAGGGATATCTGCCTGGGCGCGGCGTTTGCCGGCATCGCCAGTATCATCACCGCCCTTGCCCTTGTTCTCGCTCGTCCCGTGGACATCGTTGGCGGGCCTGGACTGCTGCTGCTGCTGCTGCTGCTGCCTGGGAGTCCAATCATCAAAGGCAGACTCCGGAAACGACGCCAGCGGCTGCAGCGGCGATGAGGCGGACGAGGGCTTGCTGGGGAGGAGGGTCACCTCGTCTCCCTCGACGACGGCGTTGAGGGCGAAGGCGGTGCCGGTCTCACGCTGGCAGGAGGTGCAGTGGCAGCAGTGGACGACCATGGGCGGGGCATTGAGGGAGTATCGGATATTGCCGCAGGCGCAGCCGCCGGTGAGGGGGAAGATGGAAGGGTCTTCTTCGCTGGTGGAATGAGACATTGTGGTGTTTCGTTTCCTGTTGACTCGTTGTTGGTTCGGCTTTTCCCTTTTCTCGACGGTTGTGGCCCGTTTCGGTCGTGCGTAGGTGGAGAGACCGGGTAGTTTGCGTCCCGGGTGATCAACGATACAGGGTCCAGACCTGAAAAGATTTGCTGACGGTTGACAGGTCTCGGCGGTGTGCGTTTGTTTGAGAATTCCAGATGGTGGTGAGGGTTCGTGTTCTCTTCGTGCAGAAGAGGGGTGGGAAGGGGGTGGCAGGTCTGCCGTCTGGGTTGGCAAAAGTGTGTAAGTGGAATGTCTGCGGGGGGCTGGGAGGCAGGAGAGAGTGACTTACATCGGTCTGAAAGAGAGGAGATGTCTCGGAAGGACCCTGAGCCTGGGCAAACAGAGTCAGAAAAAAGTGAAAACTTTCTAAAAAGAAAGAAAAGGATGGATGGGTAAGAGGAGGAAGAAGATGGAGGGGAGAAGTGAAACGAAAGGGCGCGAGGAGCAGGAGAAGGAGGGCAAGGCTTTGTTGACAGGCGAGGAGGTGAGGGAATTCGAGCGTGCCCAGTCAGCGTTGAGGTGATGGCCTGAATAGGCAAGTTTCTTATCTAATCGCTGCAGATGACACTTTTCCCCTCTTCTGCTGTGCCCTTTCTCCTTTTATTACCCTTCGGCAGACAAAACCAACCCAAGAGAAGCAAAAGAAGCTGACAAGCAGCAGATGATAAATTGGGCAAGTCTTGAAGTTTTCCCGTGATTCATCTAGATATGATGTGTCGTTTGATGGACGTGACAATTGTCTACTGTGGATAACCCTTGAACCAGACTCGTACATGAAATTTGGGCATAGCCTGACGATCGAAGTCTCCGCATCCTATGGAAAAGTCGGTATGGCAATCCCTAAGACTGAATGAAGCACTGGTGTTGTACGATTCTCTTGGCTCCGGGGGTTCCAGGCATTTTGAAGAGGTCATTAATGACAGCCGTGGTGTTATGTGTGGTGTTGTGAAGGAAGGGGTTGGGTGGTTGACTCAGACGGACCCTGGAAGGGGGCTCTCGCGCCCCACGGCTTACAGGTTACACCGGGCTTGAAGCATCACAGGGTCTGAATCGTTCTGACCTAGGTGGGAGGCACACACCGAGACGGAGGAGGACCGCATTCCGATCGAAGGCGGGTTTTTCATCGTTTGACGCCGGCGTGATTGTCCCAATTTTGGACACCGTTAGATGACGTTTGTGGTGTTTTTTTTTCTGCGTCATTTGTCTGGTAGCAGAAAAAACCGTTGAGTCTGGGATATAAACCGTCGGCGCCCTCCAGTTCCGTTCTAGACCTCTCGATACAGCCAAAATATACAAAACACTGCAAAGGGAACGCGAGTTTACCAACCTCAGCTCTGGAATTCATCAAGCCCAACCAGCCAGCCACCTCGAGATCGAGCCCAGAATTTAAACACGCCACGCGAACCCGCCTACGATAATGCAGCCCACTGCCCTCTTTGGAATTCTGCTGCTTCTCTCTTCGCAAGCACAGGCTGCACCGTCGTCGCTTCACTCTCACCTCCAACGCCACAGAGAACGCGCCGCAACACACGCTCACTTGAGCCACCAGCACGCAAAGTTAAACAAGAAAGTCGAGCCAGTCGAGCCCGAACCCGAAGCGATGAAGACCTTTAGAGACATCGTACCACTATTCCAAAATCTCATTGCCACGGAAAAACCATCATCACCGTCACCCTACGTTGAGTCGACGTTGACGCCTCCTCCGTCTCCAAAGCACAATGATGCAGCATCAGATCACATCGACTCAGACTCCGACGACTCACAGCAACTACGGGGAGTGAGGACGAACTCGGTCCGCGAGCGACAGACGTTACCTGACCGAGCTAAGCTGGCGGCGATGGGTCGAGGGCAGAGCCGCGTGAGGTCGGTCGCGGATATCGTCGACAGCCGGCATGCCGACTCTGCGATGCGGTTGCTGCGAGCTCACGCTGTTGTCAAGCATAACAGATTTCAGCGCGAGATTTGAGAGAGAGCGTGATGGAGATGGCGTGTTTCCGAATGCTTGTATTTAGATTTGGCATGAGTTGGGCTTTTGACAGCTATGATCTTGGCGGCTGTTGACCCAGCTGCCTAGTAGTTTGTGCGTGCACGGAATGATGAGATGAAGAACCTAAACCCGCTGCGGGATCGGCGGGACGCGCGACGATAGCAATTGATGACAGGGCTGGCGATATTTTTAGAATGTAGAATAATACCACTTTTCGCCTATAATGGACGCTTGTCTTGATTTTCCAAGGTGCCTTGCTTGATGTTGATCGTTGGCTGAGGCGAAAAACCTGCTGGACTTGTCTGAGAAGAATTGGACACTGAGATGCGATTGTCGGTGATTGCGTCAGGTATGGGGATGAAGTTCTCCATCTGTTGCAGGGAAAGCTGGTAAGCATGGGCGATCTGTTGGCGAAACCGTGTCAGCAGCGCTCCCATATCCCTGTTAGCATCGAGCAACACTGTAAAAGCGGGCTGCTCAAGTCTCTCGGAGACAAGAATCGTCTCGCCAGCAGGTGCTCAGTCTGAAGCGGCTAAAGAAACGTTGGCGGTTCGAGATGTCTCCCTTTCGTTATGACGGCATGCTGATGACCTTGGAGTACTTGGCACCTGGTAGGTTTATCGTCTTGACGCAGCCGCGGAATAATTGAGTAGATTGACGATTGACAACCTGTCACTGTGATTTGTACACTGAGGCTCCGGCGAGGGAAAGATGAGATGTGTTTTTGTTTCGAATCGAGTCAAGCCGTCCCGTCATGTTTCCTTTGCGCACGGAGAACGGCCCCGCGATCCATCAGGGTGACGATCACCCGAGCCGTATAGATGCATAGAAATATACTGTTTTGAAGCTGCCTTGAGAGGCGTCATGTACAGTGTGGATCATCGTTAAAGACGGTATTTCTTGGACCCACTGATTGGTGCATAAAGCCGGACCTCCACCGAAGCTGGCTCTCCGATGGTGATGTGCAGCTACGGAGTACGGGGTTCGAGGTACTTTGATCTTGGCGTGCTCAAGTGGCCCGGGTATTTTCCGTCGCGGTTTGGCTTCGGGGATTGGCGCACCTCAGCTCTTCCCCCAGGATGAGAAGTCGCCAGCAAAGCAGCATTTCCGAGGTATTGACGACCTGGCTCTTACTCGCTTCATCCTACAGTGCATCGTGTACCTTTTACTTAGGGACCCCGTCTGTTCCAACCTGCCATCCTGCCAGCGCACTTGCAGTGGTTAGTCACGGGAGCCAAATTGTCGATCCCACTCCTACCTACTTACCATAGGTAGCTCACCTACCGTCTCCATCATCCCCTTTTGACACTTCTCGACTTCACGATAGCGCGCGCGACGCCTACAACCACGCACCCCTTTTTTCGACACCCGACAATTGACTAGCACTACACCTTTGCTTGCGATCACCAACGAGCCTTCGCACTCCCTGCGCCGTGATTGGGGAACTTCCTCTGGTCCATCCTCCCATCGCTAGCCGGCTTCGAAACGTCCTGTTCAAAGCGCCCAATTGCTGGGGAAGCTCCGATACGCTTGGGCTTCTGCATCGTTACACAAAAGGGAGCCTCACATCGACAGCCATTCCTCGATTTTGATCCCACCGCTGTCGACTCCTTGCCACCGTGGCATTCACCGACAAAGCCTTACGAGGGACGCACCGCCTGTCGTACCATCCTGCCGCTCGGCATCAACGTGTTTGCGACTCTCAGTACCGACTTCTCGAATCTGCTTCTCACGTCGCATTCAAATACCCTTGCAAGCGTCGGCCGTTTCGCGACACAAAATATTCGAGATGCCTTCGCAAAGGCAGTTGCGCACCCTCCTTGTGGGTGTGCTGATTGGTGTCGTTTTCGTCTTGTTTTACACATCTTCCCTGCGAGCGAACGAAGTCAAAGACGAGCGGACCATCCAAGATTTCTACCACAAGACGGTCAATGGGTTGAAACATAAACAACCGCCGGGCCAAGCGGTGCTGGAAGGGAATAAGCCCAAGGCCGCTGGCCACGTGCCTGTTGACAAAGATGCCGATGGCGACGTTGACGCTGACGACGAGAAGCTCGCCAAGGATATGCAAGGACGCCTAAAGGCCGCCGAAGACAAGGCCAAGGAACTTGCCAACAAGAAATCACCACTGAAGCCTGATGCGCCTAGCGACGTCGTCGGAAAGGGCAACTCTGCTGCTGGACAAAAGAAGAAGGAAAAGGCGGCGAATGGCAAAGAAGTCTCCGAGACTGAAGAGGAGGAGAAGAAGAAGGACGAGAGCGATGAGGAACATGCTGTCGAGGTTGAGTTGAACTCCATCTTGAAGAAGTCACCAGGTATGTCGACGTCAAGACTCGTGAAACGATTGCCGGCTAACCAGACCAAGTCATCATCTTTTCCAAGTCTTACTGCCCGTACTCGAAGAAGGCCAAGGCATTGTTGCTCGAAAAGTACTCGATCGAACCTACACCGTACGTTGTCGAACTGGATAAGCATCCTCTTGGCCCTCAGCTGCAGGCCTTCCTCGGCGAGAAGACTGGCCGGAAGACAGTTCCCAACATCTTGGTAAATAGTGTGAGCATAGGTGGAGGCGACGATGTCATCGAGCTTGACAGCCAGAAGAAGTTGGTACCCAGGATCATTGACCTTGGGCAGAAGAAGGTGGAGATGAAGGAACGGTCTGCCAACAGCCAGAAAAACAACTAGCTCTCTTGAGTCACTCAACTTTTATTTCTACATTTGCTCGACTTCCACCACATGGCATCATCGTGGGCGATTCGAAGCGGGCATTAGGGAACCACGGGAGTTCGAACTGGTGGTGGGTACCCCAGTGCTGGACATTGCATATTTTTGGCGTTGGTGATCGGTTGAACTCGTGCGCTCTCGGCGGCGAGCACTCAAGGCGACGACATGGGCTCTCGCCAGAGCCTGAAGGTTGAACGAAGCGCGGCGCAAGTTCCGTAATGATGAGGGACGTGTACGAGTAGTATGGTTGAAGATGCTAGGGCGACACTGGTAACCTGGCATCGCCTCCTTGTGCGGTCGTATATACACGCAAATGGCTCGCTGTCAGCTTGTGTCCTGTCCTTGTGTGCTCACAAACCATGAGTTCATTTGGCAACAGGCCGACAAGATGCTGCTCCTCCTGTGGACTTAATTATCATAAGATCACGAGCCTACATGAAAACCATATCGGCCAGCTTCTCTTCTGTAAGGTCGCGGGTTGGAGCCGACTTCCTAGTCAACACTTTTCCCGCTTCGAGTTTGATTAGGATTCCGTCTATCATCAAAGGTCGTCTAAGGTATAAGGATGCCGGTGCTGTTATCTTCGTTCCTCAGGACTGCTCCTGCCCAATTGTCTTCTTTGAGTCCAGACTTGCTATCTTTATCAAGAGCCGTCACTGAGGGGCAGGGTTGGATTGTGGTCGGAAGAGAGTGGAGGGGCTTAGCTGTGCCCCTCTTTGCGCAACTGTCACGATGCGCCTCATATAGCTTGGCCAGACCAACCGGGTTACACTGCACCTTTTCTCTAAACTGGGTCCATTCCGTGAAATCAAAATGCCGCACTGATACTAGAATTTGCCCTCTTTGATGATCGCTGACACCATTTTTGGGACATGGACGAAATCTGGGGCGGAGTGCGGCCTGTGTCGTCAAGTGAGAACCTGGATGGCCGATCGCGACGTCGTCGAAGGACAGCCGGGTGCGCACTTGAGGTGTACTTGCGATGCTATATCTCTGTTGCTTGGTCTCTTTTCCATATCTCATCTCAACTACCCAAATTTCAGATTCATAATCTTTGGATTATTTGCTGTGAATAGTGAATCACTGCTTTCGTCAAACATCTCATCCGAATCTCAATTTTCAAAGAGCGGAGTGATTCAGAACGCTCTGAGCCCTGCCTACTTATACGCGACTGGCCTCCAATCTACACACGTCACCGCATCACGAACTCGAATCTTACAAATTATTGCATTCGAATCACTTCTACTTCAATTTATTGCGTTTGCCCTCGCATATCTACTATTCACAAACTCTGGTGCAAGCTTGAACACTAGAACGGTCGAGGTTGTCAGTACAGCGTAGAGCAGCAGGAGCAACTAAGGAGTCAGAAGTTCCAAGAACGACACTGGCTTACTTCCTGCTACCTCTCCTCACAACCACATATCCCAGAGGGCAATCGCAGGCCGATCGAGGTTGATCCAAAACCTCCTTGTTCATCCAACTGCGTTTAGTAAAACCTCTACTCCAACATTCACCTACAATACCTTACTCCCATCTAAACCTTGGATAACAATGTCGTCACTCTTACCCGGCCACCTTCTCCTCCTCGTAGCAGAGCACGCAGACTTTGCCCAGATCCAAGCCCTCCGAGCAACCTGCAAGACCAACCGCGCCCTGCTGGACAGCTACCAGCACACCGTAACAAGAGTCAACACCGCCCGGTACCCCTGCGCACCACGCAACCACATCCTCGCCTCCGACACCCGCGAGCGCGAGGTGCTGCCAAAAGACACATTTGATACCATCCGAGAGCTAGAGACGCGGCACCGACACATTGAGCAGATCGTCCACGGCTCATACCTCGCCTTTTGGGAAGAGTACGGGCTCCAGGACGCGAATAAGGCGGACACCATCCGCGCCAACCTAAAGAGAGCCCTCTGGCAGTGCTCGGCGATTGCGGACCTGGAGACGCACTCAATACGGTACAGAGACGACGTCGTCCCCCGCCGGGATTCTTGTGTGAAGTCTCTCATCCATCAGGAGATTATACTCCACGACGCGCCCCCTCCCGACGGCTGGCATCTGGCTTTGAGGGAGGTCCACGAGTCCAACCGCCAGGATGTGCGGTTCCGTCAAATCGCCCACGTCCGCAATGACCTCTCTACGCAGGACCTCGCGGGCATAGTAGTCCTCGCGCACCTCGCTAGTCAGGGGTACCGGAGGTACAGGGCTCCCACGACAAACGGGCTGAGCCGGCCCGAGATTATCGAGATGGGGGTGTGTATGGCGGAGAACACCATCCGCCACGGCGTTTTCTTTCTGTATAGCAAGGTCGTAGCTGGCGAGGGTGAAGGCGACGAAGACGGGCGGCACCACGCGAGGCTGCTTCTGGACGATACCTTTGACGAGATGCGGCGGTGGGAGGCCGGGGATCCTAGTGTGCTTCCCGGTCTGACGATGAGCGTCGCGTCTACGTTTTGCGAGAAGATTGGGTGCGAGCACCGGGATATGCTGGATGCTGCGTGTACGTTGTTGAGGGGGGATGTGTGGCGTCCTGCGGCGGAGGAGGACGAGGGGGAGGAGGTCGAGCCTGAGGCTGGGAGGGAGAAGCCTACTGGGGAAGAGGTTGAGCAGGATACCGGTGTGATGGAGGGAGGGGAGGGGGGGCAGGTCTCTTGAGGGTTTATACCTGGAATAGGATACATTGGATACTTATGAATGCATGATGACTCTACAAAAGCTTGGTCCGAAGACTTCCAGACCAGATTCATTTGCTGCTATACCCCTCTATTCCCATTAATTGTAATACATATTGCAGTAAAGGGATTTATGGAGAGAAGAGTGAGAAGAAGGAGTGAAACTCTTTAGTACAGCTGTCTCGGACGGCAGTGAATCACGAAAAGGGGCAGTGAACCTCGCGGTCACGACCCATATTGGTCGAGTATTTTACTGAGTCCCTCTGTCGGCCCCCTTATTTGTCATCTTTCTCACTGTGCTTTATTGGGACTTTCGAATTCTTGTGATGTTTGGGTGTTGTACTCAGAGATTGGCCAACCTACCCACCGCTCACAGATAGCTCGAGGGAACGATCAGGAAGTTTGTCATTACACGGAAGCCTGGTGTCAGTTTCCGTTTTCCTGTGAGCACTCATCTTCTGGTGGCATAGATATATGCTAGAAATGTAGACATGGGAGGTGAGGGGTGGTTCAGGACCTGACAACCGCCCAAACCAAGCTCCGAATTCTCTTGCTCGTATAAAGACACATGGAGTCAACCAGAGAAACGTCTGGCTTTATCACGGGGCTCGAGATGCGAATAATTTCTGGAAGAAGGCGTGTGTCCTGGTGATACTTTTCAGGGTACAAGGAAGTCTGTGGAAGCTCGAACGCTTCCTCTGGTCGATTTCTGTGGGCTGCGTGCCAGGTAGTCTACGTAGGTAGGTTGCAGGACTTGACATGCACACACACACACACACGCTTTCACGAGGTTTGAACATTTCGTTCTTTGAGCCCCTTCGTGTTATGAATCTCATTAGGCCCGCCACTTGGAGACTTGACAACTTTAGCAAAGTCAGGGCAAAGATAGGTGCCACTTAAGTTAGGCAGAAGCCATGGAAGCCTGAGGATGGAGTGTCCCGGCCGGCTATATCCCGACGTCGAAGCATAATGGTAGCCTAACCCGATGGTACCTTGCGGTGTGGTACGTCGTTACGGAGGAGGCTACGAGGTTTCATTTTCATAGGCAGATTCCAATGCAGGGCAAGACGGCTCTCGTCCGGGAAAGCCAAGCGGGTATGAAGGGGCCTTGGCCTGCCAAGGAACTCGGAGAGATCTTGTGGGAGAATAAGCTTTTTTCTTAGAGTATGTTAGATGAGGATTCTTGAACAGAGCCGCGTGTGTGACGACGACTGCTTCAAGTGGATGATTACCGACATGGGTGTTCATCTTTTGGAAAGGAATTTGGTGGGGGCTACCACCCGGCATAGGAGATTCACATCGGGGCTAGGTACACGTATGTCTATCCGTCTCGAGCGAGAAGTTTTCTTCGTTGGAGGGTCTTTTTGCTGGGTTTACGGGGATGGAGGACGGAGTGATTACTATGGATTCCGCGTGGAATGCAGGACTTTTTTTTCTCACGGTCTATAGATACTTGGTGGAGTCTCTGCCTGTATACGTACCGCTGGGTAGGCTGTGACATGATGCGAGAACTGTCGAACTCGTTTGGGTTGCGGTGACTGGTAAGCCTGTCAGGCGAGGAGTCACCGGAGCCCCAAAGTCCCTTTCGCCGTAATGCAGCGTTCCACATTAGGGCTGATCTGGGCCCCCCTGGGGGATATCAGTCCTGGGGGCACCAGCCGGCAGTGGAGGTATTCGTAGAGGGAACGTCACGGGTTTCGCCCGTATTACTGCTGATCAAATCAATTAACCGTTCGGACGCTCCTGGCTCGCCGAAAATCAAGTCGAGGTAACTATCGTGGGTACCCATCACCAAGGTATATAGAAACGGTGTCTCACAACTGGTACCGCGCAGTGGAGAAATCATTCCTAGCCAGGGCAGATTAAACGCCAGATATCTGTTGTTTTGTGTCGTTGTCTTTTTGTAACAATGGCGGGCGCGATGGGAGAGTGACTCACGACGCAGGGAAAAATCTCACCGGCGGCGAGATCTCAGGTTTCCCACCGCGATGAGAGAGAGGTCTGAGACTGTCTGCTACGTAAGGTATACTGTGAGGTATCGACGAGGTAGGTCTCCACAGCCGACCGGTGGTCTATCTTGCCGTCTTACAAACGTTACGAGTCCTATTTGTCCTACGGCGGATAAATTCCTACGCTAGAGTTGCTGTGGTGTTGTTGGTGCCTGTTGGTTTGCGTAGCCCTGGAGGCAGGGGCTCTGACGCTTATTTTTTGGTTGGTAGCGGTGCCGGGAACCGAACGGCCGCGTTGGCCGTTGATCTGCTGTATCCGTCCCCAATACCTTGCCTTACGTGGTCCGTGGAACCCGCTACCACGGGACCGGGGGGAAGATCTCAATGTCTGAATGTATGCGTATTTCCAAGTAGGTTAATTAAGCATGATATTGACGTCGTAAGGTGATTGCGTTGCGTAGTCACTCTGAGTCTAATGTGGTATGAGTTGATGAGTCTATTCGGTATGGTATCCACAGCAATTGCAGTGTAAAGCCTAGTACGAAAGCGAATTGTCGTACACGGGTGAATTTCCACGACAAAGTGCGCGCAGGAAAGCCTCAGTCAAATTGGGTCAAGATAGTGCGTCGCCGATGGCTTGGGGCTGAGTTTGAGAGGAGGGTTCGCCAAGATGCCAAAGTGGCATTGGTTTCGCAATAATTAGAAAAGAAAGAAACTTTTCCATCGCAGCTTGTCAGTTTTTTGGCGATGATGGGATGAATTGAGAATTTTTTTTCTCTTTTCCTCTTTGCTCGCATTGAATTGGATTTTCATTTGCCGCCTTGCCGCCCTACCGCCCGTAAGGGACTTTGCCCAGGCACGCCGTGATGTCCTTGCGATCCATGCGAGAGTGAAATGTAGGATGGCGAAGCAGCAAGATCCGGATGTAGGCGGACGCATTGTCAGGGTTGAGCCTTGCGCCAAGTGACTCATGGCCGAAGTTTATCGGAACAAGGAGAATTTAGAGTGACACTGCCAAACTGCTCGGTGCCAGGCTTGCCAGGCAACTGGCAAGCTATTACTTACTACGTACAGCGTCGTGCTCACGCAGGGAGAGAGTAAGCTTCAAGGCTACCGCTCGTGCTGGTAATTGAGGAGAGGTTTGAGGGGGGGCAGTTTGACGCATTGACAAACTGACGCGAACCGGCGTAATGTCTTGCCTGTACAGGAATCCCTCTGGGTAGTCTTACTTACCTCTTGGGGTTTAGTTCTTCCAAGAACTCCCAGTGAATACTGTGGTATGATAAGTGTGAATATGACGGCGTAAGGGAGGGGGCAAAAGAGGTTAAGCTCAATAAGCTTCCCGTCACACGCCCACGCAAGCCCGATTGTTGGTTATGGGCGACGCAATGGTGTGGATACCCGACCTTGATCTGTTCCGGGGGCCTGGTTGGATGCCTTGGGATAGGACCAGGAAGGACCAGGGAAGGGGGGTAATTCTCCCAGTGACGGAATCTTTGGAGGATGCGTGTACGCAGTCCTGCGTGTGCAAGTTGCGTGTGTCCGAGTGCGTGTGTGTGTGTGTGCGATGGGATGGGATGGCTTGGGTTGGGACGAGGAAAGGGGGGAAGATGCTTGTTCAGGTTTCTGCGCCCGTTTTTGGGGCCCCCAAACCACGCCGCCGGCTTTTGCTTGGAATAGATGAGTCCTACGAGTACTCCGTAGGATACTTTGATACACGTTAGTGTAGGCACACTAGGTAGGTACAGGATGGATGCAGGATACAGTGACATTGCGTGCCATGGCATTGGAGGCGGTGCATCGCTTCGTTTTGGAAAACATAGTTATAAAGAGCATGCCAACGCCCAGCCTACCAATTCTTCATCTTGGCCTGCGTCAGCAACAATCAGCCTTTTCTACCAATCGTCCATCAATCAAACGCTATCAACACCAACAAAACTACAAGAAGCCATCCATCACCACACTCACCACCATCGCCATCTACTGACGATCAACACCACCACCAAAATCACGATTTATCACACAACCACCATCCGAACCCCTCAAACCGCAAACATGGCCAAAGCAACATACGCACCCTCCACCTTCTCCGAGACCTCGACAATCTGCTCCTTTGAAAAGGAATCCTTCGAAAAAGACCCCGCCGTGACAGTAGCACCAGTACCCGCCGTCAAGGAACGCCGCTCTCTCCGCTCAAGAGTCAAGAAGGCCCTCCGCGAGGTCGGAAACCCGCCCACCTACCGCTACGACCTCGAGCACGGCATCGAGACCAAGAGGACGGTGCCCGTCGGCCCCATGGGTTTCAACGTCCTCAACCAGCCCTCGCGCATGTAAAGCACACTTTGCTGCTACCTATCAGTGGACTCTTGTGTGCTTGCGATAAGCGATAAGCGAACGTGCGATTTTGATCCCGACGAAGAACAGACGAATTTGACTGTTACGGATGAAGCGATTTTTTTTTCAACATCTATGGATGCCATGAACGGATATACCAAATGGCGCAACGGAGTTTGGATGGAATCTTCATGGGGTCACCCCACACTGGGGGGGACCCTGATGGGGGTTTTCCTTGGGTTTGACCAACATTTTTCTCTTCAATTTCTTTTAACGGCACGCAATAAGGGCGAGAAACATAAAACAAAGGTCACGTCTCCTGTGTGTTTCTTCCCTTCCCTTTTTGCAAGCTGTCGCTGGGCGATAAGGTGTCGACAGAGACGGACCTTGGGGGATGATGGCAGGTGCCGCGAGTAGAGATGGCTTTTGCGAGCCCAGCTGAGAGGAGAGGGGGGGAGCTTGAGGAGGTTGCCTTTGTTCCCGCTCAAAAGGGGAGATGGAGGGGGGCGCCAATGGCTCTCGCGCCTGGCTGGGGTTAGGATAACGACGGCGGGTTGGCGGAAACATGGGGAGCAAGCCATCGTCTTACGGGCTGCCACACTCCAAGGATTGGGTCGACACCTACGCTCAGCTTTTTTTCTTCTTTTTTTACATCTGCAAATTCAAGGGGGGCGGACTTGAAGAGATATAACCGGTTCCCCCATACGGGACATGGATCTTGATAGAACAATACCACGAATTCCCTCTATCCCAAGTTTGCTATTCCTTTCACGTGAAAAATGAACAATTTTCGAAGTGACTATCTTCATCGACCGTCTAGGTATCTAGACCAAGTCAGGATATCCTAGTACCTAAGTCAGAGGCGCGACTCGACTCGGCGTCTCAACATCAGACTGACTAGGCGCGCGAGCGCGCGCTCGGAGTATCAGCTGCCCAGCCGGGCGAGTCGACACAATGAGAATGGAAGAGTACCCAGGCCGTTCCCCATTTTTGCCGACCGGAGTAGACCGAGCGAGTACCGGGTTAAGTGGGACTGTCCGGGGGGCAAAGACCAGGCTCCGGACCCGTTTGGCGGCAGTTCCGTTGCCCCAAGCCAAGGATTTAGGCCTGATTTGTCCCTACACGGCTCAGTATGATCAATCAAGCATCCTTGAGCTAATTCCAGAGAACCAAATTAACGTTATGTCTCAATGCATTCCCAAGATTTAAGGATTCAAAACAAAACGCATTTGGGCACAAAGAAATATCTTGCCTTTGCTCGAAATCGAACATCGCAATCCGGAATTGCCATCATGACGTAACATGCCCTCATTGAGTAACTGCTAAGTTACACAGCACCAGCAAGAACCAAGTTTCTGAAATGATCCTCTTCCCCTTCCAGAAGCATACATCTAGGGCAGACAACAGGGACTGGATCGGACGAAGAGGACAAGAGGGGAATTCTCATGGATTGGATGGAAGCGGGGGCCACGGCTCATCCCTTCTTCAGTCATCTGGCTTAGAAATCACGACATCAACTACGAACCGGGGCCGAACTCCCTTGCGCCAAGCTTATTCAGCATCCCGTGTCCGTGGTGATTGCTGCTTGAAATGTTTGCTGGGCTTTTGTTGGTTTGACAATTGCTTTTCGTTGGGAATCGTAAGTGGGAATAAGTAATGACTAAGTACAAAATGGCACGAGAGTCTCTCGTCTTCGATGGTGTTGGTCTCGTTCATGGTAGGACCAATCTCCTTGAGCCGTCATTAGACTCCCTTGTACACGAAGCGGATTGAATCTTCCCTCCTATACACACAACCATCTCATAATACAAACGTCAGAGAGAAAGAAATCACACAAAATGGTAACCATCCCCAAAACCCACAAGGCCGTCGCCACGCCCGCCAAACGCGCACCCCTCATCCTCCTCGACCGCGAGACAACTCCCCCGGGACCAGGCGAAATCCTCATCCTGAACGAATGGACCGCCTCCAGCCCGCTCGACCTCCACCGCGCCGACGGCGGCCTTCTCTGCAACCACCCGGAAGTCATGGGCGGCGGCGCGGCGGGCACCGTGGTAGCCGTCGGCCCCGACCAGAACCCGGCGGACGCCGACAGACTGAAGCCGGGGGACAAGATCTTTACGTTTGCGTTCCACCACTTTAGCGAGCGCGCGCACCAGGACTTCGCGACGGTGCCGGCGTATTTGGTGTCGAAGCTGCCCGCGAATGTCACGCCGCAGGAGGCCGCGACGGTGCCGACGAATCTGATTACCGTGTTCCATGCCGTGACGGCGGATCTGGGGCTAGAGCTGCCGTGGCCGAGACCTCAGGGGGAAGGATGGGTCCCGCGCGCGAGAGACGACGCCGTGCTCGTTTGGGGCGCGGCGAGTAGTGTCGGCGTGTACGCTGTGCAGGTGCTGCGGCACTGGGGGTACCGCAATATCCTGGCCGTGGCGAGCGAGAAGCACCACGCGCAGCTGAAGGCGATGGGCGCGCGGAGCACGTTTAGTTACCGGGACGCCGACGTCGTGGAAAAGGTTCTGGGGGCTGTTGGTGAGCGGGGAGTGCCGTTCGTGTTGGATTGTATCGGGTCCGTCGAGGGCACGCTGAGGCCGTTGACGAAGATTGCGGGCCGGGGAACAAGGGTTGCGGTTATGTTGCCTGTTATTGTGAGGGATGCGACGGAGGAGGTTGAGCCTGTGTATGAGATGGAGGTGGGGGATGTGCTGGTTGGGGAGTGGGCTGATGGTGTTGAGCTCCGGGGGGTGAGGACGCATTTCTACCTTGCGGTGAGTTTTGGATTTCTTTCATTTTCTTGCTGATTGAGCGAGTATGCTGCTATGATGTGAGAGGAAGCTGACATTTCGGTGACGCAGAATGAGTTCTTCAAGGAAAAGATGCAGAGAGAGATTGTACCGACGCTCTTGGAGCAGGGCATCATCAAACCCAACAAGCAGAAGATTGTCGAGGGCGCCACCATGTTGGAAAGAGCGCAAAAGGCGATTGAGTTGCTGAGAAAGAGGGATCCCAGCGGTGAGCGTCTGGTCTGGAGAGTTTCGGATCTTGATCTGAAGCTGTGAGGTGGTCGTGTTAGTTGATATTCTCTAAGTACGAGCATCACCTAGTTGACTAATACCGGGGACAGAGGAATGATGTCCATAATAGGAAGAATAGAGGTCTTTAAATGCTTTTTGTGACTTTGTTCCTGCTTTTGTAATCTGCCGACCATCTGCTGAAAGAAGCTCAAAACTCCAACCGTGGGATGCCTCCTGACCAAAAACAAAACGCCAATGAGTGGTCGATCCTCCGCTGCGTCGTCTCTTTTCCCACTCGGATATGTATATCAAGTTCTCCTCCGCAATACACACACACACACACACACATTCTCTCTATCTCATAACCGTCGCCATATTCCTTTTGTCACTCCAGGCACTCTACTCCTTGCGACCCTTCTTGGGCTTCTCCTCCGCATCGCCCTTCTCCCCCTCGTCCTCGCTCGCCACGTCCCTGCTGCGCTTCAGACCCTTCATCTTGCGCGTCTGCAGCTCGCCCAAGTCCTGGCGGCCGACGTGCACGCGACCCATCTTGTCACCCATGGCGTCCGTGGTGATGTTCTTCTTGGTGCGCTCCTCGGTGCCGCGGGGCTTCTTCATGGCCTCCTTGAGCATGCCCTCCTCGGGCTCGCGCATGCGGCCGACGCGGAAGTCCATCCGGGGCCCAATCTCGTTGACCTCGACGCGGGGCACCTTGGAGCCGCTGCGCTTGGTGGTGATGGTGTAGGCGCGGAGGCGGATGGCGGGCTTGGCGGCGTCGTCGGTGGGCTCGTCGGCCGTGATGGAGACGATCCACTGCAGGCCCTCGACGTCGATCTTGTCCGTGGGCTCGCCGCGGAAGAAGTCGGCGAAGAAAGACTTTGCGTGGGTGTACTCGTTGGCGATGGGGCTGTCCCAGGCGGTGCCGGCGAAGTTGAGCATGGGCTTGAGGCCGATGGGCACCTTTTTGCCCTTGAACTGGGCGAGGGTGCGGAAGGTGTCCGGGTCGAGGTAGAGCTCGAGCATGTCAAAGACCTTGTAGCTGAAGGTGCGGACGAGGGTGAGGGCGTGGGGTCGCTTCTTGGAGGTGTGGCCAAAGACGAGGATGGAGGCGTCGTTCTTTTCCGAGAAGAACTCGAGCGAGTCGGCGTTGTCAAAGGGGTGGATGTCGTTCTTCTTTACGAAGCGCTTGGCGAGCGGCTGGCGCATCTGGTAGAGCTCGTTGATGGCATCTTGTGTCACTTGCGAGCATGAGCTTCCGCGGAGGAACAATGCCGTCTTGGGGTTTTCTCTGTTTGAGAGAAAGGTTGCTGAATTAGCTTGCGATCATGGTGAAACTTGTTCGTCGAGATTGGGGGAACGTACTGGGCCTTGGGCTCGCGCTTCTCGAGCGCACGCTTGGAACGAGCATTACGGGGTTTTCTGTTAGGCATTCATTAGCTCCTTGTCGGCATGGCTACCATTTACCGTTGTCGCGACTCACATTTGACGAAGCATTGTGCCGGTGGTCGAATTTGTCGTCCGTCGGGTCTTTGATGCAAGTGGCTGGGATGCGAACTGATCTCAATTCTGCGGTAAAGTTGAAGCCGCCGTCAAAAAAATTGCTTATCGTTATCGCCAGGACGTAAGATCTTATCTTATCACCCCGCGGCATTGAACCTGTGCTTGAACTCAAGACTGCCAGCTGGTCCCACCTGCAAGGCTTCAGCTGAACTCTGACGTTCCCCATCACCCAACGTCATTAAAATACACTGCCGGTTTATAATATCCAACACGCGCCTATTGTTGTCCATAAACGTCCAGCTCACTATCAAACCACAATACCGTCATGGGCCACAAAGAGCACGATACGCCTAAAAAGGCACGGTTCCGGGGAGCTTATACCTTTCTCACTGCTCATGGCTATAAGTTCAAGAGGAAGGATCTCTACGAGTTCTTTGATATTAGCGAGCGAACAGGTCGCGAGCTTCTGAAGGACCCGTACGGGTGCGACCGTACGCGCCACAACAATCCGGATCTCCCAGAGACGCGCGGGCGCAAGCGGAAGGTCGTTGACGAAGACGCGGTCGATGAGAATGAAAAGCCCCTGAAGAAGAGGAAGAGGAAACCCGTCAAGAAGAAGAAGAATCCACAAAAGAAAACAGAGGCAGTGAAGGCTCCTAATTCACCGCGAGCCTCGGAGAAACAGACGAGCTCCAATTTGCTGGCAAACGAATTATCGCAGGCAGCACCAAATGCAGTTGACCAAATGCCTGGCCCATCTCAACCCGGCCCATCTCAAGCTCAATCAACCCCCTCGGGCAGCTATATTAACTCCTATACCACCAGTGTATTTTCCACAGTGGATGGAGGACACCCGTACCCTTTCTATGGAGAACAACCTGGCCATGGTCGTTACTGAACTTCATGTACACCTTCTAAAGATGATTTGACATCATGCACAGAGTGTGCTCGACGATACGAGCAACAGTCAAACGGTTTCATACAAGTCATGATCATATTCCTCCAACGGTGAACCATCTATACACAGCCCCAAACAACAATACGCGACAGTTTGGCCGATTCTTAGACGACCCCTATGCCTAGTTCACCAACTCATACAACTGACTAACAGCACCAACACCTTCCCTTGAGTACAGCGCCAGGAAATGTGTCGGGTCCCTGTTGAAAAGTCCAGGCCAATGGGCCTGCGCGGGCCCCGTCACGACACTGCCGCTCCACGTCTTACCGTGGTCGACGCTAGTGATGACCTTCATCTCGCCAAAGTTGTAGCCGTCGGCACCCTCGACGTCCTCGTTGGTCATGAAGCTGGCGACGAGCGTGCCCCACACGTTGTACACCTGCGGCGCGCCCGACATGCGGCCGTTGCGCGCCGTGTAGAGGCTGCCACGCTCACCCCAGGTGTAGCCGTCGTCGTGGGAGAGGACGTAATCGACGTTGAACCTACCCTCTCTAGTGTGTTCGAACACGGCGCTGTGAAGGGCTCGCTGTTAGTTTCTGCTTCCAGGAGAATAGGGGAAAGTCCTCTCAAGGGCGATTCAACTTACATCAAGTCTCCTTCGTTGCCAATAGGCGCAACACCGACCATACCGTCACGGGACAAACGATCGCCACCCGAGACAGGAACCCAGGCCGACCAAGTCTGACCGCCGTCCTTGGAATACTTCATAAAGTTGTCCTGGTCATCAGCCGAATTCTCAGCCGAGTAGTAGCACTGCAGCGTGCCATCCCTCGCCAGACGCAGGTACGGCTCCCACAGCCCGTTGACGCCGTTGGGCACGTGCTCCTCGACGGTGGACAGGTACTTGAACGTCGCGCCGCCGTCGTCCGAGTACGACACGGAGATGCGGAAGTAGGTGTAGTGCCCTTCGGCGCCCGTGCGGTCGTGGTTCCGGTAGGCGTACAGGATGCGGCCGCCCGGCAGCTGGATCGGCATGGCGTTATCAATGTCGTGCGTCGCCCTCTCGCCGCGGAAGACCTCGCCGATGCGCTGCCAGGACTGCGCGCCGTCGGTGGAGCGGATGACGCGGAGGATGCTGGTCGAGCCTTCTTTCGCCGCGTAGCCGCCGATGAGGGTGCCGTCGTTCATGAAGCTTACGCGGATGTAGTTGCCGGTCGGATCGATGATGACGGGGTCGCCGGCGCGGACGACGCGTCCTGGCAGGCGTTTGTCGAGAGATACTGGCGTGGTGGTGGCCAGGCCTACGAGGGCTAGGCCTGCGGTGAGGGTCTTTGCGAAGTTGAACATTATGATCAAGTCATGGGGGTTTTTCTTGTCGACCTATGGGTGGCGATACATCAAAACGAGTTGAGGCTTCCCATGATGGACTCTTTATGTATTTCCATCTCCATGGCGCCTTGTAAGCGCGGCATATCGGAGTCAGTACCAAGAGTTTTGTGGCATCATGTCAGCTCCACGAGCTGACTTGATCAAGGGTGAATTTTCTCTCCTCTCTCCCTGGTCATCTCAATTTGGCTGCCTACCCAGGAAGCAAAAGCTTGCTGAATGCCTCTACGGATACCGTTAAAGGATCAATTGCATCTACGTTGTGGAGATCGCTCCCCGGGCTGAGTTCCTGTCCTTGAATCCTTCGCGCTTTGCCCACGTAAAATCCCGGCTTCCCCTGCAGGAAGCGGTGTATTCGTAGAGCTCGTCCAATAAACCATCCTGTTCATCCTGTCAGAAATATTGATTCCCTCGTGCGGCTCTCTGGACTCCACAGCACAGGTGAGACGCCAGGGACCCCAGGAACTGCGAGCTGACATTGGAAATGCTGGTTGGTGGCGCTCGAATCCTTGTCTGGGTACCACAATTCAATTGCTGGTGCCTAACGTTCACCACTTCCAGTTTCTCACCTTTGCTATGGTTTCTAGTCACCTAGGGGCGGTTGCTCCGGCTCTCGTCTTATGAATGCATCTATATTGAACGAAGCACAGAAAACGACAGCCGTATTTCTAGTGTGTGTCATACCCATCGCTTTCTAAGGTATCAGAAGCCGCTGCGCAAGTAGCAATACTCAAGAAACGGTTACTTTATGAGGCGGCAGCCTGTTCAAGCAACGTGACACCTCTACGTCGTCGATCAAGACACGGTAGGTAATTGAACTTTCGTCACATCTCAAAACGGAATATGGCTTGTAGTCCTGCCAGTGCCGGTAGCATTCATAGCGATTAGCGCTTGGATCTTGAGTGATGCAACGTTAATCCGTGAGTAAAAGACTGGCGACGAGCTCTGAAAGTAGCTTGTAATCAGTGGCGGACTTGCCCTCCGTGTCTAAATTCACTTTGGCAGGAAACCCAGTCGAGCCAGGTCACTGTATTGACACCCAGCATTGCATTCCTTTCAAGTTGTGGTCTCAGTGTTTCAGTGCAGCGTTCGCTTCCACAGGAATTCCGAGGTAGCCTTGGGTAACGACAACAATTTACAATACTGGCTGGAAGGAATAAGAGATCTCGAGACAGGTTCAATTCTGCCGCTGGCTGGTTGAGGAAGTCTAGAGCAAATACCGACACTAGCTACTGGCCCCCCATTGCCAACTAGTTTTGCTGTCCGTCGATGGCACCGTTGGTCATGGTTCCCAGAGCTGGTCGGGGGCGGAATGGCCACTCGCGTTCGAACTCAACCTTGTCAATCTTCTTCACCACTAAATTACCATCAGTAAACGCCCACGTCCAAAGAGACTGTCGTGTCTCGATATACTCACATTGCCCAAACACGTCGCGCATACGTCGCTGGTACCACCAGCCTACGAAGCTCACGACCGCCATGAACGCTATCGCGGCAATGGCGACTGGCTTCCAGTATTCTGCTGCTTGTCAGACCCATATTCTCCCGATACAGACAGAAAGTCTGTTTAACACTGAAACTGCGTAGGTGACTTACTTGTGGCGGAATTAATCATTTCCCGGCTGTTCACCGATAACACAACCGGGGGACGTTTCTCCTTCGGCTCCAACCAGTAATGCACGTTGATGAAGCACATGTTGGTGCGGTACACGCCCATGATTTGCATCAAAGTACCGCCGAGGCTGACAAAAACGGCGCCCAATCCAAAGATGATTTGCAACGAGTAGTACAGTGAGAACCAAAAAGTGTGCAAGGTCCAGGATCCCGGTTTGCTGGCGTGGGCTAGGAAGTCCGCCAGCTTGGTGCTGGGCGAGTGCGTGTCTTCGTGCCACGGAGCCGTTGAAGGGTCGTAGAATTTTCGATCATCGAGCCACCCTCCCTTTCTAAACATGTCCAATGCTCTGATGCGGCGTTTGGGGTTGGTGGCGTCGCCCGGGGCGCCGATGTAAGCCCATAGCCATAGACCAATCTGCGCGAGCTGCAGACCAAAGTAGACCAAGAACGTCAGGGAGCGGCAGGACAGCCCGATCTGGGGCGTGAAGAATGCCAGCATGAATGCAAACAGGAAGGGGATACCGACGAGTAGCAGGGTGAGGAAGAGCAAGACGAACCAGTCCAGGAGCGATAAGGTGGTTCTGAAGCGCAGATCCTTCATATCGCCATCGATATCCTCGTGGCCTTGACACTCGACATCGGTTCTTCTGCTATATACCGTAAGAAGCTGCTCGATCCATTGCTTCTTTGTATGGCCGCGAAGCCATTGCCAGGCCACCTTGTAGCAACTGGGATAGACCAGATCGAAGCGTAAGAACCCAAAGACGTAGGTTGGATCCTCGGGGTCCTTCGGATCGCGCTCTGTTGCCAGAACCCCCTCCAGGATATTGGGGTTATTTCCAGCAAGTAGTAAACCGGAAATGATGGCGATATGAGGAATAATCTGACTCGAGTTAGTCGGGGAGTATTAGTCAGGAGGTGAGGACTGACCATGTACCATGATCCAAACGCGATGGATTCCCTATAGGATTTTGTTAGTTTGTTCGCGGCTTGGGATCATATGGCGACTAGACGTACGCGATGTTTTCATCTCCCAACTCGTCAAGGCTAGTCAGGAACGAAAAGATGAATCCTCCTAGGAAGAAGCTTGAATATTTAGCAACCAGAAAACTGCCTCGCTTTTTCTTAGGGACGGTAATTACATTACTGGTGCACCAACAATCGACCCGAACGAATACTGGCAATGCAACATCGTACGGAGTCGGGTCTTGGTTCTAATTATACAGCGCTCAGTCTCCCGGGATCGGGGCCATGGCTCTTGGATGTGTTCACGCCGGTCGCATAGGCGATCTGGACAATTGTGCCTGGCCCACTGACGCGGAGACTGGCCTCGAGAGACATTGTCGTCATCGTAAAGCCGTAGGTCATAGAGTAAAGTCTCCATGTGACGCCAAGGAGATGCCGTTAGGTGACCAGTTGAATGACGTGGAAATGCCTGCGTTGAGGCGGCGTTGTTCGCATTTGGCTGAGGAGCGGATGAACGCCGTCTGATGCCCTGATTCGGCGGTTCTGTACCCATTGATGTTGAGTTTGCGACGGTCTGGGGCGAGGTTCTGCCATGGGAATCCTGGCTGGCGCCATTGCCAATTGCTTGTTCTCGGTGAGCTAGGGACCCAAGCGGTACATCTCCGTTCTCGACGGTATGAGCTTCCTGAGGCATTGGTATTGACATTAATTCCCCTTGTGTAGTGTGATCCCGATGTGATATGTGCCCATTTTCCAGAGGTGTTGCTGGTACGGCGGAAACAGATGCTTGTCTCCCCCATTTCAGGGTCTCGCGGTCTAGAGCGAGATCAAGATTCCCAATCAATACCAGCATGAGGCAACGGCACCGCATGTCGAGCGTCAGTCGCTTATTTTGAATTTTGTCTCTGAGAAACTCCAGAACCCGGTTATCTAGTAACGCTTCATAGAGGCCGCTCAGAATCATGGGGCCGGCGAAGGCGAAGCAGATGGAAAGCCATATAATTGTATCGACTGTGACAATTATGCCTGCCAAAATAGCACCGATGATGGCTGGAATGATACTTTTGATACCGGCAATATCTGCCACAAACAAGGCGCTGCAGCGATGTCAGAGTAAGTCACGAATCCTGGCATATTAGACAACGATGTATCGCTGGGTTGTCGTACCGATAAACATGAAGTTTCCTTCGCCTGGGCACCGACAGACAGAATACCACGGCTGGTAGCAAGAAACCCGACAGAGAGTGAAGCCAAGCATTCAAGTTAGACTTGTCACTGAGAGACCAACCCGGGCAGTTGTCGATGAACCATGCATACTCGACTTGCACCTCAGGGGCACCCCCAAGATGTGCCTACATCTCAAATGAGCCTCGGTAACTTTGCCTGAAAGTATCGTTTCGGAACTTACATCGTTATACTTGGCGTCGCAAGGAAATTGACTTCGGAGAGCGGCGTCTTGAAGGTCGCCTGTTGTAGATGTGCCTATTTTGGTAATCGAATTGTTGGCGATGATCAACGTTTTGTTCTCCAAAATGTCTAGACCGACGTAGACAGCTTTGAGGCAGCACCATGTGTAGTTTTGACTCCCCAAATAGACACTGCCTGATTTGTTGGGGAATTGCGCGTCTAAGTCGGCGAGCTGCCAGAAGACGTCCCATCTATTCGTCACATTGTGGATGTTATCTGCCGATCGAGCTACTGTCGCAAGAAGTAGCAGAGACCCGAGAACTCGGTTCATCGCTCAGACCAGGTGGTATCGGTTCACGGACTATCCGCAGTGAGACTAAAGAAAGGGCGACTTCGAGACCGGGAAGAAGGGAGGTTAAGCATGATAATAAGCATGACTTGCGACCCTACACAGGGGTCCAAACACAACTATCAGCGACTGGGCCAGGCTGGGCGCAAGAGTCAATATTTCAGCCTCACTTGAGCCATTCAATCAATAAAGATGGTGTCGTGTGACGCGGCGCTGACCACCCCATTGGATGTGTAGCCTGCCATAAGCAGGCTGAGCCGTTGCCATGATGCTTCTAGAAGAGGCTGCAGATAGGACAGATTAGACGACCAATGACGGGAAATGCAATGACAAGAGAGGAAGGAGACCCGAGAGGGATAGAGATAGAGTAAAAAGATAAAGGAGAGAATTGCGGTCAAGACTTTTAGGCAGAAAGAAGAGATGTGATTTCTCTTCTGGCATGCGAGACAACAAGGCGGGGAGGCTTAGCATGAACTGGCAGGCGGCATGCAGCCTGAGATGAGGTGGAGGAGCGAAGCACGGCGGTAACCCACGCCTTTTTCCTCAATTACTCGTTGGAGACAAAAGCATGGCGACAAATCAAATGCGAGGTCAGATAAGCAGGGACGGTCTAACGCAACCCTCCGATGTGGCTTCGGCCGGCTGGAAGGTCAGACCGGAGTTCTGGCTCCACGGGGACTCCTCGGAGACTTAGTGAGCTTCGGCGATGCACTGACCCGACGGACACGGAAGAGACTCTCGGTCGGCCCACTGTAAGTCGGGGAGCCTGTCGTCATTCACACAGTTCCAAGTCGTAGCAATAACCAAAGTACCATGTCGAACCAGATATATTTTTTATGATTGGGATCTTAAGAGCCTCGAGTTGGCCTTCCAAGCAAACGAACGGAGCTCGGCATCCAGAGGTACCTTATTTCTGACAAGCCCTAGCGGGCTTACTTCTTCACGGTGGATCACGAAGCGGTAGTGCCCGAAGGATCTGACCTCATGCGTTGAATTCGCTTAATGAGGGATCCCTACCTGCCATGTTTTGTTCCCAACATTTCCCGTAACTATAAAGCTGGAACAAACATTCGCCAAGATATCGTCTGTCTTTCTGCATCTCGACAAGCATCGTTGGGGGCTTATATTGCATTGATTCATCATGGGATTCATTCTCCAAACGAGCATCATCTTCATCGTGATCCTCGGCGTGGCCTTACAGCTCGTGCTGAAGGACCCCATCTGGCTAGGCCTGGGAATCGGCAAGGAATTCCAGCCTCTCTCCGACTTCCCCTACTCGTGCCGTCGCATAGAGGATCCAAGATTGCAGGCATGCGAGGATATGTGGCTGTCCGAGGCCACGCGCCAGCTATTCCTCGCCTGTTCTGATCCCCTCTCTCGCCAGCAATGGCTACCAAAGTACGTGTTCTTAAAGCAGCCTCCCCTCCCACCCATCTCCGCCACCGCCCGGTATCATCGCCCCGCTCCCCGTCCCCGGGCCGGATCGGTGTGACCCGGAAAGGCAAGCTAACCTCACCCCGCTCCGGCGTCTAGCGCACAGCACATGAACGCATCGGGCCGCTCCACGCGGGACGCCGTCATCGCGCTAGACATTGACATACCCAAGGGCGATGCATTTGAGTACCGCGTCCTCGAGACGCCGGGGTTTACAGGCACCGCTGGCGACGGGCTGCTTCAGCTCGTTGGGATAACGGGCATTGACGCACCAAAGGGCGATAGGGTCGAGATCCTCTTGGTCAACAACGGCCCTTCCGTCGATCCCGTCACGGGCAACCTCCTGGACCAGAAGAGCGTGGGCGCCAACTCGACGATTGAGGTCTTCGAGACGGGTCCCAAGGCGATGGGGATGAAACACGTCCGCACGTTTGCCAGCGCCAACATCTCGACGCCGAATAACATCGCTGCATTGTCTAGCGAGGAGTTTTACTTTACGAATGCCAATGGTCCCCACAAAGTCGGGCTGGTGAGAGACAAAGCATGTAATGATACAGACAGAAATAGGTTCGGCTGATGCACCGTAACTTGTAGCAATTCTTCATCGGCCCCTTGATGGGCGACGGCGACGTATCATTCTGCTCCGCCTCGACGGGATGCAAGCGCGTCTCCGAACGTCACCGCATGCCCAACGGTCTCGTCCGCGGTCTCGACGGCCTCATCTACGTCCCGAGCTCCATGGCGGGCGGCGTGCAGGTGTTTGAAGTGCTCTCGGGCAACGACGACAACGGACTGAAGAAAGTGGCCGACATCCCCGTGCCCTACGCCATCGACAACCTGTCGGTGGACGGCAAAGGCGACATCTACGCCGCCATCTTCCCGCGGGGCATCGAGATTCTGCAGGCGGCCAAGGACCCGCTGAATGCGAGGCCTAAGAGCGCTGCGGTGCGCATCCGCAGGGAGGAGGATGGCGTCTACGTGTGGGAGAAGATTATTGAGGATGGACTCGGGGAGGTGTTGCCTGGGACTACTACGGTTGTGCACGATGCCAAGACGGGGAGGTTGTTCTTTGGTGGTGAGTACTGCTCTGACCTCTGTGTTTGAATGAATGAAATGTGTGTCTGGATGGTGTGCTAACTTGTTTAGGTGTTACATCGCCATTTATTGCAGTCTGCGAGCCCAAAAACTAAGGGGTGGTCGAGATTCGATGCCGTCTCTGGCATGAATGTTAACTGTGGAGTTCATGTCTACACAAACTAGTAGCCTGTCAAAGTGAGATGCCGTAGTGTCATCTTGTTCAAAATCTCATCTCTCTAAACTATTTGGGGTAAACTCTGAAGTGATGACCGTTGCGCTGTGAGTTGTGACTGAGATGAGATGAGATGAGTACTGTTGATGCTGCGAGTCTTGAGCACATGTGAAGAAACGGGGGTTCAAGGAATGCTCGTGCCGCTACAGGGTACTGGCGCCAAGTGGGATTCACATGGAATTCATTCACACGTGGGAGGCCCAAGACATTCACTGACTCTTCCAATTGTCCCTACTTGTCATCAATTCTACATCCATTTCGCTCAAATATGATTCATTATGAAGACCGATTTATTCTCGAAATGGATTCAAATGAAGTGCAAGACTGGATCAATTATTTGAATCTTCATGCCTACTAGAGGTTAAATCGCAAAGTTATCCCATCTCAATTGCCATCCGTCATCACATGCCAAAACCCCCAAACACCACGACGTTTTCCCCAGACGGGCGAATCCCTGGAAGGCTTAGCGGCGCGCCGGCCCTGCGTCATAGGGGCATGTGGGGGAACCGGGGGCTGGGAACAGGCCGTCTCCAGCGTGACTCGCCCAGAGCCGAACCCAGCCAGATTTCACCTCTAACCGTGGGACCAGACAGGTCCTGGGGCCGAGGTACGGGTACCGTCCACCACTCCTTGCCGCAAAGGTCATCCACCGCCCATCAACCACCACCACCACCAAAAGACTCCCGACCACAACTTGTCCGTCTCAACTTCACACACATCCGTTCCCCATTACCTCCGGTCCGAACCCTCCTAGAATCTTCCCCCGTAGACGCAGTCCGTTCTTGTCGCTCATTAACTGCCTTTCCAAAACGATCGCGATCTCCATGCGTTGAGTGGAAGCTTTGTTGAACCGAGAGCGACTCCATCGTCGCATTC